GTTGAGCGTAGATGGTGGTCGTTTATCAAACACTCGGCCACCGAAAATGAAGTAATACAGCAAGCACAGCCACAAATAAGTGACCACTTATGGCAAACGTTACATCACAGTCAAAACTACTCTGATTGCAACATGCGATGAATAAAAGGCGGAAATTCTTTCAACAGTGCCTTTCCATAGTGGCAACTAGAGTCTATTATGATCTATCATTATGAACATGAGTCGTGTGATCCCTGCGGTCCGTATTATTTTCGGCCTCCATCCACCCTCTCAAACGCGCCACTGACCGTCGCTCTCTCTGCAATGTAGTCTTCTTCTGCTCGATCTTCAAAATCTCTACTACCGTGCGCGCAGCTTCTACATCATTCCGTAGATAAAATGCCTTGATAAACATCTTGAGCATCGGCTTCGCATGTTTCTCAAACGATATGTAAGGTGGAAGCTTCGACAGCGTGAGTGTTCCACTGGTGCGCAGAAGCGGAGTGCTGAAGGGTGGATGGGAAGGAGAGTGAATCCCTGCGGGGTATCCACCACGAACCATGTGGTCAAACAGCGCACGTAAACGTTGATGATCGAATGCGGTCCTCCAAACTATCAACGCCTTCAGGATGATATTGACAGTTATCCTGTCAGGAGCAAACTGCTGGTACTTGACGAGGTTGTCGAGGAGTCCCAAGAGCTTCCGGACACGCCTGCCGTTTCTCGGGACCGGACGTGTAACGACACCGTGCAAAAGCGTGTTGCCTAGGATCGTCCGGCTTTTAGTGCCCACCTTGCTTGCAACACGACTAAAAGCGACCTTTGCAGCATGCGGTCGCCTAGCGTATATTAAACCTTGCAGAACTCTGTTGTATACCGGGCCACTGCTCATACCGCTCTTGAATAAAGTCCCCGCTGCCCAGAAACAGCCACCTCGAAATAAGGTATGCGACTTGCGCCCTGTGATAAAAATATTCGTGGATAGGCGTCCACTAGCTGTCGCACCGAGGCGTGTATTGACCATGTGACGAAGGTTAGGAACACATCCCCGGTGTGTGCCAACTAAAATTTTCTGGATTCGCAACGCGCAGCGGAATTGCCTGCGGCGCAAAAAGAGGCAAACCAGCCGCAACAAGAACGAGAATTGAAAGAAGGCCGGGTAGAATGTGATGACGTTAGCAATAATAGCCGTAGTCTGGAACCCACTGCCCCGAGTGCATAGCTCGGCTAGAAGAAGCTGAAGATGCCCACGGAAGTGAATGGGAGGAGGAGAAATCGAGTAGAGTTTGCGGAGGGAAATCCCAATGTCATCGATCAGATCAGTGTCGTAATGTTCATGCCTCGTCTCCTTGAGAAAACGAGCAATACTGCTCAGGAGGCCTCCTACTTGTTTTCGAGAAAATCGTTCATGCTTAAGAAACCCCACAGCATGAGCAGGTGGGAGTGCCCTAGCTAGAAGATACGCAGTATCGACATCGATGTCTCGTCCACTGCGGACAGCGATGTTGTATAATGCGCGGGCGAGCTCGACATCACGATGAATGAGGTCCTTGACAGCCGCAGACACTACGACACTTTGGTATTGCACGTCAGTCGAGTAGGAACTCAACGTCTTCATGATGAATTCCGCTCCACACCCACGGACTTGCATCAATGTAGCAAGATGCATCGCTGCCATTGCTGCTAATTGGGGTCCCTCTACGGTGTGTGAAGAATCGCCGGTCCAAAGTCCGAAGTTTATACTCGACTCCAGGCACGCTACAAATAGCTTCGGATCCACTACTGCACCAGAGAGGCGAAAGAGAGAAGTCGTAACAGCACGTGAAATGAGGGTGGGGGGTGATTCATTAGACATGAGGTGCAGCCAGGACTCATGAAGAGAACGTATCATCTCTTGAATACGTCCGCGGAGAGCACGATCGTGAAGGGCTGGACCCGCGGCTCGCGTAACCTCTTCGAGAATCGCAAGGGCAAACAGGGTCTGCCATAAGGATGCATATCCATCCAAAGGAAAATCAAGCGATGAAATGGCAATTCCACTGCCGTTGCAGCTATACAGTAGCGAACACAGAAGGAGATTGCTTCGCCGATGGACTAGTGGAACGTCGGATGAAAATGCCTCGTGCAGCAACTCCGTAATGGCTTTCATATGGGGGGAGGGACTTGGTATGGGCAACGGAAATACCGAAAGAGCGGATGTGAAAGTGGTAGCATCAACAGGTACAGATATAGAAGCCCCCGCAGTGCCCCCACACGGCGACGGAAAATGAGTGACCCGGATTGAAATGGCGGATAGGATAGATTCCAAAAGCGCGGTATCAGTGTCATGAACTATCCCGAGTAACACTTTCATAACTTTCGCATGAAGAAATGGATGGGTGAGAAGGATGCTGGTTATAGCATCAATGGCCCACTGCTTGTGAAGAGGGTCCGTGCTCGACAAAAGTGCTGTTAAATATGGAACGTGAACATCTGGATCGAAAACGTGTCGAGAAAAGTGGAGGTATTGTTTTCGGGCGCGGAACAGAGAGCGATCAAATTTGTGCGTGTCTGCTCAATTTGATTAGACCGAGGTATGAACGAATGTAATAGATTATCTTACAACCGGGCTGGCCATCTTCAGAGGGGGAAAGGCTCGCCAACTCCGCTCGCATCATCCAATATCTATCTGAATGCGCCAGTGTCATGCCCCTCTGGCGCTTTAATGATACAACCTCCTTCACAAATGCCCAGTAGTCACGAGATACAGGACTATCTTTCACATAAGGAAGGAGTGAACTAGTATACACACATGTTCTTGTCGAGTCAACAGACAAGGACCCAAAAAGAGCAATTAAAGCGCTAAGCATTCCTGAGTCGAGCTGCGACAATTGGCCCCGTGCTTTTGCGGAGATGTAAAATGAATGAATAGTATTGGGTGTCGGCCTCCTGGAAGGGTCTGGAAGCAGGGTAGAGGACGTCAGGATTTTCCGGAGAGCACTTATGGCGCGAGTGCTATTGGACGGGCCAGACTCCCGAGGATCTTCTGATGTCATAAGAGATCGCTTGCTCTTGTTCTGAGTCCCAGTACTGCGGGGCAAGCATTCTTGGACATGGGCGCTAGCAGAAGATAGTAACCTAAAATTGAACGGCGGTCAAGGTCACGCGTTTAATGTGATAAAAACTAAAACTAAAAACCTGATTCTTTGAGCTCCGTCGACGCCGCCCAACACTCGGACGGTCGACAGACAGCATCGCAACATTCCATGGCATGGACGAATTGGGAACACGACGCGTTACACGTCACGTTACAAGGTGAACCAAAGGATCGGAATTCCCCGGCGGACTCGGAACCTTGTTTTTTGAACTGCAAGGCATTTCCCGATCGATCGAAACTTTAGCGGAACACCGGATACACATATTCACATTATCCTCATCCAGTCGGTCGCCTTGAAAAATCCATTGGCACGCTGCTGGTGCGTAGTGCTAGATGAGAATGGCTGATTTGGCTGACAGACATTCAGAGGTCAATTGGGAGGCACTGATTTTTACTTAAAAACAATCACATCTGTATATTCATGTGAGTTAACATAACTTATCACCCTGTCTTGACATTTCAACTAGTGTATCAGAAATCACAATGGGTGCTACTCGCGCGCAAAAGGAAGTTTACTTCGTCAAACTAAAGGAACTGATCTCCAAATATCGTGCGTTTCAATAGTTTCATTTATCCAACGATCCTTTTTTGAATAACGCGCCTGCAGCCTCCATCTTCATCGTCAATGTTGACAATGTCAGCTCCAACCAGATGCACCAGATTCGTGTTGCTCTCCGTGGCAAAGGTGTCGTCTTGATGGGCAAGAACACCATGGTTCGCCGTGCTCTCCGTACTATCCTCTCGGAGAACCCCCAGTTTGAGCGTCTTCTTCCCCACGTCAGGGGTAACATTGGTTTCGTCTTCACCGACAAAGAGCTCAAAGAGGTCAGGGACATCATTGTTGCCAACAAGATTGCCGCCCCCGCTCGTGCTGGTGCTTATGCCCCCAAGGATGTCTTCGTTCCTGCTGGAAACACCGGTATGGAGCCCGGAAAGACCTCCTTCTTCCAGGCCCTCGGTATCCCTACCAAGATCGCTCGTGGTACCATTGAAATCTCGGCCGAGGTCCAGGTCGTTACCGCTGGTAGCCGTGTCGGCCCATCTGAGGCTACTCTCCTCAACATGTTGAACATCTCACCGTTCACATACGGTATGACTGTCGTCCAGATCTTCGACTCTGGCAATGCGTTCGCTCCCGAAGTTCTCGACATCGACGAGCAGGTGCTCATCGACCGCTTCTTGTCCGGTATCCAGACCATTGCTGCCATCTCACTTGCCCTCAACTACCCCACCATCGTCTCTGTCACGCACTCCCTTGTCAACTCGTACAAGAACCTCATTGCTTTGTGCTTGTCCACCGACTACATCTTCGAGGGTGCCCAAAAGGTCAGCTCAAATTCGATTCGTTTAACATTGAGATGCTTCAAACATACACACTGAAAATGCTGACTTTAACGGATGCACAAATCTTGTTTCTGAATTTTTGCCGAGTTTACTGTGCTGAGCAACCAAGCTAATTCTTCACGCAGGCAAAGGATTACTTGGAGAACCCTGAAGCATTTGCAGCCGTTGCTGCACCTGCTGCTGCTGAGGCCGCACCCGCTGCTGCTGAAGCTGAGGCTGAGGAGAAGGCCGAAGAGAAGGAGGAGTCTGACGATGACATGGTAAGTTGCTCTTGGTTTGCACAAATGGAAATAGCCCTTACGCGCTGGTCTACAGGGCTTCGGTCTCTTCGACTAGATTACGCGTTATGTACTGTCACACATCATCTAGTAATGCACATGCAAGCTGATAAGAAGACTCACTCGTGTTGATCAAATGATCCCCATAAATATATATAAGTCAAATGAAGAAGATTGCAAGGCGCCTATTCATACTTCTACGTAGACTTTACATATATGGCTTGGAGATAATCATCCTTTCATCGCTACACGTTGGTTGATGTGTGCGTTTCTCACTGGTTTTTGTAGTATGGGCATAAAAGTCAGGGACTGATAGATGGTCCAAACTCGGACTAGCGGGACCGTGGTGCAGATTCCCATACGGTCATGACGCAGGCCAGTGGAGTCACTGGAGCGTAGGCAGCTAAAACTCAACCCACCGTCATCCAGGGTCAATCGACAAGCGTCTCCAGCCATCGATCTAAACATTTTTCGCGATAAGACTTTGATCACACAAACGTTTGCCAGCCTTCTCGCTGCCCTTCTACCAATTCATCACGAGAGATCCGATAATCACCCGTATTCGGCCTCTTCTGCATGTTTCTAAAGAGATCTGTTCACTTATAAATTTCATCTCTCCATGGCACCCTCTCTCTTCCCAACCTCCGCCGAAAACTTTGCAGATATGCAGGGCAAACATCTCATCGTCGTCGCCAACCGTCTACCCATCACAATCACGAAAGATGCTTCAGGCGAATACCACTTCAAAATGTCTTCGGGAGGGCTCGTATCAGCCCTCTCCGGTTTCAAGAAGTCGTTGAGTTTCACATGGATCGGTTGGCCGGGTTTCTACATTCCACCGAAAGACAGAGCTTACGTCGACAAGCGTCTAATGGAAGAATACTCTTGCCAAGCGGTATATCTTGACGATGACGTCGCAGAAGGGCATTATAACGGCTTCTCCAACTCTATTTTGTGGCCATTATTCCATTACCATCCAGGAGAAATGAACTTTGATGAGGAAAATTGGCTCATGTACCGTCAGGCCAACTTCCGATTTGCTGAAACAGTACGCTCGCAAATCACACCCGGGAGCATGGTATGGGTGCAGGACTATCACCTTATGCTCCTTCCCATGATCCTACGCGGCCTCGTTGACGGATCATCCGGAGGGGATTACCAAAAGCAAGAGCTGACGAAGATCGCGGAGGGTATTGAAGAGGAAGTTAATATCTCTTCTGAGAGAATACCCGACGTCAAGATAGGGTTCTTCTTGCACACACCCTTCCCCAGCAGCGAAATTTATAGGTAAGTGATCTTCCTTTATGGCTCGCTTACCCCGCTGACCCTGCGCCAGAATCCTCCCTGTTCGTCGTGAAATTCTGCTGGGTGTCCTGTTCTGCGACCTGATTGGGTTTCACACTTACGACTATGCTCGTCACTTTTTGTCTTCTTGCACGCGCATCTTGGGTTTGCCCACTATGCCAAATGGTGTTGAGTTTGAAGGTCGCTTAGCTCACGTTGGGACATTCCCTATTGGCATCGAACCTGCTTCATTCATCAAGGTATGCATCACGACGTAAAGTTACATGAGTCATTAAAGTTAACAACGTGCAGAACCTAGAGAAGGAAACCGTTAAATCTCGCATCACTCAACTGGAACAGCGTTTCAACGGTGTCAAAGTCATCGTTGGGGTTGATCGTCTCGATTACATCAAAGGCGTTCCCCAGAAACTACACGCCCTCGAACTCTTTTTGAAGCAGCACCCTGAGTGGATCGGTAAAGTTAGTGTGGGATTGTTTGTGAAAACCTGTTTGACTTACCCGCATCACCAGGTGGTGTTGGTCCAGCTCGCTGTGCCGTCTCGACAAGACGTCGAAGACTACCAAAACCTACGATCGACGGTAAACGAGCTCGTCGGTCGCATCAACGGCCAGTTTGGTACAGTCGAATTTATGCCGATACACTTCATGCACAAGAGTCTACCATTCGATGAGCTGTGTGCCCTTTACGCAATTAGTGACGTTTGTTTGGTGACGAGTACGAGAGATGGAATGAATCTGGTAAATCTTCTCAGTTCTTCACCTGCGGGGTGATGTTCTGACGTCATTACCACATCAGGTCTCGTACGAGTATATTGCTTGCCAGCAGGCTCGTCAGGGTGCAATGATCCTCTCCGAATTCGCCGGAGCCGCACAGAGTCTCAACGGATCAATCGTCGTGAACCCGTGGGATCCTCAACAAGTCGCTGACGCGATTCACGAAGCTGTCACGATGGATACGGAGACGCGTGCCGAGAACCACCGCAAGCTTTTCAAATACGTCAATAAATACTCCGCGGCCTTTTGGGGCACGAGCTTCATCAAGGAAATGGGCAAGTTGAAGCAGGACGATGTGGACAAGGAGGGTCAAGCTGAGTTGAAGCCCAAGAACGACGAAGGTGCTGGTAGCGACCTCGTTGGGGGACAAGTGCCTACGCCACAGGTGGTAAGCCCGGGTGTATAGACATCTGGGAAGGCAAGTATCATAACTTCTATTTAGGCACCAGGTCGGATGATCGCATTGCACACATTGCGCTTAACTTGGGGCGCTATACGTTGGTTGTTCCATATGATTATTCCATATCTTCAGTGGTTTTCTAGAACATAGATGGGGTCCCACATTACTTGACGCTGGAGAGTAAAGTAGTACATAGTAGCATGAGGTGAACACGTTTTTTTTGGTATGCACGCCTGCGAGCACTCGTTTCATAAACGTCTTCGAGAACAATCTCAAGTTTGCAAGCGCGAGCTGGTGACGAGATATCAGGGGTTGGTGGATGAGCGCTGCGGAAGCGCGTACGTACGATTCTCTGTAGACTTTCGAGAAAAGCGTCAAGTTGCTCGCCGTTCCTTTGAGAAATGAATTAGAACCATGATGTGTCCAGTTACCTGATTTAGTAACGAGCGGCTCAGGGTTTGCCTTTGTTCAATCTTCCCGAGCCATCTGAAAGAGCTTCGACAAAAGCCCTTTGACACGAAACGGGGCGCAGGACCTGTCAGAGAGTATTAACACCCTCATTCTCAGCGGGTGATCCAGGATCGTAACGTGAATATTGTGAAGAGGCAGATTTGGTTGTCAACGGGCAAAACTTGGAAATCAACAAAGGGGCGTCGAGGAGTCAGCTGAACTGAACGCGTTTTTTTTGTTTCCAGAATCCATGCTTCTTCTTGAAACAAGCTTCGAAAAAGTGAAGGAGTAAGTGACAAGACACCAATTTTGTCACCGGATGTTTTCCATTGTGTTGTCGGCGCAACGCGCATGTTGGAGTCATATGGCTCGATCGAATGACTTTGGATTCGAAATATGGCTTAACCCTCCAGCGCAGCATCGTTGTTAGATAGCTCCGAACCAGTCCCGTGGAACGGTGTACTGACTTCGAGCTTGTAAAATAACCTCGTTGATGAATAGAGAGCCCAGCCCTCGCGGAATGTTTCAAAATGCACATGGCAAATAGCGTTCCCTTCACCGCCACTATTAGTATTAGTATTAGCAGGAGTAGTAGTCACATCATCCGCAGAACAAAACATTTGCCGAGATTGGGTTTCGGATCGCCAACTTTTTTTTATGGGACAAGGAATGTATCTGTCAGTTGTCAGCACAGCAGGGTGATTTGAAAGGTCCTTCTTGATCGCAAAGATACGGTATGAGGATGAGTTTCCTTGGGCGCCCAGCACGTTTAAGATCCACGGGCTCCGTCCGTAAGAGTGGTGAGTCATATCCGCGTCAAAAGTGAGAGATGTATTTTGCATAGCAGGCAATGTGCGAGTCAAGAGCACGATGATGGTCGCCGATTATAACACGATGAAACCGCCATCGGTAAAGTGAAATGAGAGATCCTGATCCATTAAGTTGAAGTTAAGGTCGTGTTTACGGGACGTGGGCCAGGTGACGCGCCTCACGCGATGGTCGGCAACAAAACGGAAGACGTGTGCATTCCTTATTCCTGTGCAAGTTTCATGTAAGAGAATTGTAGTTTTTTTTGTGTTCCTGCGCTAGGCCATTTTTAAGGCTGGATTACGTCCTCATGTCCGCGCTAGCGTACCGACATCGGATGGCTATGTGCACCGACACCGACTCGATCAATATGACCGTAGACAGAATGATTCGCAGTCCCGATGTAGTAAATGTTTGATTGTCACACGGACTGGGCAAAGTGGATGAGATAACGCCGACGGTGTGACTGTGCCATCAGCCAAGAATTCGGGTAATTGGCGGGGGGCTGTGAGGCAGGTAATTAGGGATGAGGAGATTGGCTGGGATGGATCTATTTTTTGCGCTATCTATCGTTAGGGGGTGTATGCTGTGGAAAGATCAGAAAATTCTGTTTGAACTAATGATGTTGGCTTGGTAGATAACGACAATTACGGTTGAGAGCATGAGGTGGTAACGTGACAGTGTGCCTGCCAACTAGTTTCGAGAACGACGAGGGGTCATTTGAGGGATATGGGTTTGATATGGCATTATGGATATGAAATACTAGACCAGTTAATTATACCTTCCATGATAACGAAGCTTGGCCAGCGAATCCTTCCACTAGCTTTTTCTAAAAAGCAAACTCCAATGGAAAAGTGCTGGCAGAATATATGAAATTAGAAGGCGGGATCTTACTCTAATTGGATAATTGCGGAACTAGCCGACAGACATGGCCCACGGCGGCTGCTTACCCTAAACGCCACAGATATGGCGGTAATTCTGTGGTAGAGGGTGCGATCGGTGAATGGATGTCCGGCTCGGGTTCCGGATTTTCTTTGTGGCGGGAAGCGTGCGTGGCAACGCCTAATATGATCAGGATAATACTGAGCGCTCTACTAGTGGTAAAAGTCAAACGCACGCGTCTAACGGAACCTCCTTAAATGAAGTCTGCGATGAATCAATGAGGACTGCAGCATGTACTAGGGCCCAAGTAAAGGGGGATAAGTAATCTGATTAGCTAAGCCAGGAATTCCAAGTAGAAAGATGACGGAGGTGAAAAAGGAAGTTGTGTCACCCCTGAAGCCAAGGAGATCTGGGGAATCACATTGGTTGGGCGTGTAAGGTAGTGTGTTGGCGGTGGGGTTGGGACGTCAATAAGGGAACGACGATGACGTCGGTTCGTCCTCGGAGTGTAATCGAATGCATGGCATCCTGCAACTCGCTAAAAAAGGAGATGATTTGCGAAATATCGTCCATATGTCAGATTAGGAAATACTCGTCGTTGAACTCGACCACCTCGCTTCACGGTATTCAATCAATTGATTCAATTGATTCAATCTAATGTTTGCTTAGATATCCCATGGACACATGTACGTGTATTCTTGGCTCTCATTACACACCCTGAATGGCCTCCTTTTGTGCCTTAACTCATCAGAATTCTACATAGAATCTTCCAACCGCACCACCAACACAGCCTCGCTCTGTCACCTTCATTTATAATCCGCCTGTCCTTTCCTCACTTGGAACTCTTTCCCGGTTCATCTTCTGCTTTTCAGGTCCCATGGCTCCAGAAGGTATACCTGAGATCGTCACAACAGACCTTTCCTCGAATCATACGGTAATCCCCTTATTCGCTTCATCCTCTACAAATCCTTCTCCAAGAATTCCCCCAGATTCAACTCTCTTGTCTCCTCACCCTCAATCCCACCGTCGAGTTTCCTTGGACTCTCGCTCTCATTCACCCTCCCCGACCGTCGTCTCAGTCAAACGACGGCGCTTCCCAATTTGTTCCTCCGTCCCCAACCCTATCAAACCGCTCCTCGGGCCATTTCGCTACCTCGCTTTCCCTCAGGGATAATAAACCAGACGAACACAACGGTTATTCCTCATTGCATATCCTCGGTTCTTCAATGAACAAGGTCTTCACTCACAGTCGAAAACCTAGCAATGCAACTTTCACAAGCTCTCATGAGGGTCACGCTAGCCTTGACGAAACAGAACCAGACCATGCCAGCGGTGATTATGGCATGGTTCATCTTCGTCCTGTTACATCGGATCCCACAAGCACAATGCCTTCTCCTACCCACACACACGTAGACACAGCCTCCATCCTGTCAAGGTCTCTACCTGCTAAATCCGTCGACAACATCGTCCCAACATCTACTTCACATAATCCAAATAGCCAGCCAAACCCTTCCGACAGTCGCAAATCACTTCAGTCTAACCCCGACGTCCAAAAAATCGAACTCGTACAAGATGACCAGGTTGACCCTAGTCCGTTTAAATTCAGGCCCGTCGAGTTGGCCAGTCTTCTCGACCCAAAAAATCTCGACGCACTCGAGGCTTTAGGAGGTATCGACGGCCTTCTTCATGGCCTAGGAACTGACCGTTCTCGGGGTCTAACAATAACCGCCACTGCAGACAACAAATCAGGTGCTGGTCTAGGCAACTCTCAAAGGCATGATCGGCAACCTTTGTCTGTACACGATCATCCTGACCTTCAAATGCCCGACGGCCCTCATTCGGCGTTAATGGAAGATCGCAAGCGTGTATTTGGTGAAAACGTGCTTCCACAGCGAACAAGCAAAAGTCTACTTGCCCTCATGTGGCTCGCCTTGCAAGATAAAGTTCTTGTACGTATATACTAAATCGGTCAAACTCAATCTTCACTCTCCTCGTGTTTCAAGGTCTTGTTGTCTATCGCAGCCGTAGTTTCTCTCGCCCTTGGCTTGTTTCAAGATTTTGGGACGCCTCAGACTACCGGCGAACCCCCAGTAGATTGGGTGGAAGGTGTTGCCATCATGATTGCGGTTCTCATTGTCGTAAGCTGCCTGCACTTCCTTTTTTTTTTTCATCCAACGTTCAATTTTCTATAGGTTGTCATTGGCTCGATAAATGATTGGCAGAAAGAACGTCAATTCAAGGTTCTCAATGAGAAAAAAGAAGAACGTGGGGTCAAAGTCATCCGCAACGGCGTCGAACGTCTCATTGATGTGAAAGTAAGCTAGTTCTCGTTTTAATTTCACGCCTTTATCATTTTTTTTGTGCTCACAGGAAGTCGTGGTCGGCGATGTGGCATTATTAGAACCCGGCGAAATAGTCCCCTGCGACGGCATCTTCTTAACCGGCTACAACGTCAAGTGTGATGAATCAGCGGCAACTGGCGAGTCGGATGCTATCAAAAAGGCGTCTTATGCAGATTGTATGGCACTGAAACACGCGGGTGACTGCGCACTCGGAGGGGAGCACATATCTACGCACACGGACTGTTTTGTTGTCAGCGGTAGCAAGGTTCTGGAAGGCATCGGAAGCTACGTCGTCGTCGCAGTTGGCACGAAGAGCTTTAACGGCAGGATCATGATGGGTATGCCATCTTTCTTTGACAGCCAATACCCCGCTTAACTCTCACTCCATTAGCCCTTAGGACGGAGACGGAGCACACGCCCCTTCAGTTGAAGCTCAACCTCTTGGCTGAATTAATCGCGAAGATTGGAAGTATTGCCGGCATCATTCTCTTCTCCTCTCTGATGATCAGATTCATCGTGCAACTCGCTAAAGGCCAGCCTTCCAGGTGACGAACCTCAATCATGGCATACGCAACTTTTCTAATTGTGCGCTACAGGTCTGCCGACCAAAATGGTATGGCTTTTGTCCAGATTCTCATCATCTCGGTCACGTTGGTCGTGGTCGCCGTTCCAGAAGGTAATGGCTCTGCTTTTTTACGTCAAGTGCACTACGCCTTAACGAGCGTGTTTATAATTAGGACTCCCGTTGGCTGTGACTCTCGCTTTAGCATTCGCCACTAAGAGGATGACGAAAGAAAACCTCCTGGTACGCGTCTTGGGCTCTTGCGAGACGATGGGCAACGCCTCCGTCATCTGCACCGACAAGACCGGTACGCTCACTCGCAACGTCATGTCCGTGGTCGCAGGCTCCATCGGGATCCATGCCAAATTTGTGCGCAAACTAGAACACAATCAAGCCCGCACAAACGCGAACAGAAGCCGAAGCCCGCATAGGAACTCTGATTCGAAACCTCCCCGCGATGATTTCAGTATCGATCAATCAATGCTTAACACCGTTCTGAGCCGACCGCTTCTTTCGCTATTTAATGCCGCTATCACTGTGAACTCTACTGCATTTGAGGACGTGGAGAAGGAAAGTGGGGAGCGCGTATTCGTGGGAAGTAAAACAGAGACAGCGCTCTTGAACTTTGCCAAGGAGCTTGGATGGGCAGATTGTAAGGAGACGAGGGATGCGGCAAAGGTCGTGCAGATGTTTCCATTTTCCAGCGATCGCAAGGCTATGGGCGTGGTGGTCAAAACCGAGCATGGATATCGCTTCCACGTCAAGGGCGCTAGCGAGATTCTGACAAAGCTGTGCAGCAGCCATGTCGTTGTAGACCAGCATGGGAGTACTCGCTCCTCTACTGATGACGTCGAGGTGGCGGAGATCGATGGCTTCTCGGAAGAAAACATCTCCAGGACTATCATCTTCTACGCGAATCAGACTCTGCGAACTATGGCCCTGTGCTATAGGGACTTTCCGACTTGGCCACCACCAGGGGTGCAAGCCACTGCGATCGACGAAGTAAGTACATTCTCAGTGATATGTTGACATACTAAATGGGTTCTAGGTCCCATACGATGACATCGCTCAAGAGCTCACACTGATCGGAATCGTCGGGATCGAAGATCCGCTCAGAGATGGTGTTCGAGAAGCAGTGGACAATTGTCACAAAGCCAGTGTCGCTGTGAAGATGTGTACAGGTGATAATGTGCTAACGGCGCGTTCAATCGCTACGCAGTGCGGTATATACACGGCCGGCGGCATCATCATGGAAGGACCCGTCTTTCGCCAGCTTGACGAATCGCAGATGCTCGAGATCGTTCCACGGCTCCAGGTCCTCGCTCGTTCGTCGCCTCAAGACAAGAAGATACTGGTGGAGAAGCTTCGTGCGCTCGGGGAGATCGTTGCCGTCACTGGCGATGGTACGAATGACGGACCCGCTCTCAAAACAGCGCACGTAGGGTTCTCCATGGGCATAGCAGGGACAGAAGTAGCCAAAGAGGCGTCTGACATTATTTTGATGGACGACAACTTCTCTTCCATCGTCAAGGCGATCATGTGGGGTCGTTGCGTGAACGACGCAGTTCGGAAATTCCTACAGTTCCAGATCTCCACCAACGTTACTGCTGTGGTGATCACTTCCGTAACCGCCATCGCTTCTAGTTCTGAGACGTCGGCGCTGTCGGCCGTTCAGCTGTTGTGGATCAATATCATCATGGACACGTTCGCTGCGCTTGCGCTTGCCACGGACCCTGCATCGCCGGCGTTACTCAACCGGACGCCTGATAAGCAGACGGCACCGCTTTTCACTGTGGATATGTACAAGCAGATCTTGTTGCAGTCCGTCTACCAGATCACCGTCATCCTACTATTCCACTTCCTTGGCATCCAGATCCTGGGCTTTGCCGAGACATCGAACAATGACACCATTGTACAGACGCTCGTCTTCAATGCGTTCGTTTTTGCTCAGATATTCAACTCGGTGAATTCGCGAAGGCTGGATCGGAGGCTCAACATCTTTGAAGGCATGCTTGACAATTGGTACTTTATGGCTATCACCCTCATCGGTGAGTCGCGTCATATCATGTTTGGACTACCCTCACGGCTGGTTTACAGAGATCGCTGTGCAAGTGATCATCGTGTTCATCGGGGGCACCGCATTCCAGGTGACGCGTATTGGAGGTCGCGAATGGGGCATCTCACTCGCCCTTGGCTTTGTATCCATCCCCCTTGGTGCGATCATCCGCCTGCTGCCCAACGGACCCTTTGAACGCCTCTTTATCCTCATGCGCTTACTGCCCAAACGCCAAGGCGGTCTTCCAAAAGTTCGCCCAGAGGTTGAATGGAACTCTGCGATTGAACTTGTGCGTGATAATCTCGCCACGTTCGCTAACCTGCGGGGCGGGCGACTTCGTTCGTCTTCATTCGTCGTCAAGAGTCGTCAGGCTAGATTACACGATGACAAACGTGTTCCTCTGTATGTGCTAGTGTTTGGTTTTGGCAGATGGTATCCTTAATTTTTTCTAGCCCTTCGTTGATGACCATGGTCCCGACGCTTATTGCATCTTCCATCGGGGCTGGCTGGGCACCACAATCACGCGGTACTCTATCGGACCCTGCTCGCTACGATCCCTCGAAGTCCTCTGCTGCCCTCTGGGAAGGCAGGCTCCAAATTCATCCCGATACGAAGCCAGATGATGCACTGTATCACACAAAATGGGGTCGCGGAAACCGTCCGTCCGCGGTGTAGTGGTGTTGGGCATTGTTTGTTTGTCTGTTTGTTTGCTTTACGCGGACTAATGGAGGATCCCTGCCACTCGGAGGGGGGGAATCTTGCCATGCTGTGTCGTTATCCATAATCCATTATTCCAATATCTATATCAGGCGACCAACCCACAGTCATAAACGCGCAGGCTGCTAGCGGAAAGCCGTCGTAATCGCATCTATTCGAATCCGCTGGTCGATCGTTCTGATGGAAGGGGCCACCGGGTGACTGGATCACGGCCATCGCCACGACTGGGAAGCGTGGTGCATGTGCGCTCCACTCATCCCAATCATATCTATGATAACATAATCTACCCTGCCTTTCACGTTTGACTCCCACACTCACGGCCAAACACGCATATGACACGCATCTGGTCGTCTTTACGCATTCTTCGTTCTGTTTCACGCTCCAAACAATGTTACGGTATCCCCCTTTCACTTAACCCCTTCGTGACATCTTAAATTCGTGCGTTCACTTATATAACAATACACGCACGAACCTACGCATTTTGAACGGCTTCTCGCAATGTCAGGACTAGATTGACTCCACACATTCATACTGTATCCATACTATTATTCGTATTATAAGATACACACACCCCTTTACCAATATTTCTATAACAAATGATATATTTTTTCCCAAAATGTCTATGGCTTGTCTCGTGTCAAACCGCAAGAGGTGCAGCGTGACGTTTTGGCTGGCCTGTCCATGCCAGGGACAATCGCGTTCCCTATCCTGCTTAGTATTAGCCGGGGCCCTTGTGCTCGATGGGGGAAAAGTGTACATCCGGTCACTGATCTAGCCACATGCACAGCCCGACAGCCGTTCTGAACCATGCCATCGTAATGGTGCCGTTTCGTGAGGGATGACACATGCGCCGCCAGCCAGATTAGTGCATGCTGAAAAGCCATAAAATGACGTTCTGGAACGCGCCTCACAAAGTCCTGTTGCCAAGGCCTAAAAAAAATTTCATCCGTCGATTGGGACAGAGTACAGCCGCGGCATAAAAATTCAGTCGATGAATTTGGAATTGTTTGGAAATTCTGTACAGAACGCGACCCACGCCGACGTGCCTGTCTTGGGAACGGACACTGGCTTGCCAACAGCGGTGGCGGACTGCGCTGTATAGGTTTAGCGGGCGGATCTGTCTTTCTCTTATTTTAACTCTTTATCAAACGGCGTCAGATTGGAGAGCGAGCGTTGGCTATTCCCAGGCCCAGGGACCCTACACTCCTAGCTTCGACGTGACAGCTGGCACGACGCAATGTATTTTGTGAGCAAGTATAGGGGCGTAAGTGTGAAGAAAAATGCAAGTGTAGAATGATGACGGATCCTGTGTTCATAAAAAATCAGGTACGTGCGTTGGTGACAGCATAAGCGTTGGGTGCACTCAAGTGCTGAGAACGCCGTTTTGTGCGTGTGCTCATGAAAGCCTGTCATCGAGTGGCTCACATGATAGACATCGTGCTATCAACACGCGGTGGCACTCAGCACCAGACCGACACACTCTGGATATGTTTGTTCCTGGCTGTTCTGCTAGCTGCGTTGATCGAGCTCCGTGCTGGCTACAGGCGGAGACCAGAGCCCATGTATTAGACTTGATGAAAAAACGTTGGTGGAGCTGTGTTAATTGCATATAGTCCGTGATCATGTATGAGCAAGACCAAAATTTCCAACCTTGCAGTACTCAGCCAGCGGACTGCAGAGTCACCTGAGCCCATAATATTAGGACTAGGATCCGAGAAATCGATCGGCGGCAGCCTGCGTCGTGGTTTGTGATCGAGGAAGCACTGGACTCGAAAAGCCCGAGGATAGCTATACTCGCCCCGAGGTAATGCAAATAGTCAAGGTTAGTACAAGGCGTAGGATTGCCGCGGCTGAGAAGCGAGAAACCCTATCGGTTCATGGTGGTAGGTGCAAACTTGGTTGAAGTCCATCTTCCAATATAAACACAACACCACAACGAAGATCTTTGTTCCTTACTTAAAATTTCTAAAAGCTTAACCAATGTTGAAATATCTTATCCGATATCGTAGCTCGTCGGCTTGTGACAAAGTCACTTGTCGTTTTTTTAGACAAGCAGGCGTTCTACTTGCTGGATCTTTACCGCCCCGACGTCATGCAGATTCAGAAAACTTTGAAAATAGCAGATTCTCTGTCGTCGCGGAATCAGATAACTTTATTAATGGCGGGTTGTCGTGTCAACGCTCTATACCGATAGCTCTCTGAAGTTCTGGTTGGGTCTACATGCTCAGAGTCCATGCCGATATGCTCCGCCTTCATCGCCCCAGAGGTAATAAGAGAGTTTATACTGGATCATAACGAAATACCGGGATATCTATATCAAGTAGCGAACGCAGCCAGTGAGAAACAAAAAAGCAAGGAGTGTCATGACGACTGCCGTGTTTCTACGAATGAGGACGGTGGGAGGGAAGACAGAAGCGCCGGCTAAACCGTACCAAAGACGAGCTTCTCCCGAGCTCAAGCATATGGATATTCCAAATGTAGTCTTACTATTAGGCATGATTTTATAACGTCATACACACTTGCGGAAGCTGGTCGCGTCCGAGAGGACCGATGTGCGTGACATACTGGCAAAACGTACTATGAGCTGGTGAGGTAAAGAGCGTGACTACTTGCGTGTTTGATTTTTGTTTACCCAGCGTCGATGAGAAAAAAAAAGTGCGTTTCTGCGGGCTGGACAGGGAAGAAAACTCAACAAGTGTCTTGCAACCCAATAACTTGTAGTATCATTGGGTCATCACGTGGCTGCTGTATGATGGAGCGCACCAAAATTGGTTCAGCAATAAGAGTTTCTTGTAGTCATGTATGAGTATACAAAGGAGGTATACGTAGGTGAGTCAAGGATATGGAAGGTATGGATCCAGATAGATAGCATAGGGGAAGATCTAAGAAGACAAATGTGTCGGTAGGTAAGCATGAAGGCAGATGAAACACCAGAACGCTCGCACCTCCATGAGTGGAAAATTAGGCACGTACTATAGCTCTTTCAGCCCAGGTGTCTCCACCCATGAGCGAAATACGTCTCCTTCCTGACCCCAGAGGTAATATATGGCCCGTCGTTGCATGACCATAATATGTTGCGGCAAGTATTGGAACAGTCCAATCATCACCAACATCGTCAAAAGCGAGAATATGATCACTGCGGACAGATCAGAAAATTACGACATGAAAAGATGGAACTCACAGCAGAGAAGTTTCTCCCAAGGCTCAAGCATAGACAGTGCCAAGGTCGACTCGAACTTGACTCTTTGCCTCCATAAGTAGTCCTTCACCATGACGAAAAATAGTTAGGGAGCGATTGTAATTGAAGAGCAGGCAAGCAAGGGTAGAAGATGGTTCTACAAAAGAAAACGAGTACTTAAGTTATGGTCCGCCTTTGAGTTAATCCAATCACGCTGCCCAAGAGGGCGGAAATTGGCGGAAATCGAAGTCGTGATTTATTGGCACGTGATGCGCTACAAGTCCCACCCCTGAGGCCTGATCAATGGGTTACGGGTATCCTGCAGTCTGTCATCGCTGCGCATCGCACGTTTGTCATGAGCCAACTTCATCCGAGACCGAGCAAACGAAAGAAGGCCAATATCGGTATGTTTGAGTTGCAGTGGCCATCCTTTTTACTAACTTTGAGTTGGAGTTGTAGGTCTCTTTCGTTGCAAGTGCTGTGATAACGACCGGCCCTGAAATGGTAACGTTACTCTCAGCCATTCAAATCATTGATTGCGAAAAAGTTGACCCGCACAACACATTGTCAACTCACGCGCGGGATGCGGACGCCGTTGGCCATCGCAAGCTTTACTGCTTGCTTTGTTCCAACTTGCAAGGCAACCCGCTGTTGTGCCGTGTGTTGACATGGACAATCTTTTGTTCCAGAACTTATAAAGTATGTCAACGAGCTATAATATCTGCTGGTCTCGATGTTTCTTATGTGATCATAGCACGAGTGATTGTGAATCATGATGTGTTGGCAGGTCAGCTTGATCATTTCTGGCAATGTGCCCGGAAATCATTGGCGCAACTCAAAAGGTGATGATCTGCTAGTATTAGCCCCAAGGTAGCCCTGACCCTTATGTCCAGCTATCTGCTCGTGAGGTCGCTGCGTTCTAAACCATATGCATCTCTGTTTCACCTTGTGAGCAAATGATTCAACATTTCCGCTCATACTAAGTATCAGGCTCTTGTTGATGTCGAAAAATGAAACGTAGTTTTGTACATGGTGTAGTAAGAGCTACATAGAGGTACATAGGTGTGATCTGTGGTGGTGCGGAGCTGTCAGATTTATCACCGTTGGTCGGATTTGGATTGTACTGGCAGGTATTTCAGCGAGTTGAGATATAAAGTTACGCGGACGGAGAATCCATAAGACAATGATGGAAGAATAAAGTACGAGAGACATAATACAGTTAAACAGTAGCTTCAATCTCCCTATGAAAATCAGCGTGAGTTTTTCAAGGGCTGCATCAAATGCTAAGAGACATACTTGACAGGTAAACGTGATGCTCCCCTTGTGCCTCAATCCAGACAACGTAAAGTACACCCACATCCATCTGCCAATTAAAAACCTCAGGCTATAGCTCCTTCACACTGGCTGCCGCATGATCCATCCAGTGGTTTAGTACACGCTCGTCGCCCCAGAGATAGTATGCAATGCGAGGTAGTAGTGAGATCAACTGACTGGGTATTACCCGAGACAGGCCAGTAAAGAATAGGAAAGTGAGTAGAGACATGACAATTACTGTATGTGGATGACGGTCAAGAGTGGTTGGAGGTCATCGAACATGGGGTACTCACCGAAAACAAGTTTCTCCCAAGGTTCCAGACCACATATAGCAAAGGTGGCCTCAAACATAGTCCATTGCTTCCATGCATACGCGCTGAGTGAGTTGCATCGAAAGCCAGTAGTATCCCTGGCCAGCGGGGGTGGTTTAAAGGGGCGGGCCATATGGTGGTATATTGTGCAAGAAAGAATATGAGAAGGAGAGAAAGTATGACAATAATAACGATATGGTGAGATACACCCAATGTCATCAAATTATATATACGTGAACTGTTGAATGTAGGGTTATTTTTATCGGTGGGATGATCTCGGCCATCATCGTGGTAACCAACCAAAACATGCATATTAATAATTCCCGTTTCTTGCAATTCACAGACTCATTGCAAATGCCAACAGCGAGATATAAAGATAACGCTATCCAATGGCCATAACCACGACTCGAGGATACACCCATCAGAGACAGGTGGCACACACACGTTACCACCGTTGTCATACACAGCTCGTCGTCGGTGTTGTTGTCGACATGCCATACAATCGAGAGCATCACTCGCAGCGGTCGTCGTCGATGGGAGGCATCGTGCCCTAGGTCTGGCTTTTCGAAGCTCATCTCTTTCGAACTCCGAAGCAGTATCATTGGTGCCTCATGCATTGCTGGATCGTTAAACATCAGTTACGTTGAACGCCACAGTGGCTACACATGATGGGTCACGATGACGGACCGCTAGAACAAGTCAAAGCCATCCGCACGGATGAGGAGATGGATGGTGATGGAGAGAAAATCATACCCAGCAAAGTTCCAGTGGCCAAAGACTCAGCGAACGTCAAGATCGCCAAGTCAGCTGCCCGCCTCCTGGCGTTAGTACTAGTGTTTCTCCCTCAGCTTCAGTACTCACCCATTTTATAGGAAGCGCTTTGGGGGGATTCCAGGAGTACCGGTTGGGGCTAAATGGGAGGATCGGTGTGTATCTTCATTCTCATTTGATTCAGTTGAATTCATTTGTTTGTGTCTTTGCAGCCAAGGGTGTTCTCATGCTAGCGTACACCGTCCTTTAATGGCTGGCATATATGGCACTAAACAAACCGGCGCCTTCTCAATTGTCGTTTCGTGTCACTACAAAGATGACAAGGATTTTGGCGATACGATGTAAGTATCTACCACACACCGCTTCATTTTAAAGCGTGACCATTATATTCTGAGCCTTACGTGTATATAGCTACTATACAGGTACAGGTGTGTATTCACAACCTAGGTTCCACTATTGTATACCGATGTGGTAGCGTCAGGGGGTCGCAAGCGGTGGTCTGATAGCTGTCCTCCGAAGCGTGTAGGTCATTTTCTTGCTCATATAGCGTGATTATTCATTTAAAATTCTCAAGCTCCGGCTGGGTCCGCAGGTTTTTGATCAACAGTGGTCAGATCCAGGAAACGAAGCACTTGTCGTGAGTTTTTCTGTCTTTAAACGTGAGATCCCCAAATGACTGCAGAACAGAAATCGCGTGACACAGGAAACCCCGTGCGCGTCGTCCGAAGCTACAAAGTACTTTCCGATTTTGCGCCTGCCGAAGGCTATCGTTATGATGGTCTGTACACTGTCGAAAGTGTAATGTTATTTCCCATATCTATGGAGGATGCGCCAGCACTGATACTCAAACCTTCAAAGGCATGGAAAGAGAAAAATCCTCAGGGTCTGGATATCTGTCGCTATAGGTTAGAGGTAAGTTGCATTCTAAGTTATGGGGCTTTGATTAGACTGATGATGTATCAACAGAGGGTTCCAGGTCAACCCCCCCTGCCCCGTCGTTCGCCTGGAGGTACCGATCATGAGCCATCTCCCACCTCCGTAGCTACGTCAGATACTGCCGTCTCGCCCTCGCATACGTTGATCAGCCGTAAGCGCAATACTCAGCCATGTCCATCCCAAGATGATCCAACGATCTATGCCGATGCGGCGTCTAAGAAGCGCAAACTCGCCGACCAAGCGCCGCCCCAACCATTGTCGTCTTCACCATCATCATCATCTACCGTGCAGCCACAAGTTTTGGGGCCGGTCCTGGTGACTATTGAAACCCCGCTGCAGAAGCACAACCAGCGGGTGCAGAACGAGTTGCAGAAAGAGAAACAGCGATGCTTCCCTGGAACGAGCTCTTCCATGAAGACGCCTGTGAAGAGGCGACCTAGCATGTGGTCCGGCCAATCCAAGCCCAATAGCCTCCTATGGAGACCCATGCGGAGCATCTCTTACGATGAGAATGACGAAGATACCGATATATCACTTGATGACGAAGATTTTGACATACCATTTGACGATGAAGATGAGGAAGATCTACTACTCGAAGACCTCGAAATCACGGCAGCTTCCCTATTTTCATCGCTCTTATCCCCGTCGCCCTCCTGAGCGAGTCATCAAATACCTACTATATCCCGGGTGCTCTGCTTTCTTGCTTTCAAGACCTCGAATCCATGTTTCTCATTCACTTCGCCCATCTGGCAGGACCAGTCACGGATGTACAGTACCTTTTTTCTGTTTTCTTGCTTTCAGGATCATTTGGAATGTCTGTCTGCTGATACTGCTCTGCTAGGTCTGTCTACGTTTAGTTAAACTTGTGTCTGTAGCCCCGTACTTGCGCAATTCAGAAATTCACGCAGAACTACGGGACAATCTAAATATGCAACTTCGTCTCGCAGGAACAGATGCAAATCAATGTCTGTATTATCGACACATCATTATTCGTTGGTGGAGTCGGACCTTGGCCTGGCGGCCCTGGCCAGATGATTGCAGTTTTCGAACTCCGACTGAGCAGCAGTCTATGTATAAGAAGCCTCATTGTTGGCCTCGTGTGTTTATCTCCATCATCTTGACAGTTGCTGACGACAGAATACTCAAGGACCCAGAGGCGAGGACATCAAACAGTGTTTAGGACGAGAAGATGAAAGAAGAAACACCCAGACGAAGGCACAGGAAGGGCTCTTGTAATAGGCCGGTGTTAGCAATATTCAATGTCCCTCCCTCGACCACACTGTTTAAACACTTTCTTTGCAGGCACCACTTTGGGGAATATCCCGAAGCACCTTTCGGGACAACATGGAATGATCGGTGTGTACTGTGGATATTCGTTTAATAACTTCAGTTACCTCATCTGTCTATCTGTAAACAGCGCAGAATGTTTTAATACTGGCGTGCATGGCCAATCGGAGCCTGGTATACATGGCATTAAGGGAATGGGTGCCTTCTCAATTGTCGTCTCGGGTCAATACGAAGATGACAAGGATGATGGGGATACGATGTAAGCACCTAGCGGCGCTTATTTCGAGCTGGATCGGTAATCTTACCTGTCCATATAGCTTATATACAGGTTCAGGTGTGTAGTCACAATACGGGCTACAAGATTGTATGCCGACGCGGTATCATCAGGAGGTCGCAAGCGCAGTGATGGCGTAAGTTGCCCTTTTGCTCTCATAACTTGACCATCGACTAAAACACCCAAGACGCGCGAGCAGACCTGTGATCAGAAATGGTCAGACCCTGGAAATGAAGCACTCCGTGTGAGTTCTATGTCGGATAGATCCGAGGACGGGAAATGACGGTACAATAGAAATCTTCCGAAACAGGCAAACCCGTGCGCGTCATTCGGGGCTACGAGCTCGAATCCGAATTTGCGCCCTGGGAAGGCTTTCGGTATGATGGCTTATACGTCTGTAAACGTGTAACATTGTTTTTAATATCTACATATATCTGTGAGCACTGATACTTTGTCTTCAAAGGCACGGCAAGAGAACAATAAAGACGGTCATTATCTCATCTGTCGTTACCTTATGGAGGCAAGTCTCCTAATAATCAGGCTTTGATTAGACTGACCAGTATCAAAAGAGAGTTCCAGGCCAACCACCCTTACGCCGTCGTTCACCGGTTGTCGGCCTTTACATGCCAATACCAGGCTTCGAAGACGTGCAACCGCTAGCGCCAGGGCCAAAACCAGTAAATGGACGCCAAAGAATCAGGAATCGGTTGACGGCCTTGGTGGCTAATGATCAACGAATTCATGGCCCCTGTAAAGAGCTCCGCCGTTGAGCTCGCTTGCGAACGTGGTATACGTGAGGCCCTCTTGCGCCTATCACGCCTAAGCCCAGGTTCAGCGAGACCCAAAGAAAGGAAATGAGGCCCCCGATTGAAAGTGCGATATCATCCTGATGATGACGAAGTGCAGATATGTTCTGTGAGGAAGAAGATGAGGCAGATGTAATACCTGATGACCTTGATATGAGTATTGTACAACAGACCCTGTGATATACAGCCGCAACTTTCGATGCATTACCCTCCAACTTGACCAGTAGATGGCCCTCAAAATATGCACTAGAGCAGGACACGATTATATACCAAGTCTCAGACTGGCATTCGCATGCCAACAAAAAAAAACATCAATGCAAAGATGAGCAGACACTTTGATCGCACGTCCATAGGGGCTGCCGCGACAATACCTGAACGAGCTTTGTAAAATCATTAACCATAATATGCAAAGACAAACCGATTAGCTCTGGAAGTAGTTCGCATATGTGCGCTGGTATGTGGGGTATACATTAAACGACGTTATGACTGCATTATGGATGAGATAACATCATGAGATGTCAGATGACGGGAGAGATCGTCGTAATCAAAGACTGGTAGATTAATGATGACCGTCAGTGTATTCAATGGCCCGAAGCGAGCCCAGCGTGTTATATCGTTGTGGTAGCGACGATGGGAGGTGTGGAGACAAGATAGAGAAAGCAGCATGCCCTCAAATTTTCTCATGCTGGTGCGTTCCTCTGCGTGATACGAGGCGGAATTCGAACATGCGAGAAGAAGAAAATGTTATCAAGTAGAATTGAATATTCGAGTAGATAGATAGGAACGCACGCGTTTGGCAACACGGCACGTCAACTACTACTGACGGACGCTCATGCGGCTCAATATCTGCATCGCTTGGTCTGCCAAAGAGACGATTTAGGACCCAGTGGAAAGGGCGGGGTCGCGATGGCGTATCGTGGGCATCTGAGTGTATGGGGAGGGATAAAAATAAAAGTGGCCACGATTCATACGATCGTGATGTGATGATGATGGTTGGGACGGTGTCGTACAGACAACGGAGAAGATTGAGGCGCTTACAACACTACCAGATGAGACATTAACGACGTACGTGAGCACGGTTTGGTGGGCGATTAAAGAAACCTCGGGGTACATGGCTGACGGACAGGACGTTGTGTAGCATCAACCTAGAATGTATGATAAGCTTGAATGCAATGAGAAATGTTTGTGAAAGTGCGCACAGTAGTATCGCAGAAACATCTCATGAAGTATCAGAGTATGCAGCCTTTAGCAGCTTTCGGTCATGTGCCGAAAATGACACGCAGTTCACTGACTCTGCATGGTGGAGGGTGAAGTGATGGACTGATTGTTGTCCGAGTCGAGGTTCCACAATCGCGCCGTGACGTCATTCGATGCGGCCATGTTGCAATGGCATAGACGGCTGCAGGGAGCTTATCGAATTGTTAATTAACGCTCGTTATACTCTGGCGTGCTCACTGGCCACTAGCATATTCAGTACTTTGTAGTAGCTTACCCATGGTTATTCCGAGTCCATCAATTGGCCCAGTTTTCCATCTTGGGTCCGACAAGCCAGGCAATGCACCATGTGCCATATGCATATGTCTTTTGAGAGTAGCGACAAGCTCGCCTGTTTTCACATCCAAGATTTTGACTTCGAGTAGCAGTCGAGGGCTCCATGTCCTTGTATCCAGTGCTCTGCCAAGTATCTACCGGTACTCGCAATTGACATGGTCGTGTCTTGCGAGCAAACGACGGCATAATGACACTGCAAATGGTACCTTGTCTCCGCGAGGTCCAAGCGATTGTCTTTTCGGTCTCCGCATCCAACTGCCTTGCCGCAGTCTCATCTTAAAATACGCTCACCACTAGCCGACAATATCGACTCCAGCCGCGGATCGACCTGACTGGCCGTGTATGCCCTATCCATTTCGTAATGATCTTGCCTGTATCGATGTCCCACAACCTCACCGCACCACAATTCCGCTAACTCTTTTCTTACCGCCTGAAGACCGTCAATACCATGGTCTCACTGTCTCCGTCCTGTCCTATCTGTTCTCCACTCTTCAATTCACATACCCGCAGCGAGCCATCCGTTGGACCCGGTCATCATCCGCTCTCCGCCTAGCAGATGTATGGCGCCAAAAACCAGATTGATGTGTCCTTCAAATTTCTAGTGGGCGTTATTGCTGATGTCGCCTACTTCACAGCAACAGGTAAAGTCATAATCAACTATCACGTGCAGCTCCGTTCTAGCTTTCATCCAACGAAGGCCAAAACCAAAACCATCACTCACTACGATATGTTTCTCAACAGGTCTCGAAGCGTTGACACCAAGGCACAATGGGCGTTTAGGTCAAGTCAGTGTCGAGTTTACTGGAAGCTCGAGCTGGCACATTGTACATGTGACATCCTCGTGATTACTTCACAGCTTTTAGTGTAGGCTACGTGACAGATGTCCATCATCTCCGAGTGGCCCATGCTCAATACCCATCTGGTGCGTAAGATGTATATTTGACCGTACCTAAACTCACTAGACGGGTAACTTTCCCAATCGCTGATACCAGTCACCATGATATTCCATCTTTATCCACAAACTTTGGAACAACATCACTACACGTGAACTTTGCGATATAGCCTTGGTGGTGGATCACTGTCGTAGTTTCCAAACAATCCGGTTTGCTGGTGGCTAAGCGCTGATGTCTTGCAGATAGGCCTGCCATTCATCGAGACAATGATACCTTCAGTCAGGGAATGCAGCTGCTGAAGGTAGTATCTTTTGAATTACAGCTCGTCCATGCTCGCGCCCTACCGTGTAGATGTCGCCGATATTCAGAATGAATATATGATTATGATGATTATCGTATCATGTAAACCCTATGAAGACAGAAGGTGCGTTGAGACTGGACAGGGATATTATTCACTGCATTTCCCACTGTTCCCAGCTCGAGTCAGGATGCAGCATTCCGAATAACCATGGACTTGAAGTCACGGCTTTCGAACTCCGACGCAATAGTAGTTTATAAGTACTGCTTATCTCCATTGTCCTCACAATCACCAACGGCCCAATAAACATCGTTCGCACTCAGAAGGACCTGGAGGCGAAGACATCACACAGTGTCTGGGACGAAAAGATTGGAGATCCAAAAGAAATGTCTAGCCAAATACCGGCGTAAGTCTCTCAGTGCTCCTCCCTCAATTATATCTATTCACGCAGTGTCTTTGCAGGCATCGCTTTGGGGAAATTCCAGGAGCACCTGTCGGGACGACATGGATGACTCGGTGCTTGGTCTTGATTCTCGCTTGATACATCAGTTACCTAACCTGCCTATCTGTTTACAGCAGAGAATGTTATAATGCCGGCGTGCATGTCCAATCGGAGCCAGGTATACATGGCACTAAGGAATTGGGTGCCTTCTCGATTGTCGTCTCGGGTCAATACCAAGATGACAAGGACGAGGGGGACACGATGTAAGCATCTAGCGGCACTTATTTTCGAGCCAGATTGGTAATATTACCTGTCCATATAGCTATTATACAGGTTCAGGTGTGTATTCACAATCCGGGCTACGAAAACTGTATGCCAACTTAGAATCATCAGGGGGTCACGAGCCCGGTGATCGTGTAAATTCTCATTGTGCTTCATAGCTTGACGCTGATTGTAATTTCCAAGACGCGCGAGCAGATCCGTGACCAGGAATGGACGGATTTTGGAAACGAAGCACTTCTTGTGAGTTCTGTATCGGATAGATCCGAGGACGGGAAATGACGGTACAATAGAAATCTTCCGAAACAGGCAAACCCGTGCGCGTCATTCGGGGCTACGAGCTCGAATCCGAATTTGCGCCCTGGGAAGGCTTTCGGTATGATGGCTTGTACATCTGTAAACGTGTAACATTGTTTTTAATATCTATATATATCCGTGAGCACTGATACTTTATCTTCAAAGGCATGGAAAGAGAAGAATAGAGATGGTCATTATGTCATCTGTCGCTACCTTATGGAGGTAAGTCTCCTAATGATCAGGCTTTGATTAGACTGACCAGTATCAAAAGAGAGTTCAAGGCCAACCACCCTTACGCCGTCGTTCACCGGTTGTCGGCCTTTACATGCCAATACAAGGCTTCGAAGACGTGCAGCCGCCAGCGCCAATGCCGCCCCCAGTTACTGGACGTCAAAGAATCATGCAGCAGCTTGAGGCCTTAGTAGATAATGATCAACGAACTCACGGCCCCTCCAGAGAGCTCCGCCGTTGAGCTCGCTTGTGAACGCGGTATGCGGGAGTGTCCTCTTATGCTTATCACGCTCAAGCCAAGGCTAACTAAAATTCAAGGAAAGGGAACGAAGAACTTGTACGATAACCCTTGAGTGAAAGTGTGATATCACAGTGCACTGGCAGATATGTTCCCCGAGGAAGAAGATGAAGCAGATGTAATACCTGATACGATATTAATATTGTACAAACAAACCCTCATGATATGGCCAATAAGCACGCGACTTTTGATAAAATGGGCGGTTGAATTCAGGTTCCAACCGATGACTGATAGGCTGTGAGGGGAATCAAGTTGTAGTGACATATGACTCGGTGGACACCATTGCCATGACTAGGTCAGCTTTGCATCGATTCAAATGAACGTTTTATTTAGTATATAAAACGTTCATATCCACAGTATCCTCGTATTATGCAAATAAGATGGAATATTGTTGAGACTGGATAGGGGTTTTGTTCACTATGTTCCCCAGTCTGAGTATCATTTGTAACAAGTTGGTTTATTATGAGTGTCACCCTTCACACTATGGAATCAGTAACTATGTCGCCGGTTGCCCAGCACACAATTGCAGAGGTTTGCATAAGTATACGAAATGGAAATGCCATTCCTCCGAGTCAGGGAAGCACATACACACCTTAGAATTAGCTTTTGCAGATCGCAAAACAGAATGATGAATGCTGTGCCCGACACTTAAAAAGACTTAGGGACCAATGGAAATTGGTTCTTGTGATCAGATGATTGTGCGATAGTGATACATCGATAATAACTGTCTAATTTGCACCGTAACACAGGTTGTCCAAGACGGAGATAACCTCGAGCTTCTGACCTTAGGCTGTAGCTGCGCTAATAGTTTGAGAAGAGTCGAAACTCCAGGATGATACTCAAGACATACCACGTTAGAGAGCCTTCTTTAGAGAGCCTCGTTGTGTTGGGGGGGGGAGCCCTTGTTGAGGGGGGCCGTGTTGGGGGGGTCCTCCTTGGGGGGGCCCTCCTTGGGGGGGCCCTCCTTGAGGGGGCCGTTGTTGGGAGGCTCAACCTCACGGGATTCCTTCTTGGGGGGACCCTTGTTGGGAGGCTTAACCTCACGGGATTCCTTCTTGGGGAAACCCTTGTTGGGAGGCTTAACCTCACGGGATTCCTTCTCAGGGGGACCGTTGTTGGGAGGCTCAACCTCACGGGATTCCTCCGCAACAATGTCTGTACCACAATGTGTATCTCGTTAAACAAGATGTAGGTAGCGCAAATACGCCGAGACATACATGAGAATGATTTCACAGGGGGGTCCGCAACATCACGGGATTTCTCGGCGGCGACGTCTGTGCCACAATGCACATCTCGTTAGACAATATGTAAACAATGTAAACACGCCGAGACATACTTGTGAATGCCTTATTGGGGGGGACCTCGGCATCAGAGGGGTCCTCAGCAACAAGATCTGAACGGTTTTGACATCAGACATGGCGCAGATAGGATGAGCACGCTAGAGCATACACGGGAACGGCTTTTGCGCGCGTTTCTCGACCTCAGAGGGGTCCTCAGCAACAAGATCTGAGTGGTTTTGACATTAGACATGGTGCAGATAGGATGAGCATGCTAGAGCATACACGGGAACGGCTTTTGCGCGCGCTTCTCGACATCTATGTCATCAGCCAGGTAAGTAGTGCACGACAAGATGAGGCTAGCACTGAAGCCTCACCTTTGACGACCGGAGATGCCGCTGTCATCTGCAGCAAAGCAATGGCAACACAAACAAAAGATAAAGTGAGCTTCATTGTGGTTAGATGTAAGCAGTAGCGATCGTTGGAGGGTGTTGAGTGTACAATGGATGCAAGGAGTGAAGCCTTTATATCTTTGGGTAGCTCGATTGTCTCTCAGACTCGCTCGCAGAAAAACATTCATCCTATAATCGGTTTGGAGTGTATATCGTGTGCTTAAGAAAAGCCTGAGCTTTCTTCCGTTCACAACCTGCTTGTTCAATACACCACGATAAGGCGAGAAAGTCTACCGACAGGAAGGTCCGTATTGTTTCTTGATTGCTTAGGCGAAACGTTCTTCCGTTAGTTGGCTGACACAGAAGAAGGCCCTCGGTGTGGCCAGGTTCATAGTGAGAGTGCAGTGACTGGGAGGCCCTGTTCAACAATTTTGTCAGGTCCCTGGATTGATCAGAAAGAACCACAAGCACGTCATGCTGAGCAACAGCGTAAGTAAATCTCCATGACCTGAAGCGACTTACCAATGTCGTGTTTATTGTTCCAGGAGTTGATGTTGCACCAGTGGCATCTCAGCCCGTCCAAATCCAGCTCTTGCTCAGTGCGGCTACATCGACAATGTCGTTCCCACTCGGGCCGAAGATGGTCTTGCAGTTAACAAGCCTTATACTTCACGCTGTGTGAGTACGGCCGTATTGAGTACAGGTTTGAAGTCCCAGACTGATCTCTCGCATAAAATTCGACCTGATGGAGATAGGTAGCGAGTTTTGTTAAGGCTTAACATTATATACGTGGTCGCGAACAAAGTCGTGTGCTAGTGTGTTGACGCGTTGTTTGTGCCAGTGGCGAGAGCCCTGACTGAATAGTGCCTGACTCCTCAGACGAGTCAGCCAGGTAAACGATATAATCACCAGATTCAACATCTTGTACTAAGTACTTGTAACTCACTTGTCCATTTTTTATTGCGTCAAAAGAACTTTCTGAAAAGTAGACGCAACCACTTTGGAGGGCTGGTATGTTGAAACTGACACTCTGATTCAGAATCTAACATTACTCCTTGGCAGGGGGGACTGACGGTAGAACTATGAAGTACTCCTGCCATCGAGTTCTTCATCTACCAGGAACATCCAGTCAGGTCGGCGGCCAGTTGGCAGAATTCTCGACTTCTACCACCCGTGGAGTAGGTGCGACTCGCGGCTGTCATGGCCCTGGACATACTTAATGCCATTTAGGCATCAGCATTCATTTGTCTCATTATGCGAGCATCGGACGCACAGGTAGATGGGAGCTGATGTTCAGGACTCGAAGCAACAGATTGGTCAGTGTTGTCGAAAGTCCGGCAGCTTGTTCAACCGAGTACAACTCACACTGCAGATGGGTTCCCCTGACGTGCACCATAAAGCAATCTGGGGTGTTGTGACACGTTATTTTCCGTGCCTGCCAGCAACAGCTCAAGCTATAGTTCCCAATACTAGTAGTTTCTGGTAAGTTGAGCATGCAATGCTGATAGTTACCTTGTAATTCAGTGACCTGAAAATTTCTCTCACAGCACGTCCAACGGCAGACTCAATGCTTCACAACCTCAAACTTCGACTCTCGGGCATATTGCACGTATTTGGGCCTAGTGCTTTCGCCATTAGCATCATTTTGAACACCCTCACCATACTGCGCTTGCAACATCAGTCTGATAAACAGTACTGTATGTTTAGGTCGTCCTTACTGACAGCCATCTCATCAGCATATTTGATGCAGCTTATATCGGTAATGATCATCCGATCGAATTACCCCTCGACTTGGAGACCGTCGCATTGACGTTTGAAGACTCAAAGTATTACAGTACTTCGGGGCTCACGGCCTGGTCGGAGTGGAATCTGCTCGATCACTTCCAACAAGGCCACGGATTCGTGCGTCTGGGACCAAATGGTAAGTAAGCATTCACCCCATTCTTGTCAGTGCATGAGTCAGACACTTGCCGTTCCCATCTTCTATCAGGGCGACTGTTTGGTGTCTCGATGTTTCACCAGCTTCATTGTCTACAAATGATCCGATTAGCCCTTATCAATGGGCCCAATGATCATAGTGGCCACTGCCTCAACTTCTTGCGACAGGCCATTCTTTGCAATTCTGATACTACCCTCGATCCAGTCTACACCAATGGATCGGTGTCAGGCTCAAGCGGCTTGGGTGTCACGCACATATGCCGAGATTGGTCGCAGGTTTATGCGTACATTGAGGAGAATCAGAGGAGCCCTGTGTGGGCAGAGCACAATACAGAGATGTAATCATAACGCGAAGTCAAGTGGGAGGGAGGATCTGATTTCGCACTAACGCTGCATGAGATCAGCTCGTAAAATACTTACTTATAAATCTCAGTTGGTGCTCGAAGCGGTAGCCGAGTCCCAAGGCTATTCAATGTCAAGGTTGATCTGAGTGACAAGCCAGCATTTCCCTGTGCACCGTGATTGTATGATGGAGGTCTTGGTCATTGTCTCGGTGCTTGAATTGGATTGTCAAGCGCAGTCACAGGGTTATTCAATGGAAGGTCACCGGACTGAAGGTCAGACTGGTATGAGTATCGAGTAGAAACTGAGTACTGATCGATCGCGAGTACCCAAGAGTCGTTCAAGGTGATATACAATAGAGATGCATGAAGGTTGTCAAAGCATGTGCGGTGTCAGGGAAGACATAAATGCAACATAACATGTCATATTCATTCTTGATCCATAATTAAGTACGATGCAAAACTCCAAGCTCCAGAGCTCCATCATCCATCATCCAACTTCCATCCAACAAGCATGTAGAACATATACCGAGCGACATGGTGAGATACGATAACTACGTCCAGCGTGCAATAAGGTTTATCCGATAAACATATAGACGATACACCAAATAATGAAGAGAGAAAAATACCCTGAGAAAAAGAAACATTCGATGCAAAAGGAGTGTGAATGTTGTACAATGATTTCGCCCAATATATGAAAGAATGAAACAAGTATCGTAGTCGTAGAGATAGACAAGGTTCGTGAAGAATCGGAGAAAATACTAGATCACGGCAACAGGAAGTTAGCAACAGCGACAGATGCAGGCCAAGGGGGACGTACAGTCGTAGAATAGACTATGTCGCGTTGCGGGCAGGAACAATATACCCGTAGACCAATTTCTTCGGGTCTTGGAGAGTGAACTTGCGACGTCCCCTCTTAACACGGTCCTTGCTTTCAAGGAGCGGTCCGCATGTCGCTTGGTGCCGATCCAAAGAATCGGATCTCGACCACCGCTTTCCGCAATAAGGGCATTCGCAAGACGTAGTATAGTGGACGCTCTCGACGTGACGGCCCAAACTGAGCATCGCCTCTGATCTTGAGCAATCCTCGAATTTGCAGGCAGCCGTGTCTGTGGATTTGACACCGTGCCAGTGCAACAAGTGATATGCGACGCGGGCCTTGTTCATTTCTACAAACAGCCCGCAGGGCTGGTCCGTCCAACCGCATGCTCGCACGCAAGTCATCCCTGCGGGTAGTTCGTTCGTAATCTTGACGGACCGCTTGGAGTAGGAATCGTCGAGTTCCATCGCCCCAAATCTCCTCGTTCGAAGAAGATTACCATGGGCATCATGAGTCCTGCGGCTGCTGATATCTACCGGCTTCGGGTCGTGAACGGGCATACCCATGACTACGGCAGTAGCATCCGCTAGTCTGTAAAAACCAAACTTCCCCTCTCTGATTTCTTCGTCGTCGTCGTCCAAGCATCTGCGCTTGCGGGTGGTTAGCACGGGAGATAAACTGGAACCATCTTCCTCGGATTGAACGGTATGGCGAGTTTTACGCTTGGGACGTTTGGCGCATATCTGCCCATTGGGAGCGGAGGAAGATGGCTGCAAGTTGTTGTCATCACTCAGATACATTGTCGCATCAGAGTCAGATGCGGACGGCAAAAAGGTTTCGGTATCCGACATCGTGTCCATGGCGGCACTAGCGTATGCGTTGCCGGTATAATCCGTTGTCGAGGGGATAGACACTCCAGCCTGTAAATGCGCATTTTGCTCTTGAAAGAATGGAGGTCGGGGGCCATATGCGCGGGGATCCCCCGCTGCCCAAAGCTCTAGGTCGACGACAGTGGGAAAGTAATTTTGAGCAAAATTAGGTCCATTCGCATACGAACCACCATCATAGCCATACTGGGACCATGCGGGGACTTCCAGCGACGCCTGAGGGACGTAAGAGGGCTGCGGAGAATAGTGTTGGCTCGGATCGAATGGGGGAAGCTGGGGGAGACCAGCCACCGGAGCGGTGAACTGGTTCAACGTTGGAAACGACATCTGAGTATTTGAAACATCCGGTAAAGATGCTGAAGACCTGGAAAAATGAATGAGAAATGGTGGACACTCAGTTGGGGTGGCACGTACCAGTGATACGCCTTTAGGTATTCATCTTCCTCGCAGGCCCGAGCCCATCTGCCACAGGCCGTCAGTTGAGTCGATGTTTGAATTGAGGTAGAACTACACACTCAGCCTGGATGGCGGCCACATCTTCGGGATAAAATAACTCTTGGGCGTCTTCCGAGACCGTGTTAGCGATGGCTTCTGTATGGATTCCAGGTTGAGAACACGAAAGGATAGTCCCGCTAAAAAAATTATGAGATGGAGCGCGTCATCCGACTCGAGATTGAATACTAACCTATCCAACGACATCTGAAGACTGTCGTATGAGGCACTAAATGCGGAAGGCATCATCAGCATATACCGAGTCGACATGTGAGTAGACTTACCTAGACATATCAATGATTTGAACAAGTAATATCAAATGGCTAAGATGAAGTGGCAAGGGAAAGAGGACGAGAGATAGAGAAGTGAAGGAGAGAACGCCAGGTTTTTAACCTCACAACATGTGGAGAAGCGCTATACAAAGCACGCCTGTGGACGAGCATTATGCCCCGACAACATGTCGCAAAAAGGCAAGCGTGTGTGGTCATTTCACATATCTGTGGCGTCTATTCAACTGCTTTGAAGCACCATGCGTGCATCAATCCACAAAAGCACAAACCTTTCACCACACGTCGCTCATCCTTTGTTAGACCTAGACGCGCGTGGGGCGATGAAGTAAGTACTAGCGCTTCCTCACTAAAGGATATGACATTACTTGCATGCAACAGTACAACTCTGTCAAAATTCGAAGTATCGCAACAATGAGATTTTCGTGAAGGATGGTCACGGCACACTCAACTACAACCGCGAGCTTTGACAATGGTACCAGTTTGAGACAGCAACAAGCGACTTCCAGTACAAGCGGGCAGCTGATATATTACAGCTGAATATTGCGCAGTAGAGGAACATAAGATGTGAAGGCGCGTAGTACCCTAGACCTGAAACTTCTGACATATGTAGTGTCAGTTGCATGTTTAATTGTAAACGTGCAAAGATACTTACCTTCGTTGTTCATTGCGTTGTGACCCAGCATAGTCCTTGCCGCTGAGGTGAGAATTGGAGGGCTTGATATCATCTAGCCACTCAATGGACACCGAAATACTTTTTCAGATCAAAACCATGGGTTGACATTAGCGTTTATGTGAAGATATTAGGAGCTAGGTGGCAATGTAACAGAGAGAACGCAGCGCGTAATACCCTCATTATCATGAAATGAAGGTAGCATTCTCTGGACTAGCCTGAGATATCAACAGCTTCATTTTGGATGATCGGATCACTTCAAGTTGAAGATACATCACAAATTTGTTCAGGGCCTGAGATAGGCATATCAACACGCGCGCGACTTTGGTTACCATAATTCTGTCAGAGGCATGATGAAGCTGCACGCATAATACAAGGTTTGTGTTGATATCAGAATTCACCGTGGTAAATCAGTTGCGCTAGAGTGCAGATGACGACTCGGAGCAAAGCGTACGCGTTGTTTTGGTCTGTTGTCCAAAGGCTTCCGAGAGTTTCCTTATGTGGAAGCTGCACATTGCAAATCACTAGGTTCTCGACAAGTTCTTGACCATGTTTCAATGTGCAACCTCGTACAGGTTTCTTAAGCAGGCCACATGTAACCGGTAGAATATTCACTGAGACGCTGATCACACTCAAGCTATGATAGCTTTTCTGCATAAAATAAACTGGCCAATAAACTGAATAAATAAACTGTTATTAAGTAGGGCTTAACATTATATGTGCTTTCGATTAATGGTACGTACAAAGTGTCCCTGACAACCACTACGGGACAGACAAAGTACCATTCCTGCAGAAGGATTGTTTGAATGTCGGATCAAGTATCGAAAATGTTAGATTAATGCTAAAGTTTCATCCGCCCAGGCAGTCACTGATAATAATATCAGTTTGAAGGCACACCGCTTAGCACAAGCCTGCCACTAGCACATGTCAAGGCAAAATCTAAGCGAGTTTGTAAGTACCGTGACCGGATGCGCTGTAGGCCGTTATCTCGCAATCTTGTAGTCCAACGAGAGGTCATAGGAATTGTGCTCGGTCCGATACCCCCAATCGATCCGGTTTGCCTTGAACGTCTGATTCTCAGGCTGGAGAATCGATCAGCTGTAGGAGGAGGCTGCTGGTTTCTTCCCATTACAGGCACCGTTAAAATTCTTTGCCAAATGTGACATGTGACAGTTCCGCGTGATCGGGTTTTTTTAGAGTACATCATGCGTACTAATGCAGCCCGACAAAGCTGCTGCAACCACTGCTGCGTGGATTATAGGCAGGTCTTCACGCGCACGAGCCTCCACACCATCTGATGCATCTATCCCAGTCATGTGAGGGTGTACAAGAATTTGAAGAAGATTTAGTATGTGTCAAGTCTTAGCCTTCCGGTGAGGTCACGGTGAAATGAATCATAATCATCACTACCAACTATTCATAAACTATGACAGTTGATTTGTCATAGATCAATATCATGATGAGCAGAATCGGCCGAAAAGATTTGATTGTCGACAGTCCCCATGGTAGATTTCCGGCTAGCCCATTTTTTGGGTAGAACGCCATGCTAACGCCATGTTGGCCACCCTTGCTGCAAGATGGCGTTCTATCATACACCCTATCACGCCCTATCACACCCAAATCACCCGCCCTATTGCGCCACTTCTCCGCAACTGACATATGTCGATCGGTAGGCTCTCTCTATGTTGAAATGCTGATAGCTATAGGCCCATTGACCCCAGAACGCTCATATATCTAGCATGAGTCGTGGCTAGCTTGAAGTCCTATCTCTTCCCTCCTACATTTTCGCTCACGACCGCTCGCCACAATGGGTGCCGAAAAGACAGACGTTACTGCTGATCACACTAGCAAAGGCGAATTCTCCGACGTCTCAGGCCATGATGGAGAGTCTCTTCAGGGGCCCTCGCGGCACACCCTGCAACGTAAACTCAAGAATCGTCACATTGCCATGATCAGGTGTGTTTAATTTTCTTCTTTTTCCTGGCGAATTCCAACCTCCGTCAAGTATTGGCGGTGTTATCGGTACTGGTCTTTTTGTTGGAACCGCAAACTCTCTGAGTTATGGAGGCCCCATCGGTCTGTTGCTCGGCTACATCGTGATGGGCACTATCGTCTATTGCGTTATGATTAGTTTGGGAGAAATGGTATGCTTGCTGCACATCCTAAACGCAGATGACATACCTGATCTTCATTTTCATAGGTTGCTTACCTACCTATACCTGGTGGTCACATCAAACTTGCCGAGCGCTTCGTCGACCCTGCGTTCTCTTTCGCTATGGGTTGGAATTACTGGTATGACTGGGCGATTGGTTGTACGTCTTAGTTTTCCTCGTTCATTTTTCACAATTACTGACCTCTTACTTTTCAGCACCTGGTACTTGAGTTGTATGCATTTTCTTGGCATGCCTGCTGACATTTTTATCATCTCAGCTGAAATTGCTGCTGCTGCATTATTGATAAACTATTGGAATTACACTGTCAATGATTCAGTATGGGTCGTCATATGCCTTGCCGTTGTTGTGGCCATTAATATGCTCGGTGCTGGCGCTTACGGCGAGGCGGAATTCATATTTGCGTGCGTACCGAGCACTATATCCCGATCTCGCATTCTGAGATTACTGCAGATCCATCAAGGTCATCACAATCACTGGTCTTATTATTCTCGGTATAATCATCGATTTGGGAGGTGGCCCAAACCGTGATCGCATTGGATTCCGCTACTGGAAAAATCCTGGACCATTCGTTCAGTATAATGGCATTCAAGGCGCCAAGGGACGATTCCTTGGCTGGTGGGCTGTTCTGATCCAGGCTGCTTTCTCGTTCATTGGAACCGAAATTGTTGCTGTACGTTATATTCTAGGGCTATCAATAAATATATTACTTACGAATCTCACCTAGATTGCTGCTGGAGAAGCGAAGAATCCTCGTCATACCTTACCCAAAGCCATCCGTCGAGTATACATCCGTATATTACTTTTCTACATCGGCGGAACCCTTATCATTGGTCTGCTTGTACCATCCGACAACCCATTACTCGTATTGAACAGTGGAACCGCCCAGTCTCCATTCGTCATTGCTATCGAAACAGCTGGAATTAAATTTCTTCCTTCGGTAAGCCGCACATGGCCTTCCCTTTTTTTACCTAGAGATTTCTTATTGAGTTATTCCAAACAGATAATTAATGCTTGTTTGTTGACCTCGGCATGGTCCAACTCATCTAGTTCCTTGTACACTGCATCTCGTGCGATTCGTGCGTATGCTTATCCGGTGGCCAACTCATCGAAATTAACGAACTTCGTAGATGGTCTTGCAGCCTCAGGAAATGCTCCCAAGATCTTCCTTAAAACCACACGCAACGGGTTGCCTTACGTTGCTGTCCTCTTCACAGCCATTTTCTCCTTTCTTGCCTTCATGGCTGTGTCCAAGGGTGCGGGCTCAGTGTTTAACTGGTTGTCCGACATGACATCCGTCGCTGGCCTTATGACGTGGTTTGGTATTTCTGTAACGTACCTCCGCTTCTACAAGGGCATGCAGGTTCAAGGCATCGACCGCAAGACGCTCCCTTACTACACAAATCTCCAGCCATATGCAGCGTGGTGGGGAGTAATTTCAACGATCACCATCTGTTTCGTATGTCAAGTTTTCAGATCCGTTGATACTGTTTAGACTGACTATTTCTCTACACTCTAGTTCAGCGGATGGAATGTCTTCCTCGAAGGTAGTTGGAATACTGCAACTTTCGTTACCAACTACGTCCTTTTCATTACCTGGCCAATCCTGTACTTTGGTGCTCGCCTCTACTATGGCACCAAGCCCATTGCTGCAGCGGACATGGACTTCAAGAGAGATATAGCTGAAATTGTGGCGGACTCGTATGAGGAACCCCCGCCAAAGAACAAGATAGAAGCATTCTGGCAATGGCTGGTGAGCATGGCTGCACCGCTTGGCAATTTTTGACATCACTAACGTCACCCCACTTGTAGATGTAATTATACCTGCAATAATACCTGGAGATCGAATATATCACTGTTTTTTGTAAGCCCTCAATTGTTCGACATACCTGGTTGTTCGTTGTATGTCACTGCCAACTCTACCAAACATAATTACCCAGTCAACTTGATTATGACCAAAATGTGACCTTGCCCTTTGTATCTAGTGAACCTTGCGAAGAAACAAGTTTTTTGGGTTCCAATTTCTGTCCATGAAACGAACTTACATGCTATCGGGTACCTCCGCTGCAGTAAGGTGGTCTGGCGCAGGTCCTGGCGCATTGACTTGTAGACGATGGTCTGTGTTGCCGTTGGACCAGGTCCCAAGGGTAAGAGTCACGCACCAAGGGCCTGTCGGCCCTTTCCATAGCTTAGTCAGCGCGTAGGCTAGGTCTCTAGCATGTTGTCGCGTAGCTTCACCTCGGTTGCTCAGTCTTTGGGTTGCGAGCCCCTCGGCCTGCTCCACCGTAGTCGGACCCTGCAGGCAATGCAAGATGAGCATGGTGTTATTCTAAAATATAATGCAGTTTCGTCGCTGTTTCCCGAAATATGGGAACGACTCAGTAACTAAAATGCACATATGAGTAGTCTCATAGGTGAGGAAACTCAGAGTAGAAGATGAACTTGAAGGGAGAATAACTCAGTTTTCATCAAAAAGAAAGGTTATTAAAGAATCGTGAAATAATGAACAAAAAGTGAACGTAGATGAAAGGTGCATCGATAAGCGAATGCATCAAGATACGTGGCACATGGGCTGCGGCAACCATACAATCTACCAAAAAAGAACCCTAGTGATGATTAATATTGTTGCATACTGATGAAACGCATGGCCATGCCGAAATATAGAATGGAAGCTAATGAATTCAAGATTAGGGACACTAGTTCGTCTTCCACCACCATCATTTTATGCAAGAGCAGGGCGACCGCACCAGCCGCCGCATGAGAGGTAAATGTTTTACCTCCCAGAACAATCGAAATCAAACCTGATAAAATATCAAATGTCAGCACAAATTTTGAATCCAAACCAAAGAGGTTCGCTTACCGCCTGCGAGATATCCCCCAAGAGCCCATGGCAGCAAGGTTAGCCAAGCGAACGAGACTAATGTGAATCAACACTTTTCGACGCGACAACTGGAACGGTTTCTTCATTTAAGTGAATTGTTTTGGGTGAGCGACAGCGCGATACAGTGACTCCGCCAGGAAAATCACCCTACCCCTTGGTTGATCCTTTCATGCATCTCGATATCCGCGTCGGATTTCCAGAACAAAAAGTGATAGAATGGTCCCTTCAGCGAGCACGTGAATGATAAGGCAACCAACATGTCGTAATGTACGGTGGAAACATGAACCCGGGGTGGATTCGTCATGAGCATGAAATAAATAAAAAAGGTCGCTCCTTGCTACAAAAGCGGACATATCAGTCTTGCAGGACATAAAGATAATGAACAATATACTTACCATGCAGAGAAAACGCAGCACTTGGTGCCGAAAAAGCCTGTTACGCTTCTTCCAGCCCTGCTCTCTCACCTCTTGCCAAAGTTCCTCAAGATTGGGCTTTCCGATAGAGAAGTAGCAGATGACAGTGAAGCAAACCCGAACGTGAAACCGGGATGGTGGTTTCCAGTCCTCGGGGAGATCTGGCTGCTTTTCTATCGAGGAAGGTGACTTGACACTGGACTTCATCGGGAAGTCTGAGTGGTCACTACCGGAGTCGAGAGAGGAAGACACGATGACGAAGCTATCACGATCTTTACTGAACTAGCAATGTGTCTTGTTGAGCGGTCTAGGAGATGAACAGTGAGAAGAGTAAGCGTGAACAGCGGGATAGCTACCTCGGCCTTGTGGATCAAGCTTCGAGAGTGCCGTTTCTTTATGATCATGAAAGAAATATGGGCATGAGAGGGGTCGGATATTAGCGGGAGCAAGAGATTCATTGTCAGCAAATATGTCGGGGGAACGGGTAATGAGGAACGCGAACCAGAGGAATCGTGTTGGGAAATTCGCTAGGCGTCTAGGAAGTCTGGCTTTCGAGAACGTGGTACAGATATTTGGAGTGTGTTTTGAACGAAGATACCTTCAGACTACAAGGTCTGAATAGACACCAAACGAGACTAAAATTGAGAGGTGCACCCCAAGTAGTGAGCGCCGCACGAAAAATGGGGATGCGACGAGGAAGAGGAAAAGAAACGAAACTGTAGAACATCGAAGACATCAGTCTCTTAAGGGAGCGCATAGACCAGTACTTGTCCAAGATAGAAGTACGGAGGATCTTCACGTGCCCTAGGGGTGTATGTGCATAAAAGGAAATTATTGTTGCGCAGAGGATCTTTGCATTGTAAACCCTTGGTCCTTAACACTATCATGTGGTTCGCTATTTCGTCTGGTCTTCCCAGCTCCAAATTTTTGGCGTCGCATAGGACTTCGATTACTCCAGAGGTTGTGAAATCTGGAAAACGTAAGCTTGAGTCACCAAAACCTTCCCCAGAACCTTGACAAGCCAGAAACAGTAAATTACACCGAGGAGGTGCATATCGAATCTGAGGCGGAAGTCGAGAGGAAAATAGAAGAAGCTAGAGCAGTGAGAGAACAGCAGGCGAGGTTTTGAAATTAGTCACAATACTAGTTATTGATTCTCGCAGATTTGGCAGGAAGGTTATGCTGAAGGTTATGCTGAAGGCCAAGCAGAAGTGGACCGATTGCGAGCAGAAGTGGACCAATTGCGAGTAGAAAGGGATGCTAAAGGTTATGCTGAGGGCCAGAGGCCAATGGCAGAAGTGGACCAATTGCGAGTAGAAAGGGACCGGCTGCGAGCAGAAGTGGACCGATTGCAAGCAAAAGCATTGTTAGCCGAGCTGGATGGTCGTTCTGGATTGTAGAACTCTGTCAGTGTCTCTCTATTCTGGAAATGGCTTGACACTCCCTCGACAACAGCATGATGCACGCAGCGCTTTGATAGGACTGCGATAGGTCACACTTAGTCTACCCTAGTAGAGAGATCATAGATACTTCCAGTGGTAGGTGTTGGTTGTCATTTCGGTAAGTTCCGATCGTACTTTACCATGTACCTACGTCCAGTTATATTCTCCTGCACGGACCATGTTCACTGATTGGACATACGAATTTCAACCGATGACGGTCCACACGGCCAGGGTCGGATGATATCTTCAAGCGCGTGATTCATACTAATACTGCAAACTGCAGCCGGTACTCCCTGAGAACCCTAGCAGTGTTGCTGCAAAAAAAAGACTGGACATCATGAGGTTTGTAGTACTGCCAAGAGTGACATCACGGCTGTCTCCGTTTGCCTATGTGACCAACATTTAGCTGCCTGACAACATTTATCGACTGGCCACTGCAGTAGGTGATGCAGTCAGAAAACTGCCGTCCATTACTGGCGGTAGCATGCAGATTCGGTGCGCAGCCAAAGTGTTCAAGTTTGTAAGAAACTGCTGATATGCTCCTGTAAATCTCACGCACCCGCACTACTACATAATCTAGTGCCTTATGACCAGTGGTTCATAACACACTTAGACGATAACCAGAAGGTCAAGCAGGTCAAGCATTGGATACTTTCAAAATGCAATATCATCCAAACGTCCCATTTCCCCGCTCAGCGCCCAGTCTCTCCTATCACCTTTGCTTCCAGCATCAGGACACGTACCTCAATCGATAGTATGGAAGACGGTTATAACGAGGATGACGAATATGACGAGGATTCGGATGACTTTGACGACCTTTCCTATCGCCACCCAGAACTCAGGCGTCAGACTATATATTCTCGTCGACCTGGAAAGACATCGACCGCATCTGCTTCACACACCATTCAACCTGGCAGTAGTCCAGTCACAGACCAGTATACCCTTATATCCTTTTCAACTGGAACAATTCTAGAAGATGACTATGCCCTATCGTGGTATAAACTTCGGCCTTGCGAACTTTTAGAGATGCACCGCTCAGGAAAGGTCGTCCAACTACCAAGAGAAATCATGTCGGAGTATGTTCAACCCTACTTCGAGTCTAAAGCCAGGGCCCTCCGTGCAGTATGGAGTATAAAGTCAGGCCGATTCGAATCCCCCGCAGCCGCCGGTAATAGGTTGAAGGCAAGAAGCAGAGACAAGATATCCACTGTTCATACTCCCCTGCAACCCGAAAAGAAGAGGAGAAAGGCTAAGGTCGAGTGGAAAGATCGATGGATAGTTATAAATCATGGCACGCTGTCTCTCTGCAAGGATTCATCCGTGCGTCCTTTGAATATACAGTTACCACACTCGTGCTTACTTTCAAGCTACCAGGGCGGGACCCCTTTGCATCATTTCCCACTAACCTCATTATGCGCGCTTCGTGGTGCAGAGTCTCTTGCAAAAGCTTGTTCCATCATTGCAGAGCAACGCGTCGTTTGCCTCAAGTTTCGAGGCAAGGAGTTCATGGCATCCTCCTTCTCAGCCTCTTCACCGTCCATGTCTCTTCCCTCGTCTCCGATTGCAGAAGACTGGAAAACAGACGTTCAAATTGAAGCAACAGACATTACTCCTTTACCAGACAAACTCACTTCAACCTCAAAAGAACATACAGACAAAGGAGATCACCATAAGAATTCCCCGTGCTTCGACTATAATCCGGAAGACATCTGCCGCGGGGAAGGCGAATGGCTCGTCCTCGATTTGCTCGATGATCATGGTATTCGATTTACTTTGCATCGTCCGTCTCTCTAACTGTTCACTCACATAGCTTTCTCGAACATCCTCCGTATCCTTCACCGCTACACCTCTCATCCAATATCATCATCGTTCCTCCCCACCTCATCAATCATCACGGTCGCAAACTACTGGAACAATGTCTCTTCTCCCGCTCTCACGCCTTTTGTTTACTCCTCCCCATACGACTCTCTTCCATACCCAGAATGGCGCACGAAAACCGTCGAGACCGCGCGCAAGGCTGGCATGGGGGACATCGGAAAACCCCTTGCACTGGTCCTATGGTCTGAAAATACCCGCCGAGAAACCTCGTTGCACGATATCCGCAATCCGCGATTCGCTTTCTCGCAAGGAATGAGTCATAAATCTTCTATTAGTTCTTTTACGCTATACTCGGACTCAGAATCAGGCGAAATCGATGGAGAGAGCGAGATGGAGTGGGAAGGTTGGATGAGAGATCTAGAGAGGCAAGGAAGCGTGAAGCAACATCATATTCGGCATCAGAAAATCATCCATTCTCCTAGTGATTCCGAGCACCAACCGCCAAGCCCCTCACTCCTATCCACCCCACCGCTTTCAGATGCATCCTCTCAGGGCTCCCCAAGGGGCCACTCACCCCCACACTCACCCCCTACATACCCCACGATCAACAACGTCATCCAATGCGGGGATCCTTTTTCCTGCACTTCTCTCGAATCACGTGTGCCTGGGAGAATCAAGAATACGACGATTAGCACCGTGAGCGTGGGCACCGCCCCGTTCATGTCTGCGCGGAGACGGTCTTCGACGCTCACTCCAGGCAGCTTATCCAGGCTAATGAAAGACAGGGAAAGGGGAGATGCCATTCATCCGTCGACTGCCAACAACTCGCGTACAGGAGCATCATCATCGTCATCATCAAGAGGCACCCATATCCGACACGCATATTCAGGATCCAACCTCCGTTCAGTCCCGACAGAGAACCTCCGTCGTGCACAAGATGCAGAAGCCTCTAGTACTGGAAAGAAAAAGGTTGGTATCGTGAGGGGTATGTCGATGCGTGCGGAAAAACTTGTGAGAGGACTGGATGCTGCCATAGACTTTGTTGATAACCATCCTTAGTTGTTGATTTGTTTACTCTTTCTCTCGCTTTTTTCACCTAGGTCATTATGCGTGGAATTGGTATTTAAGTTTACTTTTGGAGTGTATATTAGTATGTATTCGCCCATATGCTAACTGTAACTTATTATATACAAGTAACCCCTATTTTGCCGATGCTTGTACAATGTAGCCTTGCAGAATGGCAGACACGTTGTCGAGCGCTTGGATTTGTGATTTGCAGTGCTGGCCGACCCCATTGTTGTCAGGCCGTGCTAGAACGTTTAACCAAGGGTCTGGAGACCTACACTTTCAATTGAGTCCCACTTTTGTATTTTACATGACAACAATGTCACGAGAACGTGTTCCGCATCGCCCGCGACATTTTCGTGATCACTGCCATTAGCGTCTCACTCTGATAGCCGCTCGTCCCTGTGCACTGAGTCTGCGTTGGTCACTATATTATCGCTTTCGGGAACGAAGTCAATTTTCTTGACGGCATGAGCATCCGAAAGCGTCCGGGAAATGAACAGTCTTGGAGACAAGTCTGGCACAGACACCGGGTGGATCCGAGTCTGGGGGCGTGTCAAACGTTTGGCTCAACTCCATCGGAGTTTTACAACGTCAGCCATGGCTGACGGGTAGACGTTCTTCCTGCTTCCTGTGTCTTTTGTGCCTGCCACCAGGCGCCCTTGTACAGTCATAACGTGGTCAACTTGGCTGAGGTATGCGTGATGTGTCAGCCATGAATGAAAACTCAAACCAAACTAAGCCGAGCGGCTGACATGCCCTTCACCCTCACAGACTTGCGCACAGAGTCCATTAGTAACCAGGCTTTTCTGAAGCATCCATTAAATATGATTACACGTTTCTATATCTTGCTGACTGTCAATCATGATTGGACAGCACCACCAGTGGTACCTGGCCATGTTTGCGCCACAGCTTGGCGGCCGAATCATGATCCAGGTCAAATCCAGGTGATGGTAACTTGAACAGGGCATCGCATACTCTCCCAAATTAATCACTATAAAAGCGATGGCTGTCAGCTTGTCTGGTCCCACAAGCCCTATCACGATATGGCCATAGTCTCAGATGATCCCGTTTGGTGGCCGATTATCAAGTTTTGTCGTCTTTACAGCTATAATCTAGGTTCGTAGAGTGCCAATGGTGACACCTCGATATATTTGACTATCGCTTTGCAGCTGCATGCTCTATTGTGGTGATATACGACTGGGGTGAGCGAGATAATACGTTCCAAGGGATCATTGATATGTATACAATATTCAAGCATTGACATCCGGACAAGAGGTAAGTTGATGTCATGACTTGTGCATCTCACTGAATTAAGAATGCTCTAACAGTTCGAATTGATCTGGGTGAGCAAAGTCCGTATCAGAACCAAATAGAATCGTGCAGTTGACTCGGGGCAGAGGCGACGTTGGACCTTCATGACTGTTCTTTACATTTGCGTACGTTATTGCTACGAGCCCAGTTGACATCTTGTGCTGACTTCAACATATGCTAGGTGCGGTACATTGGAATACTATATTTTGTGTACGTTTGCGAGGTTATCTACATCACACTGCAATGTGCCAATAAGTCCCCTCTCGCAACCAGCGTTAACATCCTGCGTATGTGTCTTCACATGCGTTCGCTTCTAGACTCTGACCGGTGGCACGCAGTGTTACTCCCTAATACCTGGATTACAGATGTAGTGCGTATCCTGCACCGGTGCCTGTCATTCCCATTCCCATTCGAATACTAACTACTCTCCTGTATAGGAGTGAGTGATGTTCTCGGTCGGCTTGTGTCTCCAAGGTGACGACTTCAACAGCTGTGAGTTCATTTAAAGTATGTATCCCAACACCAAGTAATTGGGGTTTCAGGCACCTTCCTCTGGTACATACAGGCATGGAACCCTGTCATCGTCAATGCTATGTTGGGCGGTGAGCCCATCCGCGGTTTCCTTACTGATATTGACTTGACTGAAATATCATTCAAGTCATCATGATTGCTCGGATAAATGCCATGTATGAGGGATCGAAAAAAATGTTCGTCTTTCTTGTTGTAACCTTGTTGGCTTCCACGATCGCCTCCGGAGTTATGATGGTAATTGCAAACCTAGGTGTTTCATCGCGTAAGTTTTAATTATTAATGAAAGTCTGGAACACGAGACTTACAGACATTTACCAGAGGAGGCCGTCCTTTCCGGCTACCATACCTGCATTACCACAATCGACGCGGAAATGGTGCACCTGATTTACGAGAGTGTGATATCTACTATTGTATGGGAGATCCTCGTCTTGTTTCTTGCAGTCTGGATTGTTATAAAGCACTTCCGTGAACTGCGACAATCGTCGACAGGATTGAACATTGTCCACTGTTTCACGATATTAATGGAGAGTCACGCACTTTACTTTCTAGTGTGAGTCATATAGGTGATTTGAATCTTATTATCTTGTTTCACTGAAGTTCCGCATTTGCCAGCTTTGTTATTATGACTTGCTTCACACTTGGCTCAATATCTCCAAATATCACGGTACGCTGACCTGTGATTAGCGTCTGCAGTTGACCACCATCTCATTGTTTCTCTGCAGAACACCATGGAACGTGTTATTTACTTTGGTATTTGGGCAACCTCCCAGATGTTGCAGATGTTTGTACTGGGACCGCGTCTGATCCTCAGCGTTCGAAAATCTCACGCTAAATACGTAGCCAGGGCCGACGGGGGGACAGGCATGTCTTCCATTGCTTTCCATGCTAGTGGAGATGTGTTGATCGGCGAAGATGCGTCGACTGGCAGAGATGTGAAGCACATCAAATGATCCAAATGATCAACAATGGTACTGTGCGAGGAGCATACATATTCACTTGTTTCGTTACGATATTTAGCTTCGTCGCGCTAGTATATACAGTAGACTATCCCATAATGCATATGCCCTTAGTGTATATTTTCAATATTGTATCAAGTTTTCAATGGTCCCACTGAATCAGAAAATACAACATCAGTAAACCCCACATTTCTCAATGCCTATTTTGACAGTTTTGTACAGTTGCCCACAGACTCTCACAGAGCGGACAGCACTCACAAAAGGCATATAAGCACAGACAAGTATTTTGCACAGCTCTGACAGGACGTACAGCTCTCAAGGTTGCCAGCGCTAGCGCTGTCCCAGTTGAGCAACAAACACCAATATAAACTTTGAATTACTAGTGTTAGATATATACTGCCAGGTGTGTGATAAGAATCATTCCATTAAAAAAATACTCGATTAAATAAGTAGTAGTACTGGCGGGACCAGGCGGATACGGATTTTGAGACCCCGCTGCTTCCATATATGGTAATTATTTTGATGTTAGTTCAAGTACGCTTGTCTGTGCTTGTCTTCACTCATCCATCCACAGTACTTCCCCATATCCTACCCCACTCATTCTATCCACCACTGGTACAGCCGAACGTCATTACAATAATCTAACCTCCAAGTTAAGTTTCATTCATTTTCCACCAAATTCCACTCGTCCTTTCACTGATCTCGTCCTTCTCCAGTGATTGAAGGTGCGGTTTTAACACTTATGCCTTCATACAGCCATTGCTGTCCTCCGTGCCTGTGTGTCTTTTGGAGGTCTGGTTGTCCTTCTACATCATGCGAAAATCTCATCCTTGCTGTGTAATATCGTCTCTGATTTCTCTTTCAGTTCTTCAATACTTCTAAAGATATTATAATGTCTTCCTGGCCTGCTCCTGCTTACCCTCCGCCTCGTCACTCGCATTCTCGCACCCCTCCTCACGGTCATCCTGTACTCATCTCATTCTGGCGCCTTTGGGTGTGGCTCGCATATGTTCCAGCCATGTCAGCATTCGCTGGCGTGCGCCGGGCATGTGCGCTAAGCACTGGCAGGCATTGGGAGTATGGGTACGAGTTGACCTCGGGACACCCGTGGGTTTACCCATGACGATCCCTAATCCTCGCTGATGTCCATATTGATGGATCGAGACTCACCCAGGTTGACCTTATAACTAGGCCTTTAGATGTCCAGATTGTAACTAGGGACAAGTGGTCATTTAATTGGGTCAATTTCTATCTGGATCGCTCAATGGGTTTTCATAGGAATTTTGTTAGTGAAGAAACGTCAGTCTGCAGAGATGCGTATAAAGCCCGTAGTGGTTCAGGGCTTCGCTGATTACTGTCGTTTCTCGTGTCACCTATCGGCGTAAGTCGTATATAACAACGGGCCAGGATCACACATTACCCTGTCAGGGACACTGCTGGCAGTGTAGTTGTCGTGTGTTTGAAAGGGTATTTCAGATGGACAACTTCTGTACATAACACTATTCAGCACATCAAAGCAAGCAAGCAGTCTCCCCGCCATCCCTTCAGTTCAGCTTTGTTTTAGAGATACCATATCACATCTCACAGATGATGCGTCTCTCCTTCATCCTCACCGTTGCTGCTGCTTTCAACTTGACAGTGTCTATGCCTTTAATGGGTGATGACTGCCCTTTTTACTGTGACCTCCTTGATTGCTGCCCTGGCCACACATGCCAGATAGTAGACATCGAACATGTGAGCACGAAGATTTTCCATCCAACCCCATGACTCACCAGCATGGTAGACTCCAGTCTCGTATACATGTTACTGGGTACCCTGAGCCACAGTGAATCGAACTTCTACTCTCGCAGGATGCATTGGTGCAGTATGGTTGACGGCACGACACGTAAGTAGTTTGTTGTTGCTGAGTGCTCGGTTGTGAACAAACCTTGGCATGGCGCTTCTAGAAACATCTCGAACACTTGACTGCATAGAATATGACTGAAGTACTTACGATGCATTGTTTTTCGTCTTGTTATAAGTTTGCAGAATATAATTTATAACCACCTCACGATGAGATGAACAGTCAACGTTCGACTGTCACGTCCCCATTGTGAACCATGAAACTTGAGATATAAATCCGTAGCGCAAGATAATGTTTTTGGTCTCAACCCACCAAGTATATGAATTACTCTGGGCGGGTGCATGCAAATAGCGAGGACAGTGCTCAACGACTTCCTAATTGACTACATTTGATGGACATGCAATATCAATGCCTGAATGCTGGCTTGCAGGATGTGCCTATGCTAAGTCACTATAGGTAATAGTCAAAGGTCATCGTTCTCATGAACGACTAATAGCTTACACATCAGTTGCAGGCTGACGTTCTGTAGCGAAAGGATAGAAGATGGAGGTTTTAACACTGGTGAGTGTAATCAAGGGCCGATCGTTACTATCATGAAGACCTACCTCCATCCTATAGCAACAGATATAAAAACCCTCTTTGTTCTTCTCTCTCCTAACTAAATATCGGGCGATAGATATTGCCCTGGCTGCCTGTTACATTCTTTCAATACCTTCATTCATTGGGGATACATCATATGGATCCTCATAACCGCAGCTAACGCCCCAATGCACATTGGGTGCACAGCTCTGACATCGGTGGATTAGACAAGTCATATCATTTGTTTATCTGCACAGGAAGTAAGCATATGATATTACATATACATCAAATCAAGATATAGTTAGCAAAGGAAAAACATGGATATTAGTTTGACGACCTATTACATGAAGAGCAGTATCAGTAAACAGACATTCCAAATGATGATCATAAAAGCATGCGGGATGCAATGGGTATTTGCAATGGTGGATCACTCTGAATGACGAGGGAGATGGGTAGCCTGAGCCATTGAGGTCTTGGTCTTTCACTCTTCGTCATTGTCGAACGCTAATTGGTCAGTAATTTGCCTCATGCATCTTTGGAACATTAGATCATCTTCGAAGCAGGAATTGCGCTTATGGGAGGTCGAGGTCCCTGGGGATAAAACGGCGGTGTCCGATGTGGCTATGGAGGCAGGAGTTGACCGTGATGACTCGATGTCATGGCCGACCGGTGAATGACACGGTAAAGGAGGTTGGCCTGGAATTCTCTTTGATATTTGGTCAGTATGACCAAAGCTCGATCATTACTGAAGACTTGCCTCCAAATTGTAGCGACAGATATAAAAACGATCGGCACTGTCCTTCTCTCTGCATGCCTTTGAAGATAAAGTATTAGTGCAGACTCATGTCTATAGTTATGGGAAATGATTGCACATATGTAACGGTGTATAAGCCATCATACCGATAGCCATTGAGGGGCGCAAACTTAGAAACAAATTTCGAGCTCCGGACGACGCGCACGGGCTTGCCTGTGTAATGAGATCGCTATTGTACTGTCATTTACCGCCCTTACATTCATCAGGGATAGAACTCACAAGAAGTGCTTCATTTCCCCAACCCGTCCATTCCTGGTCAGAAACCTGCGGGCCTGGACGTTTCTTGGGGAATTCAATGGACAGTCATGCTGTAGAAGGAAGAAAGAAACTTACTATAGGCCAACCGTTATTATTGGGGAGGCCACCCCCTGACGGTACTATGTCGGCATACAATCTTGTAGCACATATTATGAATACACACCTGAGCCTACGTAGAGACTATATACATAGGTCAGACTATCGATCAAATTCGAAAATAAGCGCCGCGGTGCTTACATCGTGTCGCCTAAGTCCTTGTCGTCATCGTATTGACCCGAAACGACGATTGAGCAAGCGCCTGTCACCCTACTACCCTGTATTCCAGCCGTAGGATGGCGGTGTATGCCGGCATCATAACAATCTTTGCTGCGAACACATAGACAGATGGGGTAAGTGATATTGTCAAACGAAGATTCAGAATACAGACCGTAACTTCCACGTGGCACCAACAGGTACTCCAGGAATCTCTCCAAAGCGCCGCCTGTAAAAAAAGTGTGTGAGTAGTATGATTAGGGGAAAATTCTGAGAAGTATCACTAACGACATTCTGGCACGTCTGGCCCTGACCTTCTTGGTCACTTTGGGGGCAATTTTTTTTGGACGTTCCTGTATCTCCTCGTCCCCTTCGTTTCCAATTACTTCTGTATCTTCCTCCGTCACGTTGACCACTTTATCGGCGGTTTTTTTTCGACATTCTATCTCCTCATCCCCTTTGCTGGCGATTACTTCTGGATCTTCCACCATTTCCTTGTCCTTTTCGCTGGCGACTTCGTCTTGATGTTCCTCTATCTCCTCGCCTAATCTATAGTGGTAGTTTTTGACGCCAACTTGAAGTTGTTTTATAAGGGTCAGGTAGTCCATTATGTCGTCGGTGACTGTCAAGATGATGGAGACAATCACACGAGGCCAACACGAGGCTCATATACATAGAATGCTGCTGCATGACGCGTCGGAGTTTCGAAAGATGTGATCATCGAAAGGTCAAACTTGGGTGGAGCCGCCCCTTCTAAGAAAGATTCGATTCCACCGGCGACTAGATAAGACAAGGTAGCAGCTGCTGACGGAACTAGACCTCCGGACTGGACAGTGGAGAATGACACTAGATGGCTCCATGACACGTCGGAAGTGCAGTTGATGGCAGCCGAAATCGACTCGCATCTGCTGCCACGGAAAGAAGCAATCTGTATTCCAGGACCCTTAAGTAGAGGACTGGGATAACGATTTTTAAGGATGGCAAACTTTATATCGGTGTCTGCCGAATTAGGCTTGAAAAAAAAGGGGCCTGGTCCTGATTTGGCTGCCGTGTGGCATCGTTTGCTCAAGCGCTGTTTAACTGACGTCTACCGTCATCAGTTTTGCTACCCTTCCTTAAAATCATGAACTCGCCCTGGAAAGGCAAAGCAAAAGCCACCAATCAAGATTATGACGACTTGCGACCAACCATAACTTACAGACACATTCTATCCAATAACCTCGGTGTTAGAGATCCCCTACGCGTCGTTGCCCTATGCGATAGTGACGCCTTCTATGCTGCCTGCGAACGCGTCCGGCTTGAACTCGACCCGAACGTACCAATCGTTGTACAACAATGGGAGAGTATCATAGCAGTGAGCTACCCTGCACGCGAATTTGGCATATCCCGCATGGACAAGATTAAGGACGCCAAGAAGAAATGTCCTAATCTACTTGCCGTGCATGTCGCAACTTACAAGGAGGGTGAGAGCGAGCCCAGCTACTGGAAGGATGTCGATACGCGCACTCACAAGGTATGTTGTGCATTTTCCAATGCTCCTAACGTGACAGAAGTTGATCTCTTGTTGTCCCATATTCAAAAGGTATCCTTGGATCTATATCGACGTGAAAGCAACAAGATCATTACTATGTTTAAGGAGGCTCTTCCGATCGGTGAAGTTGGTGAGATGCGCATGGTACTTATTCCATATGGTCAACTGACGTCAAAGCAAGAGAAAGCCTCCATCGACGAAGCATTCATTGACTTTACTCGTCCTGTAAGAGAAAAGTTACTTGAACGATATCCATACCTTGTCCAAGTCCCTGCCGATGCCCCAAATGGGATGGACAGCCCCCTACCTCCACCACCTCCAATAAAGTGGGATGATCTGGGAACAGTCTTATTACCAGAAGGAACTGATAGTGCTGGAGAACAATCTAACATTGATGTTGATGGTGGTACAACATGGCACGACGTAGCGTTGTCAATTGCCGCAGAGCTGATGCGAAAGATTCGCGAGGACATACATTCAAAGCTAGGCTATACAACATCTGCTGTAAGCGTCATCTCGTAGGGAGCTCGTAATCATCTTACGCACAATCAATGATGCAGGGGATTGCTCGTAATAAGTTCCTTGCAAAGGTTGGTGCTCCTCTTTCCCCAGTCTATTGCACTCAATATTTCGCAGCTTTGTGCCTCTTACAAGAAACCCAACAGTCAAGTCAGTCTTCTCAGTCCCATGTTGGCATCAATAACCAAATAAACATGCATAGACTATCCTTCGCAACCAGGCCATTCCAAGTTACCTCCATCCGTTACCCTTTCAAAAAGTAAGTCTCTAATCTTGACGTATATTGGCTGCCTTGACCGCAAGACACGCTAGATTCGCTTCCTCGGCGGAAAGCTCGGTGATGCCCTAGCGAAAGAGTATGATGTTTCAACCGTAGGCGACTTGTTGTGAGTAATGGACGATTCTTCCCGATTTCTATCTATCGCTTACCCAATTAAAGAACTATTTCACTAGGTAATGTATATTGTCTTCATCCATTTCAGCTTCTTATCCATGGTAGATGAAATACAAAGCAAGTTCGGCGAAAATGCGCTATGGATATATGAATTACTTCGGTGAGATATTCAATTCGGTGTCCTCGGGAACGTTTATTCATTATGCAACGCTAGTGGCATTGATCGCACTGAAGGTATTTCAATGTGACCTGGCTTCACCTTTCGCATTTACAACTAGTTCATAGTCAAAGAAAAGTCTGCGCTTTTCAAGAGCATGTTGGCGTCAAAGAACCTTCCGAAGCCGATAACGCAGCCTTTGGATGGACACCAATGGATCAGAGTCCTTGCTGCAGAGCTGGCGTTACGACTCAATGATGCTAGAGAGTCGATGCCGACGCTGTGGCCGAAGACTATTGTGCTCCATGCTCGCAAAGGTGATTTGAACTCATAACATCAAATGTTATTTGTTGAACTAGGAACACATCAGGATACGAAACGTCGCGATCCAAACAAGCAACATTTCCTTTCGTCCGCAATGTGACAGTGGACGTGATTGCGACTGCTGCAGACAAGCTATGGAAAGAGCTTACTGGCGACTCAAAAACTGTCAATATCACATCGGTCCAGCTAGCATTTACTGGCCTGGAGAAGGCTGAGATGGGCCAGAAAAGCATCGAAGGGTTCTTCGCGACTCGAGATATTCAACGAACATTCCTCAAACGTTCGCGCGAAGAAGATGAGCCTCTGGTCTCGCTTGAGAACACTGACCTGGCTGTGCCCAAATCTAGCGATATCGAGGCAGTTTCATTCCAATGTACCCGATGTCGTAAGACGATCGCACTTCGAGAAGGTCAAGCAACAGGTGGTCCCAGCGAAGTAGCACAACGATTGGCAACGTTACGATCGGAACACGGCGACTTTCATTTCGCACAGGATTTGGCAAACAGCAATAAGGGGTCGGTGCCTGTACCTCGCGGTTCATCATTGAAACGTCAGAAAGTGGAACCAAAAGGGATTGCGAAGTTTTTCATCAAGAAGTAGGCAGCTTAGTGGCGTGTTACGATCGGGGAAAAGCCATGATGATATGTGTATGATAATCATGCCTCTGCGAGAAAATGAGCTATGTCGGTGGCATGGAGTGCACAGATTTACACAGGTATGTAGTATGTCTTTGAGGCAGTGTAGAATGTGGCAGTTTTGATTGATCATCACTACTGCATTGGCTAGCTGTTCAGATCCACCATCAAAACCTCAATTGCCGAGTCCCGACACAGTCATATGAAGAGAGAAATGAAGATTCGATCAAAACGCTCTGTCGTTCGTTCGTTCGTGCGTTCGTCATCTTTCGAAGTTCTTTCTGCGGACTGTGTCCCACCTTTCGACCTCTGAGAGGCACGTTTCTGCGGCTAGTCCGTCATTCTTCGTTCATTTTCCTCTGTCTGGGACAGCTGGCCGTTTGCTTGGTCTTTTTCATTTCAAGAACCCTTGGGGCATACGTCATTCATTATCATGCTCTCGAATTCCCATTTCACGCCCTTCTCTACTGCTCAGGCAAATGGATTGATCGTGAGTCATTAGTACGAATTATTGCGAGTAGCGTCAGATGATTCCACTCAGGTTGTTCCCGCGTTTGCCTTACTATCTGCGCTAGCGCTCGCTTTCATAGTTTTCAGAAGTATCCACCTCGTGGTAATCCCCTCATTCCAGCGTAACGGGCCGGCGTGCAGAGCTCCGGAGAACCTATTCTTCCGTACTCAACTAGGCCATTATGCTGCATCCCTTGTTTTAAGCAATGTTTTCCTCACTGCAGCTGGGCTTATGGAGTTTTTCTGGGTCAAGCAATCTGGGATCCATCAAGGTAGCACTTTTGGTGTTCAAACTACATACGTTGTACTGACGGCTATCAGGTTCCATGTGCACTTTTCAAGGTAATCTAGAGTGATAGTGCTATGATCAGATACTGAGTCATCTTGTGACCAGCTGTCCTGATGCAGATAGGTTACTGGTCCACCTGTTTCTTCTCTGGTGCTATCGGTGTCCACACGTGCAACTCCCTGGTGTTTCGTCTCTACCAAATTAGTTATCTGAGCGTTGTGGTCATCGCCTTCGGATGGATCATGTCGCTGCTGATTGGTAAGTGGCGCTACAACAGCAACCGAGTTGATATCATCTCATGCTATCCATATCTGTAGCACTGGCACCCATCAGCCAAGCTGGTGTCTATGGTCCAGTCGCTGTTTCCTGTGGCATCATGCCGGCATATCCCAGTAAGATATATGGGCTTGAAGCTTTTCCGGTACGGTCTATTCTAGTCTGACCTGATAGAGTCTAAGTAATTATGAATAGGTCATTCTCGTCTCTGTGCTTTTGGTCATTATTTACTCCCCGATATTCCTTTTTCTCGGGGGTATTCTGCACGTCAAAGGGGGTGTCAAGTTGACTTGCAAGGTCCAGGGACGATGGTGTGCTGTGACCGACTCGGAGGAATATCACCGCTTCTTGGCAGCTGTCGCAAAGACGATGTTTTGGTGAGTTTCTGTGCGCTTATACTTATCCAGGTCATTCATCCGTTCGTTGCAGGTACCCTATCGGTTCGTGACCTCGCATATGATCGAGTTCTCCTGTTTTGACTTCCTGTCTAGCATTTGTCTCCCTCTTGTTGCCGATCGCGGTTGTAAATATGGCACAATCTTCTGGTCGTGTCATCCCATTTGGAGCAGAAGTATTTGCGCATGTATGCTGTTCTATGCTTGGTTGGTGGTGCGGGTTTCAGCATGCGTCATAATCACTGATTGGTGTTCTAGGGCTTGTCAATGTCGGTCTTATGTACAACACCTTCCGTGTGCTCAGTCCAGTTTTCCATTGTTCAACACTACCAAAGATTCAGGTTGATACTGTAAAGACTTTCGGAAACAACGCGTCCGACGAATCGCCTATTCTTCCCGCAGTCGCTCACATGCCTAAAGGACCGCTTTTACCTCTGTACAATGATACCTCCAAGGCAATATCACCAGTCTCGCTGTCAGATTTTCCGCCAGTTCAATATCACTCTCGTAACTCCTCCACTGCAAGTACTGATTCCGCGACTCACTTGTTGAGCACCAAGAGGACGCCCTCGAGGTTTCACAAGATGAGGGTCAGGCAGGGCGAGTCATTACTGACTCTGTCTCGTGCCATTCTCACTCCTTCGGAGCTCAATCGTCAGCTCGATGCTGCGTCTGATACAGAGAGTCTCAAGGGTCGCAACCTTCGCATCAACTTGCCTCAGATGGCTGAGGTCAATACACCCAAAATGGCCGTTGTGACTGTCAGCCTATCGCCTGCACCTCGTTCTTCTACTGCATCGGTGGTCACCAGCTTTCCAATCGTGCCTACGTCTATCCAATCCACGAACGCTTCTCCCATCATGAGGCAGTTCACTGCGGCCTTTGGGAGGCCGAGCCGCAAGTTGTCTATGTTTGGGTCACAGTCAAAAGGCAGTGGTAAAATACCTCTCATTCTTACTGTTGGGCCGCCGCTTTCGCCTATCCCTGCTTCCCCAGCTGACAAGAGTCCAACGAAGAAGTCTTTCTCCCGGTTCCGCGTACCTTCTATAAAACGCAGACCTACTCCATTGGATCTCACTGATGCCATTCCTACACCCGTCATTCGGCCTCTACCTGTCATTACTACAAAAGCTGAGGCTCTTCAGAAGGTTGACAAAGGTAAAGGCAGAACACCGCCATCACCTACAACTCTGGTGGAAAGGGATGTTATATCTCGTTCCCACGCTGCCCTTAGACAATTACCTCAACTCCCCCGAAACAGTACAGCATCCTCGTCTTCTAGTGCGCACAGTCGCCCCGAAGCTGCTACATCTGCTGCCCCCCATGAACGTCACGGTTCAATATCGTCGCTCTTATCCATATATTCTATATCTTCCTTCCTGGACAGTCTTCGCAGCACCCATTCAATGAGCTCAGTTGACGGAGGAAGTGAGAAAGTCCTGCCGAGCATTCCATCGACGCGCAGCAATACCATTGAAAGCATGGACTCCGAGTCGTCTTTGTCCTCTTCTTTCGAGAAACATAAACAAAGTGAGAGATCGACCTGGATGACGGTTTGGTCGCAGGACAGTGCTGTTACCTCAAGCCAGCCCCCAGACGAGGAGACCATGCTCGCATATGCATCACTTGTCTCTGGTGCGAGTGTAGAGAATTTTCCAAAGAGAGAGGACGTTTCTCCTGTGCCTCGTGCTCCGATACCATTCGCACTTCGGCCAGGCAATTCGATGGGTATCCCACTTTCGTTGCGGACATGATTTAGAGGACTGCACCTACAATGCTGGACGCTGCCTGAGATAGTACAACTTACATACTAGTTATTACGATATTCAACCACTGAATGAACTTCTTAGCTTAAAGTTCGGCGCTCAAGCTTCAAGCCTCAATTGCCTGTACAATTGACATGAAGTATAATATAATTGGACTTGCCCAAGATGGTACTCAGATTCGATGACGTATATTTGAAAAGTCCTGTTCTTCTTCTCGCTCTCATATCCCGGTGCAACCCACTAACACTGCACCGACCATGGCGTTATCCAACTGGGCAGCATATCTGAACAGGTCAACAAAGCTGCTCAGAGACAGCAGCATCAAAAGCACGCTTGTTTAAATGTCGGATTCTAACCGCAAAACTGACAAGGCTATATACACAGTACTCCGTATGGAAGGCGCAGACGGCCCTTCAAGAGCACCTTTGACGCTCTTCAGGTTAAATTCTAAACAGGACATCGAACAGTTTGCGACTGGCTGCGATGCAGATATTGGTGGCACGTCCACTGCCCATTTAGAGCTTGACGAGTCCACGAAACGTAACAAGGGCAGTGGGACCACGGCTACGGGTCGGTTTTGGGGTGAGATGAGACTGGATGTCAGACCGGAACTGCAAGGGCGAATCAGAGGTGGATATGCTGGGTTTCGGTCCAAGGTAAATGATATTTCCGAGCTTGATATCACACCCGCTTGACATGATGTCCGTATCAGCCCCGCCCGACACTCTTTGGTGAAATGGTCGACGACGTTTCAAATCACCAGTTCCTTGCCCTGAGGCTACGCCTCGGTGGTGATCCCCGGTTACGCAACTCGTATTTTGTGAATTTACAAACTGACGGGCCGATCACGACGGACCTGTGGCAGCACCGGCTCTACTTCCAACGAAATGATGGTGACTGGGAAGATGTATTCGTGTGTCCAATCCGTACTGATATTTTCACGGGCGCCAACTGATCGCAACTCTTTCAAGATACCGTTTGAGAACTTTATACTGACAAATACTGGTGAATTGGTGCAGCATCAAATCACGATGATGCGCGAGCGGATACGGACAGTTGGGATATCGCTGCTTGGGGGAAACAGCGGTGTTCCGGGTTCCTATGACCTCGGCATTGACTCCATACGGGCGGTGAATGAGGAAGACGTGACGCGGCCTCCATGTAAGCGGTTCTCACTGTAATTTGATAGCTGAAGACTCAAAGAAAATAGCGATAGAAAAGTATCCATCCCGCGGCATTTGAGCGCTACTACGTACATTCCACCACGTTGGACACTTGAACAAAAAAAATTTGCATAAGCATCTAACGGTTTCGGTCCATAATCATAAACTATATATACAACGGCAAACTTTTTGTAGCCGACGCGCCTGACGAGTAATCAAATCGCAGAAGAACGTACAAAGGTCGACAAAAAGCCCATGAGTCAGCCAGCAGGGAGCGCGAAGAGTAGAAAAGTGTGTCCGGAGATAAAGGAAGTGTGGGTATATGGATGTTCTCATACGACTACACAACCACTACAGCATCCGCCATGATCGCCTTCATGAGCGTCACCTTTGCCACTGTAGACCCCAGGTCCGCCGCCACCGGAGTTGGCCATAACGGGTCTGCCTGTTTGTTGCTCCTGCGAGAGTGAATTACATGAATGAAATGTCATAAATAAATAGAAGTTTCTTACTTTGTTGTACTTTCTTATCTCGCGGACGAGGTTGCTGAATGCCTCGTCGACGTTGATGCGCTGCTTAGCCGATGTTTCGATGAACTTGCAGCCAAAGTGTTTTGCAAGGTCACGGCCCTCTGTTCATTATCAGGAACCAGTACATTCAAAAATCAGTCACGACTTGCCATTCATTCCAACTTGTCGCTCATACTCAAGATCGCACTTGTTAGCGACGACGATAACAGGGAACGAATCTTGGTCCTTCACACGAAGAATCTGTTGATGGAAAGTGCTGATTTCCTCGAAAGAGTCGCGGGAGGTGATAGAGTAAACGAGGAGGAAGCCTTCACCAGTGCGCATGTATTGCTCCCGCATGGCTCTGTGAAAAGTGAGCGGCAAGGACTATCAGCAGCAGAATATCACTCACCCGTATTCCTCCTGACCAGCGGTGTCGAGGACGTCGAGCAATGCGACCTCTTCATCAATGACGCATTGCTTGCGGTACGAGTCTATCTTACTATTCTCAGTAAGGATTCGAATGGAAGAGAAACCATCATACCCTCGATTGTTGGGTCGTATTCGTCGACGAAGTGACTTTGAATGAATTGGATGGTGAGGGCAGATTTACCGACACCTGGTTGGAATAAGTGCTATCAGACACGGTTCATTGCATCTCTGCAGCTTCAAACTCACCACCACCGCCGACAACTACCAACTTGTATTCCCTCAAGAACTGCGCCTGTAATTAGAACAATGCTGTGAGTTCTTGTTGGTGATGGGTTAGGATGGCACATACCCTCGACATAGTTTGTCAAGTAAACAAGAAAGACGTAAGACTTGAAAAGAACTTGCCTGATTACAAGGGAGGATAGCTTGGTGAAACCAGATGGAATGATGAGCGTAACTTCAGCACGGGCAATTATAATGCTGATACTGGCTACCCGAGGACCAAATAAGACCAATTCTAGATGTTGTGGACCGACCGGATCCGACCCTGGCTATGACCGCCGTGTGGCCATGTCACTGTGGCGCATCTTATGCTGTGGATCCTTGATCTCGCATTCGAGTTATTGTCTTGCTGACGTATTCACGAAAGCAGGTAGCTAACTCTTAGACTCAGTCTTTCTGAGTTATTTCCATCATTGTGGGGTGTTCGTGCTGAAGACAGTCAGGGTCTACGACTGTAACAACCTATTTATTTCCATTCGTCATCGCATTGTTTATTTCTTCAAATCGCACTCCAAATTACCCAGGCTTCGTCCACATCAGCGTTTTCTCCTGGTATGATTTACTATTTTTAGAGTGTCACGACCCTTGAGGGTCTGAGGATGCAATAATCGTGGTGCAGTGCCCTACTACAGCAACTTCATTGTACGGGTCCGGGACGCGTTTACCTATGCATCTCAAGTGAACACGCCGTATCATGGGAAGGTTGGTCTTGTGACATTATTCTTTCAACTCACTTCCTGTGAATCTTTTATAGATCTACCAGCCCTCTGCAGCACGTAGTGTATCCCTCGTCAACCTCACATATCAACAAAAGTATTCACAAACAATGCATAGCATTTCGAAATGTGACCTCATACGCTCTTCCGAGTTATGCAAGTGACCTTCGAAGTTCTAAAAACGAAAGGGATCCATAGGTGCGTGGATCATTGAGTCAGCCTCGGTATAATCAGCTGACATGTACTGTCTCCAGGGCGCTCCGAGGATTTGGCTTGTGTATCAAGTAATTTTCGGGATGTCGCTCGGCGCTCTTGAAGCGGCTGCCATTGTCAAATAGAGGCGCGCTTTCCAAATTTATATTATACGCTAACATCGTAGACTAAGGAACATATTGATGCTCAAAGCATCTCTGATCACTGCGAGACCCCTGGTTGGTTGAAGGGACTCGGTCGCGAACTAGATAAGGCGTGTCCTGTGCACTATTTCAAATTTCAGGTCGCTTAAAAGCGATTCAAGCCTCAGATTTGAAGTTAACCGCCGGCCCCCGGCAGCCCACTGCGTCTAGTAGGCTCTAGTCTCATAAAGAACTTCATTTGTGAGTTTTTTAACTCGTGTTCTACAAACTCAATGTCAACTCCTTGCTTTTTAAGACATCCCGATCTGGTAGACTGACATAGTTCAAAAGTGTTGGAGCCACAATCTTGATCATTGCTAAGACAAAACGCTGAGTCAACGCTGAGCGGGATAAGTGTCCATACAAACCAGTGTGCGTAGCACGTTTTATTACTCGTGATCACAGCATGCAACGTGGTTCATGCGCAATCTTAATTTCAAGTTATGATACAATGATCAGACAGGGTACACGCGTCAGGGGAAAGGGATCGCTTTTTTCACGAGATCAGGATGTATAACGTTTAGATCCTTTTTCAAATACATATGATCATAACGGATCACCAATTTGAAGTGTCAGAGAGAACCTGAATCACGCAAGGTCATGCAATCAATAAAGTTTTTTTATTGGCTATGCTTGTTGCATTTTTTGCGCTATTTTTGCAGGTCCAGACTTTAGGTTCAACCCTGCTTGAATGCACCAAATGGGTGCTTTATTTTCAACTAAGGAGCCTGGTTGACAGTCTTATGTGCACGATATTTACGGATCCCTCAGGCTAACCCTGACCGACCTAGGTTTCTCTGCATTAAGCAAGGGCCGAAGAGTTCGGAACGCAATCGTGACCTACTGGCGCCTACAAAGTTGCCCGAAGCGCTCATTTCATTCCTCACTCCAAACCATAAGCCTGAGCGAGCATTAAACTTGACAAATGTGCACTAGCAGCCAGCACTATCTGACACAAGACTTGTGGTCGATACAAACTCATGATTAATAGCCCCCAGGGTTATCATGATGTTACGTCAGACTTAGACTAGCGCATCCCGACACAGGCTAGGCTCAACTTCACTACTAGTAGTAGGCTCATTCTCCATCTGACACTAGGCTCATTCTCCATTTGAAACAATACGTCATGCTTTGAAAACATATCGTATGTAAACGATATAAACGACATCAGGAAAACCACGGTGCTCACCTTTCTGCCTCAGCTCCTGCGACAATGGCTTCCGAGTCCACTTACACGTACCAATTTGATACTGCCGTTTACAAGGGCGCTGTTACATTCCCTACTCAACTGTTCATCAATGGTGAATTTGTCGACCCTGTCAATAAGGGAACGATCGAGTGAGTGTCCATGATTACTGCAAGTAGTCAATGATTCGAACGGATTCCTTCAGTTTGATCAATCCGGGTATGACTGCCTGGGCATACAGCTTTTCATCATTTTGATAAGGTTGAACTAGCTACTTGCAAGGATATTGCCCGAGTTTCAGTCGGAGACTGTGAAGACATCGAGCTCGCAGCACAGGCAGCAAGAGCAGCATTCAAGGAACACTGGGGTTTGAAGGCGCCCGGGGCAGCCAGAAGCAAACTGCTTCACAAGCTCGCTGATCTTGTCGATGCCAACACTGACCAAATTGCTGCTCTCGAGGCTCTTAACGTCGGTCAGTCAGACACCTTCTGAATTGAATCACACTGATCCGCTACTGCTAGGCAAGACCTTCCACGCGGCCAAGGCACAGGATTTACCGATCACAAGTTCTGTTCTACGCTACTACGCTGGTTGGGCTGACAAAATACAAGGAAAGAGCATTCAGGTGTGCCTATCGACAATTGCAACACAACACCACCTTTCTGACAAGTTTTAGACAACACCTGACAAGATTGGTTTTACTCGTCACCAACCTATTGGGGTAGTTGTACGTAGTCTCATTACGTTGTAAATTGGACGTTCACCAGCACGTGGCAGGGCGTAATCGTCCCATGGAACTTTCCCCGTTGGTATCCAAGTTTATGAGGCTATTCTCCACTTACCCCGTGTCTTCTAGTGAGCACGCTTATCATGAAACTCGCCCCCGCACTCGCTTGCGGAAATACAATCGTAGCGAAGCCTTCTGAGTTCACACCTCTCTCCGCACTGTTCTTATGCACATTGATCCGAGAAGCTGGTTTCCCACGTGGAGTAGTCAACATTGTACCCGGCTACGGTGACACTGCGGGTCAAGCGGTCGGTGAAAGCATGATAATCGACAAGGTTGCATTTACCGGGAGTACTCTCACGGGTAGGAAGATCATGGAAGCAGCCGCAAAAAGCAACTTGAAGAAAATCAGCCTCGAGCTAGGTGGAAAGAGTCCGAGCATCATTTTCGATGATGCAGACATTGATCAGGCTGTCAAGTGGGCTATTAATGGGATTTTGTGCGTCTCTCTGTTCTTTTCCTCTCGTGTCTTGTTCCTGAAGGCCATGAAGCATGAACCAAGGCGAGCTCTGTATTGCGGGGTCCCGGATTTACGTGCAAGCAGGCATCTATGACGACTTTCTGCAAAAGTTCACAGAGACTGCTCAGTGTCTTTCTGTGGGTGATCCATTTTCCCCGGACACGTTCCAGGGGCCTCAGATATCTGAGAGACAATTCGAAGTGAGTGCGCAGCCGAACGGTCTATAACAAATACCGATGTCCGACGTAAGCGTGTCATGGGCTACATCAAATCTGGCCAAGAGGATGGTGCAACTCTTCGCCTTGGTGGCGAACGGCACGGCACAGAAGGTTATTTCATACAACCTACGGTCTTCACGGAGTGCACGCCCAACATGAAGATCGTGCAAGAGGAAATATTTGGTCCAGTAGCAGCAATTATGAAATTCTCCGCAGAGGAAGGTTCGCTTATATTTCATGTTCCCGCTAATATTCATTTGACGGCGTCAAAGAGGTGATTGAACAAGCAAACAATACTACATATGGGCTTGCGTGTTCGGTTTATACAAAGGACATCGATAGAGCAATGCGTGTTGCAAGCAACATCGAGGCAGGCACCGCGTGGGTGAGCGTGAGATAGTTCTTGCAACGTTCAAGTCAGCTGATCACCAGGTCCGGGTTCGTAGGTAAATTTCACTAATTGGCCAGACCTCGGATTGCCAGTTGGTGGGTTCAAGCAATCTGGTGCAGGTAAAGACCTGGGTGAAGATGCTCTTGAGAAGTAAATTAATTTCTCATCTGATCGACGCCCGATAATCTGACCCAGCCTACAGCTACACCAATGTCAAGGCAGTGCACATCAACATTGGCATTAAGATCTAATCCAGTAAACTCAGGCAGTGTGCTCCAATACCACACCTTGACCGCATGACCCCCGGACCGTCATAGATTAGCGAAGCAGTGAACGAGGAAATGTTACTAGCCAATAAAGATCATTGCTGAGCTCACTGTCTCCACTCCGAGATTGAGCTTCTGTTGATGTAATGTGCGTGTCCTTGCCCCGAGGATCAATTAGTGCTGGTTCTACGACGTAAAAGCCCGGGGTTCGTGTGCCTTCTCAGTACCCCAGTGCTTCTTAAACATTTAGATATATGATCGTCTAAAGACTGAAAGAAAGCCATTCACAAAATGCCCATCCGCACCTACATCTTCAAAGTTGATCTCCTTGAGTCTCGAGACCCAGAAATCTCGAGGACCTTTTCCATACCCGCATCATGGACATTTCAAAAGCTTCATGCCGCGATCCAACACATCTTCCTCTGGCAGAACGAGCATCTCCACGTGTTTACGTTTCAAATTCCAATTGGAGGGGGCATAAACAAAGTTGTATCGATACAAGATACAGACATGATGGGACGGGATGATGAAGAGGGACCTAACGATATCGTCCTGGATGAAAAAACTGTCAAACTCAAGGACGTATGGGACCACAACGGAAGGTATCACAGGGACGTCACTAATGACGGAACCCTGGGGGGTTGCTTCTATGAATATGACTTTGGTGTAAGTGATATCACGTTGTGGAATGTTCCGAATTTGATCAAACCGATCTGATAGGATTCTTGGGAACATGAAATTACCCTGTTGGCAGTCGGCACGTCCGATGTGAAGGAAGTCTCAGTTCTTGAGGTTTCCGGTTGTGCACCCCTCGAGAACAGTCACGGGGTCCTGGGATGGGAGGGCCTTAAGAGAGCCTTCGCGGATCCAAACCCCAATGACGTGTCTCTTGAAGCGAGGAGGTTATCATGGCTTGTTTCGCCTCTAGGCGGTGCATTCCACCCCGCTATAGCACCAACTATAGAGCAGCTCAATGCACCTGGGCTATTCGATAAACGCTTCAGGCAGATTCGCAGGGGCATTCTATGATTTGTGGCAAGGCCATGGTCCGAAGGCCTTTGCGCTCGGATTACGCTCCACACTACGGCTTTACGTATAGCATGAGGACGGGACTCAAGTACTCACCACCCACGTTAATTACAACGTACTTAAAGCCCTGTAAAATAGTAAGAGCAGCAGCGTACTTATTTGCTGCTGCTATGTAGTATTAGAAGGACATATGTCCCCGGACTATCCTAGTAGTCACTTCGCTAGTTCTAGGTCTTGAGACCCAGGAGCTCGCAGTGCGAGACTTTGTATTCACATAACGTATCGGATATGATATGATCGTCACTGAGTAGAAGAGACTCGTAACTGAGATATGAGAATTGATGGTGGCTAGGTTTGAACACAGGAAACAACACGATGCTTAGCTAGGTCCGCATAGGATCCGACGCATCCCTGTACAACCGCATTAGGCAAGATCAATGTTAATTGGTTCTGAAATCAAGCTAGCGTCTATCATTTCACGTCCACATCGTGGTCCAAGTATTTCACTCTCAGGATGTCTGATCACCTTCTTCTGGATCACATAGTTTCACAGACTAGGCAGAACATCGAGCTGTTAATCTCTCATAACAGATTATCCCCATCGGATGGCCGCGATATTCTACTCAAGCTTCCTAGCACCGGGGTGGCAGGATCTATGATAGCCATCACACAGCAAACGCAGCGCCTTTCAATATCTCCGGCGCCCGCTCAGAGTATGATCAATAATAATATTGGCTTGCATGTGTCGCCAAAGGTAGAAGCTCGTGCTATCTGGGATTGGACAAGCGAGGTAAATATATCTCATCTACACTTACTTACTAAGTGTTGTAGATTTGCTAAAGCCATGACAGGATCCCAATGATCTCTCATTCAATGCAGGAGATATAATAGAAATTGTGAAAGAGACAAACGCAGATTGGTGGACAGGCAGAGGCAAGACGGGGAAGCAGGGCCTATTTCCTGCCACATATGTGGAGAAACTGGCCCCACGATCTGTTTCTCCACCGATGTCTTTCCCTGAATTTCCAAAGACAAGGACATCGTTGGATTCAAAGTATGGTTTGGCTTCGGAGCCCAAGTATATACCTCCAGGTCTTCCGGGCCCTCCGCAGTATTCTTCACCACAGCCTGTGGTGCAGCAGTACCCTCCACCCCCTGGTCCTCCAACCGGTGGTTATCATCCTCCTGGTCCTCCGGCCGGAGGTTATCCGCCCCCCTCCGGACCTCCTGGACCTCCTTATAATCCTTATCCGGGAAATCCTCCAGTGGCTCAGCCAGTTCCTCAGCAGCCCCCAAAGAAGGGTCGTTTCGGTAATCTTGGCGCTACGGTAGGTCTACCGTGCAGGAACTGTCTATAAATATTTATCGATATAATTTCCAGATGGCACAGTCAGCCGCTGGTGGTCTTGGGTTCGGTGCAGGTTCGTGTACTTGATTTTTACGTCTTTGATACTTCTAATCATTCTATCCAGGTGCTGCCATCGCTGGTGATATAGTGAACTCAATTTTCTAGACTTCTACTCTCTTCGTGCGTTACTAAGCTTACACAAGGACATTCATTCGTGCTACGTTTTTCTTGACTATAGCATCTTACATTTGGTTATGGTATCAGATGCGAAATTCCAACACCGTGGCTTCATATTTACACAATCTGATGCTTCTCAGTAACATCTGAAGTGGTTTTACGCTTAAGCCCCGCAAATACTGGACCACTGGAACTGTATCGTAATGCACCCAAAAACGTCTGTTCGGATCTCCACGTTCAAAGTCGAGCTCGTCGGTTCTCGTAACCCTGTCATTTCTCGGACATTCCCGCCTCTTGTACCTGCCAGCAGTTGCATGCAGTAATCCAGTATGCATTCAGCTGGCACCTGTTCGGAACCGCGTATCGTCCTTCGGCACGTGAGGAGCACCGTTTCATCTTGTTGGATTATAGGCAAAAACTTGCTGTTACTCATACACAAGTGACTGGGCCACATCGGCACGCGCGAGGTTCAGCGAGAAAGACGTCAAATACGATTTATTTGAGAAAACCCGGAAGTATCGAGAGATAATCTTGGAAGATTGGGCTATGAAGAAATGCTATTACTCCTTGAATAATTTCGAGGTACGTATCTACCAGCTTTAGCATTATCTATGCCTCACCTTGTTCAAGAACATCCACGAACCCAAATAGCAAAATGCGTGACCGGAGACGCTGAGATCATGAAAATTTGCCGCTAGGCCTTCAATTCTGCTGTGCGACCTCCCGTCGAAGAGTTCCTGAAGTTTCTTCACGACGTTCGACAAGCCGCTGGTGATGGCCACAATCTTGCCGACGATCCAGATCATAAGGATGGGTAAGTTGGAGAGGAGTAATGTATTCGCAACGACTGAGGTTTGTTGGTCATAGGTTTGATATAGTCATTCCGGCCATGCCTATAGAACCGTTGAAGTTCAGTGACTATGGCCTAGCGATGGTTTGTCGTGCATGAGGGTACTAATCCCTTGGCTTTATTGGTATCTCCCATCAATGGGAGCACTATCCGTCGGCCACCGTTCATCCACACTGGGCCGCGATTAAGGCTCTGAGGACATGAGTTTGGCCTGGTGAAGGGCTCATGCGCATTGTCATCGGTACTCACGCAGAATACGTTGACAACGGTATGTGCCAGTAGGTACCCTGATGGCAACAGAAGAGGACAAGTCGCGGGGAGGCGGCCAACAAACGTGACATGTGAAAAACGTTATTCATGGACGTTGAAATGGGGAAGCAATGGGGATAAGTGTAGTCCTATCTTCTGAAAAAGGAGAATACTAAAGCGAATGCCAAGTGCACGAGACGAGGAGCGGTACGTTTGGCTAATCTTACCTATAAATTACATGCTGACTGTAGTGGGATCACCTTATAAAAGGTTCCAGCTTGGTTTTCGGACGGCGTATATTTCCGTAGTGTAGGTAAAATGCCTTTTTCTTCTGCTTTTGGGCTTTTTATCCTTTGAAATGATAAATTCGGACGGGGCCCACGGCCGTTTGATGGTGGCTGCGAATTATTAGTATTAAATGACTAATAAAAAGTAACACGGATTTACTTTTGGAAGGTTGGGAAAGCGTGTCAAGATTTAGACATTGCACGCGCTTCTGAGAAAGCCCTAGTCAGCATCAAAGTTAGCATTAACTTTGAACTATTCAAAATTGACTCAGAGTTTCTGTCCTTGAGGTACTCCGGTGGCGGTAGTAGAGAGCTGAATTTCAAATTGTGTAACATCACGTGTATGTCACAGGCTGATTGCTTACCGATCAGCGTCACGCTTAGTATTGCTAATGGATTAGATTTCCCGCCAATGAAATGTGGCTGGTTGCACTCTCCTCAGCTTACTCACTTTTCAGCATCTGTCCCCTCCGCGACCTCCGGCTTTCTCAGCCAACTCACCTTTCCTTCCGCCTTTTAACTCGAACAATTTGACGGTGGCGGAAGACTCGTATCTTTCACCTGCAATATCTGCTATTTCAGTCATATCCTCCGTGCCCTCGTCCCCGATTGTCTTCTGCTTCGAATAGCAAGTCTTAGAGCGGTCCATTAATCCTTATATCACGAGGATGTCCGATTCAGACTCTACCCTATCCCCCGAACCTCAGCGCACAATTAAAATAATCTTCATCTCGGATTATGTACGTCTACCTTCTTATTCTCCTTGTATATTGTATTTTTCCTATGACTTATCATTCTTCGGCACTTTCCAGCTCTGCGCCTTTTGCTACATCGGGAATAAGTCTCTCAAAGACGCTATTGCCGGATGTCGTGACTTGGATGTACGTTTCGACGTGGAATTCCGGCCATTTACCCTCCTCTGCCCATCATCCGCACCCGAGGTTCCCAAAGCGAAAGGTGAAAAAGTGCCCAATCGCCGGGAATACCTCGTTAGGAAGTTCGGTAAAGAGCAAGCGGAAAGCAAGTGGAAAGTGGTGGAGGAATTAGCACAAAAAGCTGGGTTACCACTGTGAGCATCTTTAGCATGCGGTCAGCGTTTTTTCTGATACAATGGATTAATAGTGCGGAAGACGGAATCGTGGCCCGGTCTACTCTCGCCCACAGACTGGCTGTGAAAGCATATAAAGTCGGCGGGCAAGCTATGCAAGGCCACCTCAACGATATTTTATTCGATGCCATTTTCGCCGGCTGCCAGGACGTTAGTGACGTCGAGTTTCTTGCCGATGCAGCAGAGAAAATTGGCTTGATGAACAAGGCAGAGGTATGTTTCAATGTCAAACTTAATCAACAGTCAATGACATAAAATTGCTGCACCTTGCAGGCTACTACTTTCTTACAAGATACTGATTGCAAGAACTGCGTCAATCAAATGATCGAAGCCGCTCGGGCGAGCGGTGTGAACGGCGTGCCTTCCATCATCATCGATGGAAAATGGGCTTTGAATGGCGTTCAATCTACGGAGTGTTACCTTCAGGTGAGCAAGACTCGTTCATTTTAGCCTATCAGTAAACTCGTCCGGGTGCAGTATCGCTGATTCTTATTGCATGTAGATCTTGCGCAAAATTGCACAATCTTCGTCGATGACGGAATGTGCATCGATCGTCTCAGTGGCATCATAACAGATTTTACGCATATTTCTTTCACTCTCCTCTACCCATACCGTGCTTTATGACCTCAATTCATGCGTGCAGGTCGTGGTCATCACTTTGGATTAATTATTTAAGGACCACTCACGCAACCTCGCGTAGGAAATTCAGTCTGAAAGGGCCTGTTGCATTTCGTACTTTTTCTCTTGCTCTTTGTACCATTTTCTGCGTGTTGTATCGCATCGCAGTTTTTATTAGCGAGCGTGTGTTTGTATCTTTCTTCTATGCTATGCTATCTGCTACTTTACCTTGTTAGTCCCGTTTTTAAAGTGGCCACCATGAGGGAGAGGTAGGGAATATAGCATTTGACCTTCTCTGTTCCATTTGACACGAGGATAACCCTCTTCAATCTTCACCCATCTCGCGAAGTTCGACAGTCGGTTCACCGATCTTGCCGAGCTTTACATACCCCTGTACTGATCAGATTCGCTACCATGCTACGTCAACACAGTCACCTTATTCGGCCTTATTTCCGGCAGGTTGCCGTTTGTAACCGTGCACGGCGGAGTCTTTCAGAAGATAACAGTCAAGAGTACCCGTTCGAAGCTTCCGATTGGTTATTCGAGTGTCAGTATGAAACCGAAAGGAAGGATCACCACGCAGGCGCCAGTTGGAGAATGTTACCTCCTTCCGATTTCATAGTGGAGTGGGGTTAAGTCATTTCCCTAGAACTTATCTAAGAACCTATCTGTGGCCAGGAGATGAAACATTATGACATAGTTGGCCAATAACAAATGATCTGGACCCGTTTTCTATGATCACACGTTGAAGATAAACCTCGCGGTCCCGTTACCCATGTGCTCCACATCCCGCACAGTAGAGTGTCAGGTAGGTACGTCAGGTTGTTGCCCAAATGCACTAGCTGATAACTTGGGAAACGTGAATGACCTAGATGACCTAGACTGGCCTGCGATGGGCTTAAGGTGCTGCAATTCCACGTATAAGTTCCAAATCCGTGGACCAACTATACCAGTTGGGCTAACGGCTTGCAGGTTCGCATTAGTATTCATCTTCTTTGCAAGGCCCAGGATCGCACTAGTCTGTGTAGAAGCAGACCATGAGCAGATGATGATATGTGTGAAAAGCAACCCACGGATTCAGATTAATGCGGCACCAAACCATCTGATAACAAACTAAATCGCAGAAGTCTCGACTTAGCGATGGAAGATCCGGGGTGCACAAACACAGGCACAAGTTATCTTAACAGAGTATCCGAGAGGGTGCGAAGAGGAGCTACATCAAAGGCGTGTTCGGCCTAGTCCGAGAGGTATTACACAAAGATCTGCACAAAAGCAGCCTCGTGTTGCCTAGCCTTTAGATGTTCAGCAATTGCCAACGTACACATATACTAATCTGATTTATACGAAGCGAACAACGATAACATGGCCTTTGTAATATCTTGAGCATAGTTTGGAAAGCGCACGAGAAACATACCACAATGTATGGACGGTGGAGATTGATCACGATCATTCTATCCAATCGTTTAGGATATCCTCTAGTTCGTTGCGAACGCCATCGCGTGATATGTTGCTCGCGATATGATTAGAGGCTTTAAGCCTCTCGAGAGCAGCAAGCACCCAGTTCTGACAGTTCCAGTTTTCTCTGCCTCGATATACGGTTACTTGTCGAAGTAACACGCCTATCTCTTTTTCCGAGAACACATCAATCTCTCCGACCACCAGACAACCACGATAGCCTTCAGCAAGAATTTCCATACATTCGTCTTCGATGCAAGAGTAGGTAAGGGTGTCGATGTTGCCGATTGCTTGGTAACAAGTCCCCCAGTGATCTACTTGATCTGAATGTTCTTTCCCAGAGCTGCTGGCTTTGATTGAATCGGCATTTGCGTTGGAGATCGCAAAGAGTGCCCAGTGAAGTGGCATCCTGTTACCATTGGAATCGTGTCCGCGCCAATATTGTGCAACACACAGAGTTCTTTTCTCAGACAGCCCACTGTCGTCGCCCATGATAGTAGAAGGAAAGAGTTGTGTGGCTGGTATAAGGCATTACGATAACCGTATCAGGTTCCCGCGCCACCGCTTGGCTGGACCAGTCTAAGGATAACCTGGTTTGGGAACTTTATCCCCCTTGGTTAACGTTTTTCAATCGAACATATCACACCTCTGCTCCTCACCATCACATCGGCAACAGGATTATGACCGTCTTCGTTCCATTGGAGGCAGGTTCGTCTCCTCCTCCAACACCATCTTTTCTGGTGCCTTCAGAAACCCCAAACTTGCACCTGCGAAAAGCTATCAAGGCCATCCTGAAGGCCAAACGGTTGGTTGTCGTGTGTGGTGCGTTTTCCAACCGTTGGAAAATTCAGATACCGTCGCCCTAGTCAAACTAACAATGTACCAGGTGCTGGTATATCTGTTTCTGCCGGAATTCCAGACTTTCGCTCAGAGTCGGGTCTCTTTCAAACGTTGAAGCGAGACAACCCGAAAGAAGCGTTGTCTTCCGGAAGAGACTTGTTCGATGCGTCAGTGTTCAACGTGAGTTATCGTCCTTCCATGTTCGATTTTCCCAGATTGTGCATGGAAAATCTCTATTGCCTCAACCACCACGCGTGCTTACTGCTCATGGATGGCGACGGGCTTACACACGTTTAATAGAATGAACACACGACATCAATGTTTTGCCAAATGATAGCTCAATTATCCGAGCTCTCCCAGGCAGCCAGCCCCACGCCTTTTCATCAGGTACTACGATCGCTTGATGACAGGGGCAGGCTCCTGCGTGTCTACACCCAGAACATCGACGCTATCGAGCTGAAATCTGGTCTTTCCTTTGGTATCCCAGAGTTTGATAAGAGACGAGCAAGGCCGAGATCTAAGCCAAAATCGACTGGTCCTCCCATCGCTGATCGACCTACGATATCTACTAGTGCTCCTTCTTCGCAAGATGGCTCATCGACGACACCGGGATCAAGGTACATGTCTCCTGCTGTTGAAGTCCCTCGTTGCATTCCTCTACATGGAACGCTGCAGACGCTGCATTGCCAAACATGCATGCACACGTTTCCACTCGAGAATTACGTGCCTTCCCTGACGTTAGGAACACCCCCAACTTGCCCCGAGTGCACCCAAATGGAGGAGACGCGTCAACTTATCGGAAAGCGAGCCCGAGGTGTGGGAAAATTGCGACCCAGTGTGGTTCTTTATAACGAGCTGCATAAAGATGGCGAAGGGGTGGGCGAAGTCGCGAGGAGAGATCTTGTTGGATGTTCCAAAGGCAAGGGGCGGAGTGGTGTGGATACTTTGCTTGTGGTTGGCACAAGTTTAAAAGTTCCAGGCACCAAACGCATGGTTCGCGAATTCTCGAAGGCGGTACGCGCCAGAGGACACACTGCATCGAGGGATTCTACGTCTGCATCTACAGGTCTCGCAACACCAGCACCCTCTCCTGGCAAGGGGCCAGCTACATCAGCAGGCGACTCTCCCTTCAAGTCTATCTATTTGAATTTTGATTTTCCGGGGCCGACACGAGAATGGGAAGGCGTCTTCGACGTGTGGTTACAAGGAGATGCTCAAAGTTTCGCGGAGCTCTTGGAGGCAGAAATCGTAAAAGAGGCTGCCGAAAAAGAAGCTGCATTAGAGAGGAAACGGAAACGGGAAGAGGATGCCACTCACTTAGAAGGCTCAGAAGAAGCGGGTCTTCCGAAGAAGAAGAAGACAGCGAAGACAGAAAAGCAAAGCTCTGAAAAGCCAGCAAAGCGGAAACCCAAAGCCTTGCCGTCTGTTCGTCCTCGGAAGTCCAAGAGCAAACACCAAGAAGACATAGACATCAGTGTATCATCCGCCCCGAAGATAACGCACGGCAACCCGAAACTTACGATTCGAATTCCACCCCTGAAAGGCCGTTACATCCCCGAGGTATGCATCACCACTCCCGTACCGCGGGGGCTTAAAGCGGCGCAATTTCCTTGCACTCCCCCTGCAACTCACGTGAAACATCGGTTGTTATCTCATTCAGACTACCCGCCTTCAGATACCACGGAGATAGGATTTGACGAAAGCGATCTCTCCGAGTTGTCTGGTGATGAGGTAGCAGGCGAACTTCCTAGGACTGCCATACGGACTGCACAATATGGACTTCGGGCCACCAGAGGGTAATAATATCTTGTACTATCTTTATTGTATTTATTTATCGTACGCTACACGCCTCGTTGACTTCGGGATTTTCACAATTAGTTAGCAGCAGTTGCACATGGGACTGCTTCAAGGTGGGATTTTAGCGTGCTATTCTTTTCAATTGTGCCATATGCATGTGTCACATAAACTTTGTTATACAGTGGGCAAAGCTTATTATATCAAGCTGACAAGTGAGACACTCCTGACTAACTCCCATCATGAATAATCGAAATCCATAATGCTTTCGCGCATCAAAAAGTTTCAATGTCACAAACTTTGTTATACAGTGGGCAAAGCTTATTATATCAAGCTGACAGGTGAGACGCTCCTGACTAACTCCCATCATCATGAATAATCGAAATCCATGATGCTTTCTCGCTCATCAAAAAGTTCCAATGTATTATATATGTGGCAAGGCTGGAAGGCCTCCAACCATTTTACCATCTACATCTCTTTCACATGTCTTCGCAACAGAAAGCTCTTGTTCTTCCCAAAAAGCAGGGCAGCTTTGAGCTTAGCTCCCGCAGCATCCCCAGTCCTGGGGCCGGGCAACTCCTGGTCAAAATTCAATCTGCAGCTCTGAATCCAGTTGACTACAAGATCAAGGACGCAGGTATATTCGTGACTCAGTACCCTGCCGTTCTGGGAGCGGATATTGCTGGGATTGTCGAAGAAGTAGGGGAAGGTGTCGAGAATTTCGGGAAAGGCGATAGAGTGTCAGACAATTCTTTTCCGCTGTCTGTATAGGCTTAACCTTGGTTTACAGATTAGCGCATGGCAAGTTTAGTAATGATTTTGCTGCATTTCAGCAGTATACTTTGACCGATGCAAGCTTTACAGCAAAGGTAAGTTATGTGAATGTTCGTTGACCATATCGTCAGCTACATCTCATTCCAGATTCCTGCAAGCGAATCCTTCGATAGCGCAGCTACTGTTCCTCTGGGATTAGATACTGCAGTTGTGGGCTTGTACGGAGATCAATTGGGAGCTGGGATAACACGTCCTTGGACGAAAAGCACCGACGCTGACGAATCGAAGACACCTATTGTTATCCTCGGGGGTTCTTCCTCTGTGGGGTCATACAGTAAGCAAAGTGAGACTTACTTCTTCAACTGCATCCTGACAATACTGCAGCTATCCAACTCGCTCGTCTGTCAGGATTTTATCCTATCATCACTACAGCCTCTCCGAGCAATGAAGAGCTCGTCAAGGGCTACGGCGCAACTCATTTCTTTGATCGCAACCTTTCCGGAAAACAACTGCTGGCGGCTATCAGCGAAGTTACGGACGGCCCTGTGAAACTTGTTTATGACGCCATCTCGTTGCCAGAAACACAGTCTGTAGCATGGGAATTACTTGCAGATAATGGCACCCTCGTCTTAACCCTTGCTGCATCAGTCAAGGAAAATGAAGGCAGGGGGCGCAGGGTGATTCAGACCTTCGCAGGCCCACATGCCGCTCAAAATGAGGAGCTGTGCAGCAGCTCCTGGGCTATGGTCGAAAAATGGCTTTCGGACGGCACTATAAAGGTTTGCTCTGCGAGTATTGTTCTGAATTTATGACTCACAAATGATGTAGCCGAACAACTATGAAATCCTCCCGAACGGGCTCGAAGGTATTATTGGAGGACTGGAAAGGATGAAATTGGGACAGGTGTCTGGAACGAAGTTGGTCGCTCACCCTCAGGAAACACAGTAAATGCAGGGTTGTCAACTTGTTCCGCATCCTACGTACGGAATCAGTACTCAGTGTTGGTCTTCGTCCGACTTAATACGTGTTTACCTACTCATCATATAGCAGAGCGCGTACATACACACGAATGATAGATAAGCAGGCCTTTATGGGGTCATGTCCACAGGGCTCATGAGAATAAATTGATTTTTTTTTTCAAATAGTTCCGCGGTTTACAACGGATTCAGGCGCATCTCGACTGATACAATATAATTGTACGATTACAAGTGTGTAGAGCTCTTGTTGAAAGTTCCAACGTATAAAGGCAAGGGGCAAAGTGACGTGGATGCTCAGCGCTCAGCTTGTGGTTGTAGAGGTTCTAGGTACCAAACCACATGAAATAAGAACAAATCGCACGAAGAAGTCAGCTCAAAACTCCTTGCGCACTCATTGCAACTCGCATCGACCAGTGACATGGTATCTTTATTGTCTCATTCGAACTACCCGCCTTCGGACTCGGACGCCACAAACTCACTTGAGGATATGACAATCTCTTCAAGTTGTCTGCTGGCGCAATGAGCTCAGGCTAGGAGACGAACTTCATAGATATGCAATACAGACTGATGGACTTTGAAATTGGGCCGCTTGTGCGTACTATCTTTATTTTATCTGTGTACCATATGCCAACCGTACACTGCATGCCTCTTCGACTCCACTTAGGCTGTCGCTCAGGGACTGACTGGAGTGAAGCTCCAGCGTACTACTCAGACTGTATAGTATGCCTACGCTAGCGAGGCTCCTACCATTTCTGGCGTCGCATCTCATGCACATTACCAGTGCATATGGCGTTATCCTGCAGAGCTTGTTATTAAGCTGATGCACAGGACGTAGATGATCCTCCCGCCATTTCAAATGCCCGTCGGCATGAATCATCCATGATATATTCTTGCTCATCAAGTTTCAGTTCATTATATAGGTAGCAAGGTTGGAACGCGTCCAACCGTTTTACCCTCCACATATATTTTGCATGTCTCCGCAACAGAAAGCTCTTGTCGTTCCTCACAAGCAGGGCAACTTTGAGCTTAGCTCCCGCAGCATCCCCAGCCCTGGGGCCGGGCAGCTTCTGGTCAAAATTCAATCTGCAGCTCTGAACCCAGTTGACTACAAGATCAAGGATTCAGGTTCATACGTGACTCATTACCCTGCTGTTCTGGGAACGGATATTGCTGGGATTGTCGAGGAACTAGGGGAAGGTGTCGAGAATTTCGGCAAAGGCGATAGAGTGTCAGACAATTCTTTACCCGTGTCTGCATAGGCTCAACCGTGGTTTATAGAGTGGCGCACGGCAAGTTCACTAATGACTTTACTGGATTTCAGCAGTATACGTTGACTGCTGCGAGCTTTACAGCAAAGGTTAGTTATGAGAAAGGTTCATCGACCACATTGTCAACTACAACTCGTTCCAGATTCCTGCAAACGAGTCCTTCGATAGCGCAGCTACTGTTCCTCTGGGATTAGATACTGCTGTTGTGGGCTTGTACGGAGATCAATTCGGAGCTAAGATAACACCTCCCTGGGAGGAAGGCTCCGGCGGTCACGAATCAAAGAAACCAATTGTCATCCTCGGTGGTTCTTCCTCTGTGGGTTCATACAGTAAGCGAATTGAGATTTGATTCTTCTTCAATTGCATCCTGACAGTATTGCAGCTATCCAACTCGCTCGTCTGTCGGGATTTTATCCCATCATCACTACAGCCTCTCCGAGCAATGAAGAGCTTGTCAAGGGCTACGGCGCAACTCATTTCTTTGATCGCAGCCTTTCCGGAAAACAACTTCTGGCGGCCATCAGCGAAGTTACTGACGACCCTATCAACCTTGTTTATGATGCCATCTCGTTGCCAGAAACACAGTCTGTTGCATGGGAATTGCTTGCGGACAATGGCACTCTCGTCTTAACCCTTGCTGCATCAGTCAAGGAAAATGAAGGCAAGGGGCGCAGGGTCGTTTCGACCTTCGCTAACCCACATATCCCCGAAAATGAGGAGCTGTGCAGCAGCTCCTGGGCTAAGGTCGAAAAGTGGATTTCGGACGGTACTATACAGGTCTGTTCTGTGAGTATTGTTTTGGATTTATGACTCACAAATGATGTAGCCGAACAAGTATGAGGTCCTCCCGAATGGGCTCGAAGGTATTATTGGAGGACTGGAAAGGATGAAATTGGGACAGGTGTCTGGAACGAAGTTGGTTGCTCACCCTCAGGAAACACAGTAAATCGATTGTACAATACGTCCTAATTACAAGTGTGTACTGGGAAATGTCGCGAAGAGAGCTCTTGTTGGCAAATTGTAAAGGCAAGGGGCGAAGTGACGTGGACGCTCGGCTTGTGGTGTTTTAAAGGTTCCGGGTAAGATAGTCCTCAAACAGTTACGGTTAACGTCACGTGCTAAATCGTGACAAAACCAATGATCACTCATAGGATACTTGCGACAACAAAGAGAAGAAACACTGAAACGGAAGATCTATAGAATATGTCCTTCTGCGTACTTTATCCGTTTTAAAATTGTCATTTGTGTTGAATTGCAAGCGGAGATGGTCTTACGAATAATGGAGTACTAAGATGATCCATAGTAGTCCGAAAAAGGCACTCATCTGGACTCGCCTCTGTCACAGTGTGGTCACATCACGTGAGGTTTGCGTGAGGACACAAATGATAAAAGTGGTATGATATAAATGAACAATAATGATAATGCCAAGTTCCAAATGCAATAGTAATGCTGATGTCGATGATGATAATGTATAGGTAATGGCAACAAGGTGAAATGTGATAGTCAAGATTTCAATAGACCTTATATTCGTCCGTAAACGTGGGCTGGGACATGGAATATGTTGCACTGTCCGGGTACTCACAGCGGCCTTCAAAGTACCCCGACCCATATGTCTGTAAAAACTCCTCTAGTTCAGCTGGTAGGGAGTTCAGATCGTTCTCGGAGACAGGCTGGTACTGAAAGTCCACATCAGAGGTAGGAATGGACTGCTGAGAGTTGACATCGCGAGACAGCTTCGGGTCGAACTGCGGCATGTGGGAAGTGGAGAGATCGACAGGGACAGTTGATGGCTGCAAGTAGTTAAAGGTGGCGATGGCGAGTTGAGAGGGCTGTTCGTGAATGGAGGTGAAGCTCTCGGCAGGGAAATCGGGGAAGTGTCGCTCCCAGGAGAGTTCGGTGAGCTCGCCCGAAAACTGGGGGATACCGGAGTCGCCGGACTCAGCGGGTGAGAGCGCATCGCAGGGAATGAGGCCTGCGAGCTCAGGAAATGTGAGGTCATTCAGATCCAGCGATGCAGGAATATCTTCCTCGGGCTTCATAAACCGAGTGGATGGGTAAGGTGCGGCGGCGGACCGTCGAGCAACTTTGCCCCCGAGATTGCGACGCGCCTTGGGCTCGTAGCTATGTAGGTGCTTGCGGTGACGCGTCAAGCTTGCTGGATCGGTAGTGGCAAATGCACACCCAGGGTGGGGGCACGTCTTCGAGCGTTCACGGGTGTGGGTCCTGATGTGCGTCTGCAAATTGGACTTTTGGAGGGTCTTGTAATTGCAATCAGGGAATGGACATGCGTGCATACTGATCAAGATAGCAAATGGGTCAGGAACCATTTGGTACAATAGGGTACGAGTACGTACAGAGCCTCCTTGTGTTCATCGTGCGTACGCATGTGTCTAGGAAGATCGGCCTTGCGGCTTATGGTCTTGTGGCAGACATGGCAGTCAACAGGTGTCTGTAGAGAAAGTGTCATCAGTACAAGACGCATGATGCGAGGTAGGCTGGAAACGTACCATATTGCGTCCTGCAGCAGGCATCTTGTGATAATGTTTGGGAGGAGAGAAGCGGTTGTTGTAAATGATCTGCGGGATGAAATTAAACCCCTGAGGTGAATGAATAGCGATTGCGTTGTAGCAAATTCACACATCCTGCGCGTTTCTTTTAAAGCACCAGGCGTGCTATGGACATCGAGTACGATTGCTTTTCTGCGGCGCACGTTTTTGCCTTTAAAGGCAAAAAGCGCGAAGCAATCGTGTGCGATGGTCTGAGCATAAGGGACGAGCCACTCGGTTAGCAGGGAAGGTAAAAGAGCTGGAAGAGGGTTCGATTGCGTCTCAACACTTTTCATTTTTTGCCTTGTAAGGTAAAATCTGGTTACCTGCTCAATGTGGGGACGAGTAGTGAGTCAGTGCTCCTAGTCAGGCCTTATGCACATGAATGAAGGGAAGTAGGGGCCTACAGACGCTTCCTAAAAGATTATCACCTCGAGGCGTGTCCAAAGGTATTGGGTTTCATTCCGGTGAGCACTAGTTTCTGAGATAGTGTTCGCAGTCACCAACGAAGTTGGGGAAGAATTGAACAAGACCCTTGAAGTGATGCGTTGACGTAGGTGATTAGCGTCACGTGAGTGCAACTTTGAGCAAATTTAATAAACAATTCATTATTAATATTCAATATTCAAAAGAGAAGCAACCTTTAGATCGAGCTGGGAACGGTTTGACAAGATGTATGTGCCACATAAAAATACTCGTTAAATGATACGTCATGCCGTGTGCGATCGTAGACTCACCTGCAACGAGATCGCCTTACTCGTCTGCTCCGGAGGAGCTGCATTCGATGACGGCATCCCGATGGCACTATCCCCGAGATACGGAACGAGCTCGCTGTACTGATGGATGTACGCGTCGAGCGTAGCTGGCAACACAACCAACCCATCAGAATAAGATGTCCTGCCAGAAGCTCGAAAAACAGACTCACCAGGTCCAAATATCGTACTAGCACCTTCGTATCTCTGCACGCCATACTCCTCGCGCGTCGTGATGTAGTGTCCATACGTGTTTGCAGGACCCGCGATCACCACATACGCCCTATCGTCCAGGACACCCTCCGCAATTAGCTTCGCCCTCAGTGCGTTCCTACACAAAGAACACACGTCTAGGATCGCTCATTCCTGAGAAATGTGTTTTTGGCAGAACTCAGGAGTTTTCCCGACCGGTCTGGCAAAACTCACAAAAGGAGGGTGGCAGAACCAGGCAGAACTCCAGGAAGCAAGGCTCGCGGAGATGCACCGGGAATCACACGGTTTGAACATGAAAACCGACATCCCTGAATATGGTGGCATGCCGCAGGACGGAGGACGCTCCTTTGTGTCACTGACCAGAGTCAATTTTGAGCACCTGGAACGAGTTGAGAACAGTTCGAATGACTGCTATCGTGAATATCACTTGCTCTTTTTCTCCACTTGATGTGTGACGTAGCAATGCGAATACTATTAGTATGGCATGGATTGAAGTTGCAACGTTGCAGTCTCAGGTTCCAAAATATGTATTACAGGCATATGATATACAAAAACTTAACACACCTTCTGCATGCTCACAAATGTATACATGGAAATGGACACTGCCGCGACCTTGCAATTCAACGACTTCATTTATGACGCCCGTGCCCGTTATTTCCACTAACCCCCAAAAGAAATTAGAGTAAAAAGAAAATACAACAAAAACGCACCACCATATGATTCAGAACTGTTACTGTTACTACTGGTCGCCATGAAAATTGTGACCATTGACTGGCAACCAAAAAAAAACGAGATTTAGTCGCAACAAACAATAAATAAACACAAATCACTGAGCAAGGTCCACGTCGGCATCACCGACCCCTAGTACACAGATCTGGAGCGCTCGAACGATATCTTGGTGGTGCTCAGTGGAGGTGGAACGCGCACGTGAGGTAGACGCGAATTGGTTCCGCGGGATCAAACGTTCCGTGCTTACATATGTTTCAGACGTAATGCGAAATTATTTTCTCTAGAGTCCAAGTCGACCCTTATATGAATTCAATGAGAATTGGGTACAGAGCCTTTCCGAATTCCTCGCAGACAACTGGTATGATCTTCATTGGTTTCTAATGGTCAAATTTCACTGAAGGGTCAGGTTTATGGCCGCAACGAAATATATTTATCTTTTTGTTCTCGCACTAGGCAGCCCAATCGGATGTGAGCCTCGAGGGCACTGGTCGGATGCAACGAGACTTAATGAATACCCAATCGTTCTGGGTGGCAAATAGGACCTAGTACCCCGGGGTATCTTTCCGTGGGTTCAGCTCAAGACTCTTAGCTGTGGATGGCAAAGATATAGCTGTCGTGGCTGGTGACTTTTGATACGGTCTGTCTTGCGAGCTCAACTTGAATGCCAACTAGGACAACGGTGGCTGCAACAGCCAGCGCATCTTCCAGCGCGTATTCGTCCTCTTCTTCTAGCAACCTGCGGGATTCCACAATCGTGGATCGGTTTGTATTCGATTTTCACAGGCGATAAATGATTGAAGCTCACCCAGCCCTACCTACCCTATGGTTGGAAGAAAATTATACCACAGGGAATGAGTTGGCATCTGTTAAAGTGTTTCATTTCCGAGCATCTGCTAGTATCATGATTGGCAGAACTCAAGAGTTTTGCCAGCCGGTCTGGCAAAACTGTTCCACAGCGATACTTGTACAAAGGGAGCGTGGCAGAACCTGGCAGAACTGGTATCCGAGACTCGCGAAGATTTGATTTAGATCTGATAACAACTAGCGGAAATGACTCCAAATAGTCCTGCCCCCTATGCTAGCACCCGGAAACTGACACTGGTCATGTATAAAAGCCAACCTACGTGGCCCAGAGAACACCATCAACATTCGACTATGAAATTCACCTCACTCACTACTATTGCCATATCTGCCGCAGCGATGGTCGGCACAGTTATCGCATCTGATTTAGATTCAACACCCATGGGTCATAAATGCTCCCCCAATAGTAAGTACTTTTGCGGCCTACTACCCGCAGACCGCGCACTTACGGTTATCCACAGATTCAGTGCAGTGCTCAACCACAGGCATGAATGGTTATAACAACGGGAACGATTACGGTTTTTTCTGCGGACCAGATTTCAAAATTATACAAGTCACGCCGTGTTCCTGCTCAAACTGCTGTAAGGTGGTTGCTAATGGGGCTGATTTCCAGTGTGGAAACTGAGTGAGCTTGTCTTTCCTAACTGCCTTTCGAGTCCGAGCGTTAATGTTGTTCGCTTAACAGGTTGTGCGCAAGATGGCGTGAAGGAGTGCTGTGACGTAGCTTGAGTGTCAATGTGAATATGGAATGCATTGAAATTCTGTAGCCAATGATTAATCGTTATGTCATACGCCTCACTCTGGCGAGCAACCCCCTCACAACTGGTTATCGAAATGTCCTGGAAGCGTACCCACTGACCTGCGAAGACTTCAAGAAACTAAGTTTAGGCTGTCCTATTCGAGTCGCATTCTTGGCGTACTGCAACCTTTGAAAAATTCTCACTGTAGAGGGAGTCTCATGCGTGGTTAATGGGTCTAGCGTGAAATTTTTACAACCTTCTTCAATTGTTTGCTTTGTTCGTCGGTCTATCGCATGCGACATCATGCACCTGCTGTTGTTGGTTTCCTTTCACTCTCTGGGATCTGGAACTGAGATCACGCTGCGGCTAATGGCTCATGATTCATACAGTCTCCATCCTATCCATTGAGCTTGAGAAGTCCATAATAAAACTACAGTAAGACAGAAAACCGACGGCAAGCGGCGAGCATATATCCAAGATAGTCATATCAAAGCCTTTATCATCATCTGCCTAACATCCAGTACCCCTCATCCGTCGGTTAACCCACAGGCCCAAGCTTTATCCCAAGAGCAAAAATACCGTGTCAAGTAGGTCTTATCGCGCGTAACCTCGAAGGAAAGACCATCCGATTGTATCCTCTTATTTCCAGGATCCGTCACAGGAAACCACGGTGGCCCCCACGAGAAGGAGTTAGGATCCTGCTTGTAAAGGGCAGCAGACACTGTGAATCGCTCCACATGCAAGTCTATTCCCCTTGTGGCATATGCGTCATATGAAATTGACTTGACAGGAGGCAGATGCGGGTAGACCACTGAAAAGGTTTCAAGGCTCTCCATAGAAGTCCACGTACTGTTCCTCATCCAATAATACACCGGCATTTTTGGCGAGTTTGCACCACAGCTGACGCTGCGAAAAGTGTTTGATTCCTCAGCCAAATTGATTAGGTAAGTGAGATGCGGGATTGATGCAAGGAAAACAAATATGGTGTCATTGCTGTAATACACGTTCGGCCGCTCGGCGTGACGTATTATTGTTAGATTTTTGGTTTTCCCAGGAAAAGAAGAGTGTCCGCCGACATTAAGATCTGTGCGAGAAGACCATGCATCTTGCACGCTGTCCTGGATATCCCATAAATGGTGACGGTCAACCGCAAGTTCTGGCGCAGCAAGGATCACTGGAAGCAACACGCTTATGTTGCGCGCGCGCTCCTCATCTTTGGCTGGGGGCAAATTTCTGATCTGCCAAAAAAAGGGAGAGTCTTGGTCCTCCGACCGGGCCTTTGCATAGACGAAATAGTCAAATGCGTCACTAATCCACATCCTCTGTACAGCGGAGGTATAGTCAAAGAAAAAATCGCTCTTTTTCTCAGCGTACGCTTGCTGCATAAGCAAAGCATTTGCGAACTTCTTTAAGCTGTGACGTCGGCGGAGCAAGATCGTGTGCAGGAAATTGGGGAGGATGATGCGTCTGACAAGTGGAGAGACGAGACATAAGGAGAGGGCGGTTGAGTAAGGATTTTTAATGTCATATTTCTCCTTTTGAGAAAACGTCGGCTGGGCTGCGTCTTTGCAGATGGTCAAGATAATCTCGATGGGAAGCTTAGGCACCATGATGGAAGGGTTAGATACGTACCTCGTTAGAAATGGCCCTGCCTTTAATACCCTCAGCATCAATTGTGGCGTCAGATCCACAGCAAGAGATGTACATTCAAGTTGTGTGTGGGACCGCACGTTGTGACAACAAGGATAAAAAGAAGTTGTGACTGAGGGTCCATAACACAGTTATTGTTTCTTCTAGGTCACACGATGTACTCTTGTCCTGCGGAAATTCCTATTTGTAATCCCCAAAGAGCAATGATGCGAATGTGGCACGAACCATAGAATATACCTTCCGACCCGAATCGATGACACACATATGGACTCATTCAAGGCACAACTCTTATAGTGCACGGCTGGCCACTGAGTTCAGTTGTTCCCGGACCAATTTCACTGCAAGGATGCTTTGTAAAAAGTGAGATAAAACCCATCTTCAAATCGATTTAGCATTGCCTTATTTCCCGAACTGACCCATAATATAGGACCCTGCGGCAGGCCCCCGGAAGCTCCTGCCAAGGTACACCCGCCCGACCAGCTAAAATCGGCCTCAAAAATGCGAAACTTTTGGCCTCAAAAATGCAATTCCGGGCAGAGGTCAAAAAATCACGTGGTGTGACATGGTGTGACCTCCCGCTAATTCGTGACAGATGGTGACACGCTGCTCACCGGTGACAACAGCGGCGACCATAGAGGCACATAGTATCTCAATCATATGTAATAAGTTTAACTACAGATGCATGTACGTGACCATGAATTGTGCCATAGGCAATCCCTGATTTTACTTGGCCAGATGCGATTGGTGCGATCCACGAATTAAATATACAGACTCGGAAATCTCTGTCTTAATGCATGTCTTCCATCATCCATGCATGTGCTGTATGCGTTGATACTTGTACCAGTGATCTTTCTCTGGCTTTCAGAAGGAAGAAGAGCCTGAATGTCGGCATGTGTAGATGACAAGAAGCTGTTTTGTGAGGTGTTTGAGTATTTGAGTCGGGACAGGTCGGAATAGGGTTCACCGCTGGACAAGTGTCCTATAAACCTGCCCTGAAGGACGTGAAAAATGCAATAGCCGGATAGGCCTTTCGTCCACAGTGTCTCAAAAATGCTATTTCCGGGCAGAGATTTTGCAATATTTGGCTCTCAAAAATGCTATTTTGCGGGGGTACATTAGCTGGAGCTTCCGGGGGCCTCCTGCGGCTGTCTGTGCGAGTTACATTTCTCACCGAGCAAATGCAAGCACTGACAGATGCACTCAAGGCATTGATGAAACTGTAAACTTTGATGGGTGAGCATCCCTGCGCAGGCGAGCCAGTGTATGAACTACGCCTCTATCTGTAAGCATGACACTTACGTGACGCAACTTACCTATGACGTCAATGCACACTTCTATCTGATTGGACACCACCTGGGATGCAGATCCCTATATATACAGACACCTATACGTATTAGAGACTCATCATACGATATCCCCCTTAATCTCATACGTTCATCCACGTTACTGCTGTCTGACCGTCTGTCAGTGTTGTCGTCGCACATCGACGACATTACACTTTTTTTTAACGTTCAGTGAACATACCTCTGAAGCCATATTTTCCCTTACCGAAACCAGGCTACCCTGCCCAAACCGAAACTTGCCGTTGGGAACTGACCATCTCAGTCGGCCCATCACTGTCTAGAAAGTAAACAAACTGCCTTACCAACGTTCATGTGCTTCTGTACCGCTGTCGGCAATGACACGCAGCAAAGCAAAACAATTAACTACGATTACGCATAGCTCACCGTCGACCGAGCACACCTCTCACACATCCTCGAGACCATCATCTTTGTCCTCTCTTGGCTCATCGCCCTCACCCCCACGAACTCGCACGCATACACGCAACATATCTGACTCTACAGATTCTACCGACAACGCACACACCGCCATGTCGACAAACTCAAAGGTGGCTCGTGTCGACCAACCCTCTGCAAGCAAACCGCCATTCCTCACGGCTGGTGAGCTGACTCCTGAAGCGCTTCGGGCCTGGGAGATGGGATGCACGCAGTTCTTCCTGCACAAGGATGTTAAGGACATGGAGATGGTAAAGAAAGTCGCATGGGGCATGCAGGAGCCGGTGATACAAGACTGGTACAGTAATAACCAAGCTCGGCTGGATGCTCTTACGTTCAAAGACTACATGACCGAGGTCCGCGACTACTGGCTCCCATCTGGGTGGGCAGACACGGTCTGTCGCAAAATGCTGGCGTCAACACAGGGCCAACGACCCTTCCATGAGTGGGCGGTGGACTTCCAAGGACGTAATACCTTGTTACGGGGTACTACCTCCCATCTTGTGGACGCTAACATCTTGTACCACCTGGAGGCACACATGAACCCGGATCTGGCAGTGGATTACCAGGCCGAACAAATCTCTGAAACTGATCTTCACAAGTGGATCGAGAAAGTACGTTTGCTAGATGAGAGGCGTTTGCGGTACCTTGTGAGGCAACGAGAGGTGGTCGAAACAGCCTTGCGTGCTGATCGTGCTCGCACTGGTGGAGACAAGAAACTCACTGCGGGTACACGTTTCAACTTGAAGCAAGGACAGAGCGCAACGTCCTCAACTGCCTCTTCCAAACCCTTCACACGCCTTCCTGCATTAACAGACAATGGGCGACAGCTTCTAAGGGATAACGATGGGTGCTTCAAATGCCAAGAACCATTCGCAGGTCATACGTCAAGCAATTGCCCCAAAGGCTTCCCTGACGGTAGCGCCTACAAAACGTTGACGGCGGCTACAATCAGTGCACGGAAGTCCAAGAAATCCAATGGAGTCATCGCTTCAATAGATGTTGATGGAGAGAACACGGTCGCGGTCGTGATGCCGTCCGCAGTATTGGGAGACAGTACAGACTCTGAGGAGTGCGTTGCTCCCTTGCAGACTCCTCACCTTCGTTGGGATTGTCTTGTGACTGGACCTGCTGTTTCTTCTCCTATGCGTATTTCTGCACTTATTGACCACGGTTCCTCCTTAGTTCTGATTGACGAGGCCCTCACACGCAAGCTCGGGTTACACGTGCGACAACTACCCAAGCCTGTCCCGATAACGCTTGCAGTTTCACAAAAAACAAAAACAAAGCTTGGTCCTGTCGCAATACATCAAACTTTCTTGTTCTTCGCCTGATCAGGCTTATCATTCTCGTTCCGTTCGCGCAATTGTGGCTCTGAACCTCTGTACTCCCCTGTTACTGGGAGGACCATTCTTGCAGCATAATCGAATTGTTATAGATCATGAACTGCGGACTTGTGTTGTGAAAGATGCTAACTATGACTTACTTAATCCACTGACAACAGCGCAGGTGAAGAAGACCACGTCATCGTGGGGACCAGACTTGTTTTGGATGAAAAAGAGTGTGGTAAATGAACTAAACAATGTACTTCCAGAACTTAAAATGATCATCGACGAGGAGTGCGAAAAGGTTCGCGATGTTGACGTCATTGGGGCCATACATGCGCGGATCGACAGCCTCCAGCGACAAACATTGCTTACAGCCAAAGACTTGGCTCTCAAGGGTGAGTTCCGCGATTGTTTCCCGGTGGACATCCCACACAATGACTCGCTACTGGATGATGTGTTCTTCCGTGTGCAGCTTAAGGATGCTAACCAGATTGTACAGAAATGCTCTTATGATTGCCCAAAGAAGTACCGAGCTGCGTGGAAGGTGTTGCTCGATTCCCATGTCAAGAGCGGTCGATTGAGGCACTCGGAAAGTGAGTTCTCCTCGCCGGCATTCATCATCCCAAAGGCAGATCCAACGGTCTTGCCACGATGGGTGAATGATTTCCGGCTGCTCAACTTGAACACCGTGCCGGACAATCATCCCTTGCCACATATTGATGAGATACTCAAGGATTGCGTTAAAGGAAAGTTTTTCGGGAAGATTGACATGACTAACGCATTTTTCCAAACGAAGGTTCATCCTGACAACATGAAGTACTTAGCGGTGCACACACCTTGGGGTAAGTATGAGTGGACGGTGATGCCTATGGGTGTGTGCAATGCCCCTGCTGTGCACCAAAGACGAATGACTGCAGCTCTTCGACACCTCATCAGTCGCATTTGCCATGTTTATCTAGATGATATCATTATCTGGTCGCAGACGCTCGAGGAACACGAGGCAAACGTTCAACTGGTCCTTGCTGCCCTTCGTACAGCATCTCTGTACTGCTCAACGAAGAAGACCTCTTTGTTTAACACGGAGATTGATTTTCTAGGACACCATATTTCCGAACGCGGAATCGAAGCCGACAAATCAAAGATCACGCGAATCTTGGACTGGCCCTTGCCTCGGTGGGCAACGGACGTCCGAGCGTTCCTGGGTATTGTGAGGTACCTGGCAGACCATCTGCCGGCTGTTGCAAAACACACGCTGGCACTTACACCGTTGACGACAAAGGCCGCGGACAAGGTTTTCCCTGAATGGACGAGTGAACATCAAAACACCTTCGAAGGGATAAAGGAACTCGTGGTAAGCCCACAGTGTTTGACAACCATTGACCATGACACACCTGGTGTTACAGTAACATGGCACGAGTCCCCCGCCAGCAGAGAGCCCTCTGCCACCGCACGGCTATAGATGATAGCGGAGTCTCACCAGCTCTGTGACGACAGATGACGACGACGACGATAGATGACGATAGATGATAATAGACGATAAGCGGCAACTGCCGGCTTAGATAAGCGGTCTGGACCGCATATGACGACACATGACGACATAGGTCTAGAAGACCTATTTATGTTATCAAGATAGAAGGCAAGCCTCGTGTTGCCTCATGTACTGATAGAAGGATACCACGTGGATCCTATCTCTGATGGAAGCGTACCGCATGGACGCTATCTACGATAGAAGCCCGCCTCATGGACGCTATCTCTGACTCATGTAGATAAGCATATTAGAACCCAGCTTTAGGCTGAGCTTAGATACGATAGAGTAGCCTTATATAAGGTCGAAGATTACAAGTAGACGTTCCTTACTTTAATCTTACTAGGTTTTCCCTTGAACTCCTTGTCCCGCTAAAGCTACCTGCTCGACATCGACTCGTACCTTCAGTGACGCCTCTCACTGTCTGTAAACCGCTATCATCTCGGCGTAACTGTTACGTCGACTGTAGGTCGGCGTGTGCGAACTAGGATGAGTCTTCTCAGCGACGACTCGAGTGAGTCTACTGAAGCTGAGCGTGGTCTGGCCTTGACGGAACGTCAAGGATTCCTCCGGCGATCTCGGTAAGACGGCGCTCGTCGAGATGCAGGGCTAGCGGATACGTGCAGAGGCGTATGGGAGCGACTCTGAAGTGCGGTCTCACACAAGGAAGCGGTTAAGCTAAGATGAGCAAGTTCTTGGTAGAACCTAGTAGATTAAAGTGAAGTATAATCTACAACAATGTATGTACTTATACATAGTGTATCTAAGTGTTCAAGCTCAGTCTGTAATCTATAGTATATCTGTGATCTAAGATAACCAGACATGAGGTTAGATAAAGTACATGAGGCTTAACCTCTGATCATACATGCGGCGCCAAGGGCGGCTGCGCATAGGTACAGGAAGCGCCAAGCGCTCCGGATCTTCATGAAGCGACATGCTGTATACATGCGCTGATCTAGGGTGTCCATGAGGCGTACAGCCTCCATGGAACAGGTACAAGGCCGTCTAGGCCGGGGGCGGGGTCATAGCATCAGGCGGGGTCATAGCGCCATGAGGCGGAGTCATAGCGGTCCAGACCGCTGTCTTTCTAGGCGCAGGCGGCGCACCGCCGCGCGGGGAGTCTAGCAGAGCGGGGGCAGGCGTAGGGAGAGCTGGGGCTCTAGTAGGTGTTACAGATCCCTGTAACAGTAACCCCTCGTTAACCACCACGAGCTACGTTCGAGTACGCAACCTTTGCTTGTCTGTAAAGGCCGACGACTCTCAGCACTCGGTACCACTGTCGTGGTTGTCGCTGTTAGATTATCCTAGTCGCACATGACCGTTTGTCATAACACCTGGCGACAACAAAGTCTTCCTAGTATGTGACGCCTCAGACTACGCGACGGGCGCTGTACTTTCATGGGGAACGACATGGGAGTCATCATGTCCGGTCACATTTGACTCAACTCAACTAAACTCTGCACAATGAAACTACCCGGTGCATGAGAAGGAACTGCTCGCTATCATTCGGGCATTGAAGAAGTGGCAGTTGGATCTCTTGGGTATGCATATTAATGTATACACTGACCATTGCACGCTGCAAAACTTCGAGCGCCAACGGGATCTGTCAAGGCCGTATGAGATTAAGGGGGATATCGTATGATGAGTCTCTAATACGTATAGGTGTCTGTATATATAGGGATCTGCATCCCAGGTGGTGTCCAATCAGATAGAAGTGTGCATTGACGTCATAGGTAAGTTGCGTCATGTAAGCGTCATGCTTACACCCTTTCCCTCCATCATTGAGACCTTTCCTTCTCCCAAGTGTCAAGTGCCTCGCAATCCTCCAAGTCTCGTCGCGGCAACCATTCGTCGTCCTCTTCGCCAAAACCAACCCAACGAACGAGATACTTCCTTCCTCTTCCGACCTTCCTCTCGTCCAAGATCTTGTCGATGAAGTTTTCGAGTTGTCCGTCTTCAGTCACCACTGGTCCAGGCTTAGGTAGCTCTCGCGAGGGGAAGAGATTAGGGTCATTCGGCTTGAAGGCGCATAACTGGCTAATGTGGAATGTTGGGAAGATATTGGGTGAGTTTGGCAGGTCGAGTGTATACATAGAACTTTCTGGATGAGCTTCAAGGATCGTGTAGGGTCCGTCATATCTCGGCATGAACTTTGCTACGTGCTTGTCTCCCTTCTGGATGTACTCCCGACGACGGTGTTTCGTGGCGAGCATGACGCGATCTCCTTCTTGCAAGATGAGGTGCGAAGCTCGCTTCTTGTTGACCGCATTCGCTTGAGCAGCCTTGCTAGCGATCATGGTGTCGTGAGCCTCCATGAGGTCGAAGTTGAGTTTAGACAGCAGCGAGCGCGCGCGCTTTTCTTCAGGGTCTTGTAATGTAGCCGCTCCAGGCACGAGGGGGGGAAGCATCCTTGGCAAGCGCCCCAGTTGTAACTGGAAAGGCGCGAAGCCAGTACTTGCGTTAATAGTGCTCATGATGTGAAAACGTACCTGAGGGAGCGCCTGTACCCAGTTTTTCTGGTTACGATCAACGTAGTATCGTAGACATTGTGTCACCGTTTTGTTGGAGCGCTCGCTCGAGCCATCCGTTTCTGGATGATAAGCGGAAGACATTTTGACCTTTACGCCCATCAGTTTATGCAGTGTACGCCAGAACTTTGACATGAAAAGCTTATCGTGATCCGAAATTATCTCTTTTGGCAGTCCGTTTTCACAGAACCAATGGTCGAAAAATAACGTCGCGAAGCTTTCGGCTGAGATGTTGTCCCTGCAAGGTACAAGTCGGATGTCCGAATTCAACCTGTCTGTCATCGTTATCAGCATGTTATAGCCGCAATCTTCAGGCAGAGGCCCGACGAAGTCAATCACTACCTATACCTGAGGAGCGTGGTGACTCGGTAGTGATTGACTTCGTCGGGCCTCTGCCTGAAGATTGCGGCTATAACATGCTGATAACGATGACAGACAGGTTGAATTCGGACATCCGACTTGTACCTTGCAGGGACAACATCTCAGCCGAAAGCTTCGCGACGTTATTTTTCGACCATTGGTTCTGTGAAAACGGACTGCCAAAAGAGATAATTTCGGATCACGATAAGCTTTTCATGTCAAAGTTCTGGCGTACACTGCATAAACTGATGGGCGTAAAGGTCAAAATGTCTTCCGCTTATCATCCAGAAACGGATGGCTCGAGCGAGCGCTCCAACAAAACGGTGACACAATGTCTACGATACTACGTTGATCGTAACCAGAAAAACTGGGTACAGGCGCTCCCTCAGGTACGTTTTCACATCATGAGCACTATTAACGCAAGTACTGGCTTCGCGCCTTTCCAGTTACAACTGGGGCGCTTGCCAAGGATGCTTCCCCCCCTCGTGCCTGGAGCGGCTACATTACAAGACCCTGAAGAAAAGCGCGCGCGCTCGCTGCTGTCTAAACTCAACTTCGACCTCATGGAGGCTCACGACACCATGATCGCTAGCAAGGCTGCTCAAGCGAATGCGGTCAACAAGAAGCGAGCTTCGCACCTCATCTTGCAAGAAGGAGATCGCGTCATGCTCGCCACGAAACACCGTCGTCGGGAGTACATCCAGAAGGGAGACAAGCACGTAGCAAAGTTCATGCCGAGATATGACGGACCCTACACGATCCTTGAAGCTCATCCAGAAAGTTCTATGTATACACTCGACCTGCCAAACTCACCCAATATCTTCCCAACATTCCACATTAGCCAGTTATGCGCCTTCAAGCCGAATGACCCTAATCTCTTCCCCTCGCGAGAGCTACCTAAGCCTGGACCAGTGGTGACTGAAGACGGACAACTCGAAAACTTCATCGACAAGATCTTGGACGAGAGGAAGGTCGGAAGAGGAAGGAAGTATCTCGTTCGTTGGGTTGGTTTTGGCGAAGAGGACGACGAATGGTTGCCGCGACGAGACTTGGAGGATTGCGAGGCACTTGACACTTGGGAGAAGGAAAGGTCTCAATGATGGAGGGAAAGGGTGTAAGCATGACGCTTACATGACGCAACTTACCTATGACGTCAATGCACACTTCTATCTGATTGGACACCACCTGGGATGCAGATCCCTATATATACAGACACCTATACGTATTAGAGACTCATCATACGATATCCCCCTTAATCTCATACGTTCATCCACGTTACTGCTGTCTGACCGTCTGTCAGTGTTGTCGTCGCACATCGACGACATCACACTATCTTGAGGTTGTGCACCCATCATACGATGCTACAGGATTTCGATTGTGATCTGAGTACTTGAAATGATCGTCACTAAAGTAGGGAACAAGTTAACGTGAGAGAGAGGTAAATGCAAAAACAAAATGACTACACCGCGAGAGTATCATGGTAATTGATACAACGACTTGTTGCTGGACAGTGCTAGCGTACCATAAAGTTCATGCGTTGTAAAAACGAAGTCAATCTTGAAGTTTGATTGTGTGCAATCGCGATCTCGTACTACTCGTAGATTCAGGTCACTTGGATTAGTGTACACACGATAATGATTCCGAGCCAAAACGGCTGTACTAGTAGCATACGCAAACAGCAACTGGACGCTGCATGTAGCTAGACATCGCTTTACAATTGAAGCTTTGAAAATAAATGTTGAGTATATTCAAAATAATGGATCAATGATGACGCGTTCGGAGTTCACAGGTGCAGTTCTCAGTCTGGTCAGACTCCAACTAGTAACTCCGACCCCCTCCTTCGGGGGAAGACCCCACCAGGGCTCGGCACTTCCCGTATCAATATGAACCAGCTGCCGAGAGGTCAACCGACGCGTTGACACGGATTTCGCACCGCATCTGTATCGCGTCTGATTAGTAGGCACTCGACCGCATCTTATAATCTCTGTGAGATTTCCAGTTGGTCTTAAGAATCTCGTGCGTGAATAATAGATGATAGGATCATGTTAACGGCAGGGATGGTAGATGCACCGCTGATTGTGAAGTTGCATACTGGCCAGGAACGTTCATGAAGACCTCGCGCAAATATAGCATGCTGGTATCGTTTCGCAGCTAACAAAATCAAATTGAAGTAGCACAATCTAGAAGATGCTATCAGTAACTTTAGTATGAAGTACGAAATTGAACACACTGTCTTGTCAACCATTTATAACCATCTGCCAGAATTGTGCTGTACGCCACAGCACCGCTATGTGCTTGAAGCGAACACAAGAACCAACATCATGTTACACTGGCTCTGGGGTAACGTTCTCGTAAACTACCCCATCGGAAGGCCACCGTGATCTAGAGTTGGCATGAGCTGATCAGATGGGACACAGGTCATTGCCTTCCCAGTAGATATGACAGGCACTGAGAGTCTTAAACAGTATTGAAAAGGTCCATAAGATGTTCGTCTTCCCAGCGCCGCAGGCCTAGCAAATTTCAGAACACTAAGAGGAGACTGTTGACTTCAGCTGCAGGGCACCAATGATACGGCCTACCCCAGCGGCTTGGACGGAGCTCGTTTGCTGTTCACAACCAGTGGCAGTGACTACTGGGAGTCGAAGTATCATGATATGGTGGTGAACTTGCCGAGGACAAAAACTCGGGGTAAGTAGTAATCATGGGACCAAGACTGTGCTCTGTGTGCTCTTTCTCTCATAATCAACATCAAATCAACATCAACAAAAGTGTCACTCGCGTGTACGGCTGGTTACTACCTTATTTACTGCCTCAACGCACTCGAGAAATCTCGAAAAACCCAAAATACTTGCGTAGAACGCAGGATGACACCACAGACGTCCCGTCGTCGCGGAGTTCTTGATCCGAGACAACAAGAGAAGCTGGAGGAAGCGACGATGAAGATAACGATATTAATGAACTAGATGCCATGAAGTCAAAAAAAAAAGTGGATGGAGACGAAAAAGGAGAAGAATGAGTACGGATGACTATAGACATCCGGAGCCGGGATTAAAACCGGCCCTGTGTGATCGGTACGACAGACATTTAAATTTGCTAAACCAGTAGGTCCTGGGATAAATGCTCATGCATCATGAATGTATTGCCTGTGACCTGGCTCATAGCAGTCTTCACGTAAGGTATGTTGGCCCCGATTCAGGTATTTGAGCTTGCGGTGTCTACGAAGAGTGTCTGTATGAAATAAACGTGTCAGATAAAGAAATGGTAGGAGCACAAGCAGCTTGCAGTACGTTGGTGGACTCCCCACGCCGATGTCAGCGGTGCATGTTGTCATATCATTAGTTACACTGATGGAAGAGCTGCCGCCAGCTTGTTGGGCCTGGACTCGAGCTCTATCTGCAGCTGCAATGTTCTTGGATCCCGTACGAGTTTATTCTAACAGCGAGCTTAAGAGTAGCCGTGCTTGACACTGTGCGAGGATGAAGGGAAGCGCTCGCTTACAATGAGAGGAAGGCAAGTACTGGCAGGGCAAGCAGAGATGAAAGCGATCTGGGGGGGATCATCTTTGAAATGGGACTGGGCCCGCATGAATAGGCAGATTCACATAGATGCCACCCGATTTGCATGCTCCGCATCTGTAGCGCGAGTCTGAGTACCTGATGTGGCCGCTACTGGACTTGCCAGGCTGCAGTCAGCCTTTGATTGGCAAGCCATCCACGGTCAGGATGCTCGAAGGTCTGAGTAGTTTAAACCAGGGGAGACAAGATGACATGCAATGCGAGAGACACAAGAGCAATGTGAGTAGTGATGAACGAACGAGAAAGCCCGAACAAGCCCGAACAAAGCGGGTAGAGTCGGCAGTGGTTTTAGGAGACGGGAATACGTTTGAGTTCGACAAGAGCCCTCCTCCACTAAAGTGGGAGGAGACCAACACCAAACACATGCATGGAACTTCGTGAAGTAAGAATAAACCGCACAAAGAAGTTAACGACTCGCTAGGAAGGTGCCAAAACTCCTTGCACACTCCTCGCAACTCACATCGACCAGTGACACGACGTTGTTTCATTCGAACTACTCGCCTTCAGCCTCGGAGACCTGAGGATATGACGAAATCGATCTCTCCAAGTTGTCTGCTGGCGCGATGAGCTCAGACTAGGAAACGAACCTTCATAGATCTGCAATACAGACTGCACATGGTGCGTACTATCTTTATTTTATTTGTGTACCATATGTCATTGGTCAACATGCCTCTTCGACACTCTACTGTTGGCTAGGGACTCACTGGAGTGGGATTCCAGCGTACTACTCGTCCTCGAAGAGACTGTATAGTGCATAGTGCACCTGCACTAACGAGGCTCCTACCATTTCTGGCGTTGTCACATCTCATGCACCGCAGCACATACCAGTGCATATTGCGTTATCGTGCAGAGCTTGTTATTAAGCTGATGTAGATGATGATCGTTAGTAATTCGCCATTTAAACTGCCCGTCTGCATGAATATATTCTTGCTCATCAAGTTTCAGTTTATTATATAGGTAGCAAGGTTGGAACGCGTCCAACCCTTTTTACCTTCTACATCACTTTCCCATGTCTCCACAACAGAAAGCTCTTGTTCTTCCTCGTAAGCAGGGCAACTTTGAGCTCAGCTCCCGCAGTATCCCCAGTCCTGGCTACGGGCAGCTCCTGGTGAAGATACAATCTGCAGCTCTGAATCCATTTGACTACAAGATCACGGACACAGATTATGCTCATTACCCTGTCGTTCTGGGAATGGATATTGCTGGCATTATCGAGGAACTAGGCGAGGGTGTCCACAATTTCAGCAAAGGCGATAGAGTGTTAGACAATTCTTTTCCTCGGGTTTGTTGTCTGCATAGGCTCAACCTTGATTTACAGATTGGCGCACTGCAAGTTCACTAATGACTTTACTGCATTTCAGCAGTATGCTTTGACCGTAGCGAGCTTTACAGCAAAGGTTAGTTGTGAGAAAGGTTCGTTGACCACACCGTCAGTTACATCTCATTCCAGATTCCTGCAAGCGAGTCCTTCGATAGCGCAGCTACTGTTCCTCTGGGATTAGATACTGCTGTTGTGGGCTTGTATGGAGATCAATTCGGAGCCAAGATAACACCTCCCTGGGAGGAAGGCTCCGGCGGTCACGAATCAAAGAAACCAATTGTTATCCTTGGCGGTTCTTCCTCTGTGGGTGCATACAGTAAGCGAAGTGAGACTTGCTTCTTCAATTGCATCCTGACAATATTGCAGCTATCCAACTCGCTCGTCTGTCGGGATTTTATCCCATCATCACTACAGCCTCTCCGAGCAATGAAGAGCTTGTCAAGGGCTACGGCGCAACTCATTTCTTTGATCGCAGCCTTTCCGGAAAACAACTTCTGGCGGCCATCAGCGAAGTTACTGACGACCCTATCAACCTTGTTTATGATGCCATCTCGTTGCCAGAAACGCAGTCTGTTGCATGGGAATTGCTTGCGGACAATGGCACTCTCGTATTAACCCTTCCTGCATCAGTCAAGGAAGATGAAGGCAAGGGGCGCAGGGTCGTTTCGACCTTATCATACCCACATACCCCCGAAAATGAGGAGCTGTGCAGCAGCTCCTGGGCCAGGGTCGAAAAGTGGCTTTCAGATGGTACTATAAAGGTTTATTCTGCGACTACTGTTTTGGATTTATGACTTACGAACGATGTAGCCGAACAAGTATGAAGTCCTCCCGAACGGACTTGAAGGTATTATTGGAGGACTGGAAAGGATGAAATTGGGACAGGTGTCTGGAACGAAGTTAGTTGCTCACCCTCAAGAAACACAGTAAATGCAGGGCTATCAACTTGCTCGACATCATGTGTACGAAATCTGCGTCGGTCTTTGTCCGACAGTATCTACTAATCATACACCGGAACGCATACATCTGATTTATGTAAGGATGATCCCGCGTAAGCAATTCGCGTCTATCCCATGAGCGTGCTCCGAACCTGAGCTCCACATGCATTCCCAATCGCTCAAGCGCTCACTAGCACTATCCGTGTGCGTTTGGCGGTCTTGCATTTGTGTGCGTTCTTCGCTTATCTCCCTCCATTTGCAATTATGTCTGTCCTAAGCTCCATAGCATCGCATTCACTCATTTCTATCCTGACTAGGCAGATTTCCATCACATTTTCTTTCAATCCAATGTGTTCAAAAAATTGCGAACAGTTTCTCCTATGACCTGCTTATGCGACGACATTCAATGCCTGTCAAGGGCTGACACAAACGCTTGAGAAAGCCGTGCTTGACCTGTGCACAGATTCATTTGCACATGGACAGCTATACACCGCACTTTCAGGAGTATGACGTCAGTGAGATTAAGAGGAAAAGGTAACAGCAGGCGCAACACCCAAAGGTGGACGGAACGCTTGTATTGGTGTATTAGCACACTTGCACAGAAATCCCTTTGAAAAGACAAGCCGCGCAGCGGCAACCACTTGTATTCTATAGAGTTTGCCCGACTCTGATAATCAGATATGAACGACGCGTATATGTGATTCATATATTGAGTGCGGTGCAAACTGTAAATCAGAAAGGCAAAAGCTATCTTTAGTCTGGTCTGCATCGCACAGATCGCAAAGAATACGCTGCAAGACATGTCAAGGGTAGTGGGGCGCAATTTGGTGTATGGTGTAATCGGGACCGGAGTCAGGATAGTGAAGTTGATCAGAATTGAAGCTTGAAGCTCGGGCGCTTCAGTTGCACAGCCTGCTAGAAGCTGTGAAGCGAACACGAGGACGTGCCAACTCAAACTTCCGGTGCACTTTTGACTTAACGCTCATTGTGTCTTGGTGTCAACACATCGTGACCTGCTGAGGAACATATAGTTGTAAGTAATGATTTTAGACTTTGTCAAATGAAAGCTGAAACGGAGTTCCGCCTAGATGTCTTCACCCATCGTTGTAAGGGAGGAGGCCTCGAGGATAATGCCTCGCCAGAAATTTGAGGGACACATCCGATCTGTCTACAGTGCCATACATCTACGAGGCGAACAACGGATAATGACTTGTTCACGGGACAGCTCGCTGCGGGTATGGAACTTGAAGAGTGGGAAACAGATAGGAAATGACTGGCGGGACGGTGACAGTCCAGTGTGGATCGTAGCGTTGTCTCCGGACGGCAAGAAAGTAGTCAGCGGGAGTATGGATGGTGAAGTGAGGTTGTGGGACATGGACACAAGCAAAGTCGTCGTGAAATGGATTGGGCATACAAAGGGAGTGATTTCTGTCTGCTGGAGTGGAGATGGTCGGCGAGTCTTGAGCGGATCTAAAGATGGGACTGCAAGACAATGGGATGTAGAGAGTGGAAAGGCAAACCACGCACCAATTAAGACAGGGCACAAATTCGTGTGGGCAGTCGTCTACTCGCCAGACATGGCCATGTTTGCAACTGGTGGATCCAAACAGTATTCCATCAAAATCTGGGATGCCAAGACAGGCGAGCTTGTCACTACTCTTGAAACAGCTTCTTGGGTGTTGTGCCTGGCTTGGACCCCGGATGGAAAAACGCTTATATCTGGGTCATATGATCAGTCAATTACGACATGGGACACTTCAACCTGGACACAAATCGCCGTGCTGAAAGGACACACTTGGATTGTGCGATCCATTGCAATATCTCTAAATGGCCGCATCCTCGCGAGCGCATCCTGGGACAACACAGTGCGATTATGGAACCTTGACAATAACCAGCTCATCGGTTCGCCCCTCCATCCATCTTGAGACTTGTGTGACTTCTGTGTCATTTTCGGCAGATGGAAAGCTACTAGCCACTGGCTGCTTCGACAAAAATGCGTATACATGGGATGTTTCTGGGATACTCAAAGAAGCTGGCCTTAGCGAACTTTTGTTGGACAAGCCGGTCCTCGCTGTACGTGACACCGTGACTTTGTTAAATCAGATCTCATTCAAATATATGTAGTCACGACGTTCAGTCCGTCGGCCAATCATCGTCCCTCGGGTGCCCCATGATTTTTTTGATGACTTACCAGGTCGGGCTCACGTACGTCATTAATATCTAATTCAGTACTGTTTTGAACGTCTCCAGGTTTCTGCACGACACCCTCAATCATGGGCATCGCATTTAAGCACCCTTCGTAATTGGTTTTCCTCTTTATTCCACCCCGACGCCCACGATACGTCTTTGCCACCCCACCCTTTCTACTGGGTTCGAAATCGACTCTTGGACAAACCAAGCGATGAAGATCTCGAGCTCCGCGAGCGTCCCTCAGCAGTCGTCGATGTTCCGTATGCTAATGGCAAACGTGTATGTCGTCCTTTTCCTTCTCGAATATTCAAACCCCATCTCATACAGCACAGAGGAATGCATCAGCAAGAGAAAAACGGATGAAAATAATTCCATTGAAACCTGGGAACTCTGCCGCAAGCACCTCACGTCCTCCCAATAGCAATACCACACAACACTTTAATGGCGCGTCTCAAGCCCAGTCTTCGCAAGCGCAGACTACTGTCTCCACTTCCACCCCATCTTCCACCGTCACTGACACAATTCCGAACACCAATCCTCATGTCATTATCAAACACGCTGGGCGCTGGACTCGTTTTTGGCTCTCTATATGCTGTTCCTCTTATGAATATACTGACGGTCATCATTAATCTACCCTTTTTATTTTTTCTTCTCTTAAAGATCTCCTTTGTCATTCTCATAGTTCTGTTGCGCTTATACGTGTACCCATGATCATCAGTAATATATCCCGTCCGTTTCCTTGTGCTTTACGAAGATCTTTCCCATCTCATCCTTCCAGTACATAAAATTTTTGTCGTTACCAACAAGCCTTCACTGATCAGGAAAGCGACTCTTCCCAATAAACATGTGTACCACTGAAATGAACAACACTTGCATCTGCGTGGTGCAGAAATGATACATATGTAGATTGGCTCTAGTCACATCAAGTAGGTAGGGAATCAGTCTACTGAGTCGACGGAGATCCTCGTCTACTAGTACAAGCCGCCAGGGTTTCTCGATACGTCTCGAAAGCGCCACTTTCTCTCCAACCTCAGTACATCCGGGTGAAGTCAGTTGAATCTTCGCGAGATCCCCTCTCACGCTCGATACCCGCCCACCAGTCGATGTCGAACCAATGTTAATCAGCAGGAACCCGTTCTTGACGAGTTTCGAGACCTCTGTTTGTTTCTTCTCCTCTGTACGAACGCCCAGCAAATGGCGGAGAAGGAACGAACATATTTCAAGCTTTAGATTCTCTTTAGAACGCGATGGTATATCCAAAACGAGGATGCTCGCCAGTCTAGACCTTCAGGAGCTTCCCAACCGCACCCAGCACTTGACTAACGAGACGATTCGCTCTGCTCAGCGTAGGATCAATCTTGGTCCGAACATCAATCAGCCCATCCGGAACTGCAAACTGCAAGTGATTGTTCTTGGCGTGCAGAGAGACGATCCTGCTGAAAACAGGTTTGCATGGTTCCAGCCCTGAGCGTCTTTTGTTATAATCTTCAGATGAATCTTGACGTCCTCCCTTAGCCCGTAGGAAGTCTGAGGATAGAACACCACCTTTGAGCTCATCGACCTCAGCACCAGGCTTGTTGACGTCGAACGAACGGATAACGATGAGACGGGTATCGGAAGCAAAGGTGCAGACTGGGATAGGTATACGCTTTACAATGTATTTGTCGACAGCGTCGATATTGTATTTCGGTTGCGTTCCGATGAATGACGACTCGACCGGTAACGATCAGAATATCGTGACTAGGACAGTCCATGAAGGAAATATGGCAAATGACTTGGCCGCATCGTATGCAGGGAGGATTATCTTCCTTGTCTGGGCAGTACTGCCTGGACGGGGACACACCTATGATAGATAAGCATGAGTATTAGTAAGCTCCGGGGCTATGTCCGACATAGGGTTTACGACCACAAATGCGAATTGATTTTTTATATAAAACATGATGGGCTGCCTTAAGGTTAACATCGGGTGCAACTTGAATGACACGATATAATTGAAACAATAGGTGTCCCAATTACAAATGTGTACTGGGCGATGCCGCGAAGAGAGCTCTTGTTGTAGGTTCCAAGGTATGAAGGCAAGCGTGAAGCGGCGTGGATGTTGGCAGTGAGCATGAGTTTTATGTAAAGCTTCCAGGCACCAAATTAAACCGACATCAAATACATTTGACAAAAAGAAGTTAGCGACTTACTACTAGGAAGCCACCAAAATTCCTCGCGACTCATCAGTGAGATCTTGGTATTTTTGTTGTCTCATTCGAACTACCCGCCTTCAGACACCACATAGACCTGAGGCTATGACAAAATTTGGACGAAATCGATCTCTCCGAGTTGTTTGCTGGCGGTGAGCTCACTGGGCTAGCAGACGAACTTCATAGATTTGCAATTCGGACTGTACAATATCATAATGGACTTTGAAATTGGGCCGCTTGTGCGTACTATCTATTTTATTTGTGTACCATATGTCAACCGTGTGCTACATGCCTCTTCGACTCCCGGGTCACTGTTGCCCAGTGACTGACTGGAGTGGGATTCCAGCGTACCACTCGTCCTCGAAGAGACCGTATGGTGCATTTATGTCAGCGAGGCTCCTACCATTTCTGGCGTCACATCTCATGCACATTACCTGTGCGTATGGCGTTATCGTACAGGGCACTGTGCAGTCTCTGGAGCTTGTTATTAAGCTGATGCGCGACAGGACAGCCATCGTTACTAACATTCGCCATTTCAAATGTCCGTCTGCATGAATAATCGTTTTATTGCTCATCAAGTTTCGATTTATTATATAGATAGCAAGGTTGGCAAGGCCTCCAAGCATTCTACTTCTAACCTCCACATCTATTTCCCACTGGTATGTCTCTGCAACAGAAAGCTCTTGTTCTTCCCCAAAAGCAGGGCAACTTTGAGCTTAGCTCCCGCAGCATCCCCAGTCCTGGGGTCGGGCAGCTCCTGATCAAGATTCGATCTGCAGCTCTGAACCCAGTTGACTACAAGATCAAGCATACAGAGGTGGTCGCGATCCAATACCCTGCCGTCCTGGGAACGGATATTGCCGGGATTGTCGAGGAACTAGGGGAAGGTATCGAGAATTTCCGCAAAGGCGATAGAGTGTCAGACAATTCTTTGCCCGTGTCTGCATAGGCTCAATCGTGGTTTATAGAGTGGCGCATGGCAAATTCACTAATGACTTTACTGCATTTCAGCAGTATACTTTGACCGCTGCGAGCTTTACAGCAAAGGTAAGTTATGAGAACGTCTGTTGATCACATCGTCAGCTACATCTCATTCCAGATTCCTGCAAGCGAGTCCTTCGATAGCGCAGCCACTGTTCCTGTGGGTTTAGATACTGCACTGGTGGGCTTGTATGGAAAACATTATGGAGCCGGTATAACCCCTCCTTGGACGGAAAGCGCCAGTGGTCATGAATCAAAAAAACCAATTGTCATCCTCGGTGGTTCTTCCTCTGTGGGTTCATACAGTAAGCGAATTGAGATTTGATTCTTCTTCAATTGCATCCTGACAGTATTGCAGCTATTCAACTCGCTCGTCTGTCCGGATTCTATCCTATCATCACTACAGCCTCTCCGAGCAATGAAGAGCTTGTCAAGGGCTACGGCGCAACTCATTTCTTTGATCGCAGCCTTTCTGGAAAACAACTACTGGCGGCCATCAGCGAAGTTACTGACGAACCTATCAAACTTGTTTATGACGCCATCTCGTTGCCAGAAACACAGTCTGTTGGATGGGAATTGCTTGCAGACAATGGCACGCTCGTATTAACCCTTTATGCGAAAGTCAAAGAAAATGAAGGCAAGGGGCGCAAGATTGTCCAGGCGTTCGGAAACCCACATGCCCCCGAAAATGAGGAGCTGTGCCGCAACTCTTGGGCTAGGCTCGAGAAGTGGCTTTCAGACGGTACTATACAGGTTTGTTCTGCGACCACTGTTTTGGATTTTTGTTTCACATTTATGTAGCCGAACAAATATGAAGTCCTCCCAAACGGGCTTGAAGGTATTATTGGAGGACTGGAAAGGTTAAGATTGGGACAGGTGTCTGGAAGGAAGTTGGTTGCTCACCCTCAGGAGACACAGTAAATGCAGGGTTGTCAACTTGTTCCGATTTGCCGGGACTTATTTTAAACTACGAGCAGTGTTCATTCCGCACATTCAGGTCACCATAAATTCGCGTTACACTGCATTGCCAAATGCCTATCTTGTTCTCCAGATCTGCGTCCGCAGTGTGTCTGTCTATCTGAAGCGAAAGATGCTATTCGAAAAGCGGTTTGGATTGAACTACTCCCTTTATAGTAAGAAGAAGCAGAACGCGCTCCCAGTGGTGGCCCCTGCAAGAGATCTTGGCTCGGTCGGGCGATATCTTGTCTTCGACTGGATCAGACAATCTTCTGAGTTCAATAACTGTCTTCCATCCCATATTACCTTCTCATACCGCTCCTCCGCGCACTCTTTTATCTTTGTCTGAAGATCATATCCGCACCCAGGTCTCTTCGCTGCGACAAACCGTGCCTGCAGATCTAGCATTGAAATTTTTGACCAGGTTGAACAGCTGAGAACTCCCCGCTTTGGGACACCAGGACACTAGAAATACTGTAGCCTACTATGTAGTGTGGCTGAGCGTTTGGGCAATAATTTAAGTATCTGCTGACATAATCTCACACCGTTCGATGCTAGTACCGCTCTTGCACTTCACAGATCCCTTGTATACCTTCGCACACTTACCTTGGTTCTATAGGCATCTGGTTTGGACGCTTTGTGATGAGCGGAATCTCTGAGGCTGACACTAGCACTCGCCAAGGGACAGCGGTGCCTCCTTATATTCCAACATGAACGACGGATAACTGGCGAAACTCAATTCTCCAACATCACCTTTTGTATCTGTACCATTTTGTTGGACAGCAATTATGTCAGAGCCCTTTGCATCGCCACGAAAGTTCAGAACGACAGCGGCCGACAGCCGTGACCCGTCGGACTCCTGGCATATAAAGAGACACTTGAGGAGTACAAGGTGGGCATTCGTTGATTTGGGTCCTTTCTCTCTCTGATACTACACTTCGTTGAAGGTCTATACTCATGATTGAATTACAGCACAAGGATGCTGGCAATGCATACAGTCGCGACCAAACTGGGACGCAGTGGCAGCCACACCCATGGATCGCACAGACAGTTGGACGTCCATCGCACATCTCGCAGCCTGATCCTGTTGTTCACACTATTTGTTAATTACTTCCATCTCCATCTCGTTTTGAAGCACTTGATACTGATATATGATATCATCCATGATATCCCGTTAACTTACAGTTTGATTTTTCGTATAGTATATCATAGTCCGCATTATTTTGCCTACGGGAAGTCATCCAGTAACACCATATGTACACCTACGCCACCGAGTCTCCTACCATTTCAGGCATCGCACCTCATGCACATTGCATATGGCGTTATTGTGCAGGGGCAGAGCTTGTTATTCAGCTGATGCTACAAGGAGTACTAGATGAGGCTTCTTACTAACACCGCTGCCATCTTCCCGTCAGCATGAACTTTAATCCATGGTGTTTTCCCCACCCACTCTAGTATACCCTCCACATCTCTTTGGCATGTCTCCGCAACAGAAAGCTCTTATTCTTCCCGAAAAGCGGGGTGACTTTGAGGTTGGCTCTCGCAGGATCCCCAGTCCCGGGGCTGGGCAGCTTCTGGTTAAGGTTCAATCTGCAGCCCTGAACCCGATTGACTACAAGATCAAGGACACAGGGGCGGTCGTGACCCATTACCCTGCTGTTCTGGGCATGGATATTGCTGGTGTCGTAGAGGCACTAGGGGAAGGTGTTCAGAATTTCCGTAAGGGCGATAGAGTGTTAGACAGTTCTTCACTAGGTTTGCACCTGTCTGTATAGGCTCAACGCTGGTTTACAGATTGGCGCATGGCAAGCGTAATAACGACTTTACTGCATTTCAGCAGTACACCTTGACCGTTGCGAGCTTTACAGCAAAGGTTAGTTATGAGAAGGCTTATTGACCATATCGCCAACTACATCCCATCCCAGATTCCTTCAAACGAATCCTTCGATAGCGCAGCTACTATTCCTACAGGATTGGACACTGCGCTAGTGGGCTTGTATGGGAATCATTATGGAGCCGGGATAACCCCTCCTTGGACGAAAAGCGCCGCCATTCACGAATCGAAGAAACCGATTGCCATCCTTGGCGGTTCTTCCTCTGTGGGTTCATACGGTAAGCGTAGTAAGATTCGCCTATTCGGCCGCATCATGACAGTATTACAGCTATCCAACTCGCTCGTCTATCGCAATTTTATCCTATCATCACTACAGCCTCTCCGAGAAATGAAGAGCTTGTCAGGGACTACGGCGCAACTCATTTTTTTGATCGCAACCTTTCCGGAAAACAACTGCTAGCGGCCATCAGAAAAGTTACTAGAGGTCCTATCAGAGTTGTTTATGACGCCATCTCGTTGCCAGAAACACAGTCTGTTGGATGGGAATTGCTTGCAGACAATGGCACCCTCGTATTAACCCTTCCTGCATCAGTCGAGGAACATGAAGGCAAGGGGCGTAAGACCATCCAGACTTTTGGAAATCCACACACTCCCGAAAATGAGGAGCTGGGGCGCAACTCCTGGGCTAGGGTCGAAAAGTGGCTTTCAGACGGTACTATACAGGTTTGTTCTGCGACCACCGTTTTGGATTTATGTCTCATACGTGATGTAGCCGAACTATTATGAAGTCCTCCCAAATGGGCTTGAAGGTATTATTGGAGGGCTGGAAAGGATGAGATTGGGACAGGTGTCTGGAACGAAGTTGGTTGCTCACCCTCAGGAAACACAGTAAATGCACAAGTTGCTGCTAGCTTGTTCGCCAAGGACTCTTTCTTGCATCAGGTGGCACACGATCAAATTGTACACTAGGCATCGCAATTACAAGTTTATATATGTACAGTGCTAGGTAGGAAATCGGATGTAAAAGAATGCTTGTAATACTACGTACACGCCCCAAAATATTTCTGCCCCCTACACCAATGACGGTCCAATATGCACTGAAGTCACATTCTCACGATCATACCACTGACGCGGCCTAAGGGAACGCGTCTTAACACTGAGTCTATCTCTTACCAGTATGTCTTCATCTGCATCCTCATCAAAACCCGCAGATAAACAACCAGAGAAGCCCAAGGAGGATGACAATCAACCTCACCTGGGGGTTCTTGAAGAAGACGACGAGTTCGAAGAGTTCCAAGTAGCAGGTGATCAATTCAGTCGTCATCTATGTCATTAACGTTTACTGATCATGTTATCTGTAGACTGGGATGATTCTAGCACAGATTTGGCGCACTTGAAGGGCGCTGCACCCGGGGTCGCAAAATCAGCGGGGGATAAACTTTGGGAGGATAATTGGGACGATGACGACATCGAGGATGAGTTCAGCGTGCAGCTACGGTATGCAATTCTTCTCTCGTCTTGATGATACATTTTCCCAACTCACCCATTGGCTAGGAATGAGCTCGCTAAGGCAGGGAAAGCGACTGGGGACCCGATGCAGCAATAATGACATCGTATCAGTGGTTTTGCCAAGTGACTCGTCCAGTCACTGTAGAATATACAATACTTCAGAAGTCTCATCATCTGCACTATTAAATTTTCAGTGTGTACTAGGTTTCTCACCGGAACTCTGGCTGCGATTAGCCACATATCCGTTGAACAATCACATCCACATTAATCAAACAAGACAAGGAGAGCAAGGGTCGTGGAAGGTAAGCCACCTTCAGAAGAATAGTTTTCCTCACGAAACAGGTACATGTCACCAGTGCAGATCTCCGAAGACTGCATCTTAAGTGATTAAGTAGGTATTTATACAACTGAGTAAGGAAATATCGTGGTACACAAACATAAACGTGAATTATAATCAAGATCATCTGCTTGCAGCGCAACTACACTTTGGTCTCTGAGTCTGTGTCCTTGATCGCTGAACTTATCTCTTGGCCTTCCGCATATGACACGGTTTCAATTTCAGGAAGACCCATAAGTGAGACATCGAAACCGTGCGCTTCGAGGTATTCCCGGAACTACGTTGCGAAGTATGTGAACGTTGCGGGCAACGGGAGGGACAACCACGCACCTTCGCATCCTCTTCCTTCATACCATCGTGGTCCAAGGGTGTCACAAAAAAGTAAACAACGATTGCGCTCAGGATGGCAAGACCGCTGCCAATCCAGAAGGGGCCAGTGTTCCCTTTAGCTGAACTTGAGCCACCAAAATCCGTGACTATGATAGGGAACACTGGACGGACAAACAAAACGCTCAGTTCACCCGTCGTACGGCAACTGTATGGCACCTACCCCAAGTTCCAATAAATGCGCCGATTTTTCCAACAGCAGCTGCAAAACCGTAATACTGGCCACGCACAGCAGTAGGTCCGGACTTTGCACCCAATACACCAAGGCAGTTTCCAGGACCTAGGCAAAAAAAGAGTTCAGAAGACGAAGGGTGATTGCGCAACCCCACGCACCAAACTCGCCGAAGCTCAGGAAGATGCCGTACACCACCTGATGAACCACTTAGCATTAATTATCTGTGTTAGAAAGATACCTACAGCAAAAGCGCCAATGTGTTGTGACAGTTGGGTATAAAGGCCACTCATGATAAATCCAACGACTGCTTGCGCGAGAAGGCCAGTGATCTAACATGTGATTCAGAAAAGGCACACCGCATCTGCTTAATAATGCTCACTATAGTGACCTTTGGACCCAAAAGATCAACGAAGAAGGCGCCCACAACGGTGCCTGCAGAATGTGAGCTCTGGAAGTTCGTCATCGTCCAATAGACTAACCTGGGATGTAGAACAGGCTGCGAAATCATGTAAATAGGAGCATGAGTCACGAACGGGTGAAGGCTTACTTGATCACAACAGACCAACCAAAGACAACGGTAAGGGATGAACTGCCGCCGGTAACGCTGCCAAGACGGTTAAGTTCTACTCATATCAAGAAAACAAAAGCAGATGCATACGCATTGGTGACTGTGGATGAATAAAGTCCGAACTACAAAAAAAATCAGTGATAATTTATTTCGTAGGTGTCTGACAGCATACTGGGTATCTGGAGGTATGTGAGCAACTAGTCAAGAATGCATGGAAGCGGTTGTAGACATACGTGATGAAGTCATAGATGAACCATACCAGCGAGATACCAAATAGGCCACGCCAGTATCTTTTAATGACCAGTCTGTATGGGATACGGACATGTTTCATTGAATCGCGCTTGTAGCGATTAGGTTCCTCCATGCGCAGCCGCCAAAAGAAGACAGCAACAGCAGGAACTACACCAAGCCCAAGCGAGAGGCGCCAGACGGCACGAAGGTGGTTGTCCCCGAATCTGAAAAGCAACTGTTAGATAGATATTACAAGATGTGGAAGTGAATGGCGGCACGGACATCCAGTAAAGTACTAATGGTACGAATGCTCCAATAACGAAACCGGCATCGATCATAGAGTCTAGGCAGTGTGTTTTAGAATACTGGTGATAAAGATATTTTATCACATCGGCTCACTCGTTGCGAGCACCAGCCATCGGTGTTGCGAGTTCTTAGCAATGCCCTCTTCCTCCGACTGTTCAGATGCAGACACGGAACCGCAAGGGTATTCAGCGCCGACGCCAATTCCAAGAAGGAAGCTGTGTTAGAAATAATGAGTGGCAGAGACGATCTCGCACCGGCACATGTACTTACCGGCATGCAATAAGCATAGCAAGCATGCCATCGAGGCTGTGATTAGCACCAGACGAAGCAGCTGAAAGACCAGAAAATATTGCAACGATCCCAGTTGCGGACATCTGTTTCAAAAGCATGACTTGCGGGTTGCTCGATTGAGATTGACATCTACTTACCATACCGAATTTGCGCCCAACTTTGTCGGAGAGATAGCCAAAGCTGAGCATACCCACCACGGTGCCTGGTACAATTTAATTGCAGATCAATGAAGGAGACTCAGTTACGCACCTGCGAAGGCGACGCTAGAGAGTGTGGTGCTGTAGTTTGTAGTGATGCCGCCGGAACCAGTGCCGTATATGCGTTCCAGAACTGTGATTCACATTAAACCTTCAGTAAATTTCATGGCAAAAATCGCTTACGAGTGTTGACTGCAAGACAGTTGAATTCGAGGTCAAAGAGGGCTCATCAAGTTGAATAATCACCCACCAGAACCAATGACATTGTTGGCATAACCTGCGAACGATTATCAAATTCACGTTAAAGGAGACAGATGTTGTACCTGCTTGCCATCAGAAAACAGAGCCGTTCCACAGCTGTGAGAAAGGATCCAAGCATCGTGATCAATTTGAAGATGATAAACAAACACAAGATAACGTACGCAAAGATGAGAGAAATACTATTCAGGGGGACCTTCTTCTCAGCCATGGCGTTGAGGGAGGCAGTGATAGAGGAAGTCGACAAAGAGCAGGCAAAGAATCTTTTGTATCAACTCCACCTCTTAAAATAGAATCGTGGCTGAATCTTATAGGTGATCCGGGCCCTGGAGACGCATACGGTCACCAACTTAGAGCAATTTCTCTGCCATTTTCGCTCAATGTTGATTGGTGGCATACCAGCAAACGTGTGCTCGTTGACGCATTCTACTTCGTGCAAGTCACAGTCCAGGTAAATTTGTGCTCTGCCGTCTGAGGTGTCTGTTACAGGCATTATAGTACGTATCAAGATGCTTACTGGGGTTAGAACGTGATTGTGTATCACGATGTTCCTGTGTGCGTGTGTGGCAAACTCCAATCAGCTTGCTGCCAGCCATGTGAGCAGCATTTCCTTTCCTGTCTGATACTTGGCCAAAGCTAGGGACGGGATGTCCCGGGACACGGCGGCTGTGCGACGACCCCCCGCTCGCTGTGTGTCGACAAGGTTGATGGACGGAGAGGAAACCGGCGAGAATGTTAGCGTCGATCTGGCATGTAGTATGTACAGTGTGTAAGTGTCACTCAGAAACGGCAACTCCTCGGCCGCAATGTTGTGATTAAATTTTGATAGGAAACGTATAAAGGAACGTAAATCTAGACTTATAACAAATATTACTATTGGTTACCACTAGTTCGTGCACTCCCTACATCTCGTGCACGGTTCAAAACAACACTTTGTTGGAGTCGGACGGTAGTAGACATAATCCGAGCAACGCTGACTAACAGCCAAGAGGTGTGCAAAAGGAGATTCCCGAACACATAGCTCGCCTTTACATAAGCAAACAAACCTTAATGTATAGCCACTCTAAGTTATGAGCGACACATTTTGAGTTCCTTGCCAGTGGCCTCAAATCATCGTGAAATCATTTGGTGAGTACCATAAAGGGGGTGTTTTTACTACTGTAGAATAGATCTAGATAGTTATTTTAATGAAACACAAGCATGTAAAGATGGTACCCACTAAATGTCAGATCTTGGATGTGATTTTTGAGAACACATGATCAATATGATGTGTCAATATCAATTCAATACAACCTGTCAACAACTCACACCTCTCTCTCCTTACACCTCATGTTGTTTATAGTTTGTTTATCGGTACGTCGAGTACCAGCTTACCTAATCACGCAAGTACATACAGACACATTAGAGTTACTCACACCTCAGTCCGCTACACTACGAGTACGCAACTGAGGTAAGACATTCATTACTATAGTTCATTCTTTTACTAACTTCACTAGTATACACTCGTTTTATCTAGGTTAGTATAAGTCCGCTACACTACGAGTACGCGACTGAGTATACACTCGTTTTATCTAGTCTTCCGTTTGTTCCCGCACGTTGCAACTTCGAACAAAAGGTTATGAGCCCTGCTTCAAATTCAAGCACAAAATAGCCTAGAAGTGACAACGTATCTACACCTACACAATGTCCAACAACCCATCAATCTCACAAGCCCAAGGTTCACACTCCCATCCCTCTGCCTCATCAGCATCCAGCTCGAAGAAAGTTATACAGGCCTCAAACAGACTCTATGACATTCCATCACTAGAGAATGATGGCTCAAATTTTCAGAACTGGAAGTTTCGAGCAAAGAAAGTATTCACAGTGAGGAGACTTTGGGGGTTAGTCACTGGAGTGGAGGTACAGCCTCCTGCCACAGACCCAGATGCACTAAACAAATGGCTTGAGAAAAATGAGGAAGCTCATGCACAGATCACACTCACACTGAAGGACGAACCACTAAATGGAGTCCTACACACAACATTGGCATCTGATGCTTGGACGAAATTGTGCGAACAATATGAGGGGAAGGGCAAACAAAGCATAGCCTACTTGATAGGTGAACTGTTTTGAGGAACTCTGTCAGACGAGTCATCTCTAGAATCCCAGCTCAATTCAATGCGACAGAAGGCACAAGTACTGAACTCACTTGGCCAGGCTCTTGAAGACTCTCTTGTGGCCATAGCTATGGTCATATCTCTCCCACCATCCTACTCGACTCTTAGAACTATCCTCATGTCAACGAGCGACAAGATCACAATTGAAGGAACTATCAGCCAAATCCTTGTTGAGGAGAAGTCATGTCAAGGTGCAGATTCTCAAATGGCTCTCATAGCCAAGACTTCGGATATGTCAAAAGAGAGCTCAAAGACGGACAAGAAGAAGAAACCTGGCAACTGCAACTATTGCAAGAAGCCAGGCCATTGGGAGAGAGACTGTCACAAGAAACTGGCTGAGAAGGCCAAAGGTCCGGACAAGGACAACGAGCAGGAAAAGCCAAAGACTGAGTTGTCAGCAAAAGTAGCAGCTGTAGTCGAAGAAGACACATCAGCATTGCAACTGTTCGTCGCACATGACTCTAAGGATGAACCAAACTCCATGGAATGGATCGTTGATTCCGGTGCTTCAGCAAGCATGTCGTGTCGTCGAGATTGGTTCAGGACATTTTGTCCTTTAGTCCCAGCGCAGCGAGTCGTCATTGGAGACGGAAGGTCAATCAAAGCTACAGGAATTGGTAGCATTGAGCTCGAAGTCAAAGTTGGAAAAGGGAACATGCGCTGAACCATACTGCAGGAGGTGTATTATGTCCCCGCTCTAGACGGAAACTTACTGTCAGTGCTGCATCTGATGAGCAAAGGTTTGAAGCAAGCTTTGACCAATGCACCTGCACAATCACTTGAAACGGGTCCATAGGGGCACTAGCAACACAGCAACAGTCCTTATACATCTTGAGAGGACAGACTTGCAGTAGCGAGAGAGCCTATATCATTGAAGGTCCAAGTCAGCTATTAGATGCCATAGAACCGATTAGAGCACTCACAGCCTGCTCGTACTCATTGAAGGCATCCATGGAGACTTGGCATTGTCGACTCATGCATACCAATCTCAATTCTGTGAGGAAACTGTATGGGAAGGATATGGTTAGAGGCATGGAAGTTTCAGGGACAACAGCTCATGAAACAGATGTATGCAAGGCCTGCCTCGAAGGGAAACAATCTTGCAAACCTATCCCAGACAAGTCTCAAGTTGAGAATCCTTGTGTTCTGCACAGAACATATTCGGACATATGTGGACCCATGGAAACGACCTCATGAGGTGGATACTGGTACTTCATGATGTTCATTGATGCCTGCTTGCATCATCTAGTTGTCAAGTTACTAAAGACAAAAGATGAAGCATTTGGACTTATGAAATTGTATTTCAAATGAGCAGAGACCGAAACAGGCGAATGTGCGAATATATTCCGTAGCGATGGTGGTGGAGAATATGGCTCGAAGGAATTTCTAAAATATCTAGAGTCAAAAGGAATCCATCATGAGAAGACAAATGCCTACACACCTCAGGAAAATGGAGTCGCCGAACGAATGAACAGGACACTAGTTGAGTCCGCATGTGCATTTCTCAGTGATGCCTCCCTCCCAAAGAAGTTTTGGGGAGATGCAATCCTACATGTAGCTCATGTCATCAATTGAGTCCCCACATGCGCATTAAAAAGGGATGTCACACCTTTTGAAGCATATACTGGAAATAAACCTTCAGTAGCGCATTTGAGGATGTTTGGTTGCAAAGCACATGCGCACGTACCGGACGAACGACACCAAAAGCTCGATGCAAAGTCCATTGAGTGTGTTCATCTAGGATATGCCAAGCATCGGAAGGCATATGTCTGCCTGCAGAGGTCGAGTGGGCGGATATTGGAGTCTAGGGACGTAGTGTTTGATGAAGGGGACTGTGGAGGGTCAAGCTGAGTGAAGATAGCTGTTGATGATACCGAAAATCACCAAGTCAGTCAACAGCAAACACAATCGAAGCCAAATACCCTACCGGCAGATCCAGATTCAAATGAGACAGGACAAACACACATTGAGGAGGTTGCAGATGTAGAAAATGAAGACACTCCACAAGACTTTGAAGAACCGGCAGTCTCTACAACTAGTCAGCATGAAACTAGTTCTCAGCAACCGCAACACACCTCAGCAAGACGTCGCACAATGACAGCAGGTCCTCCAGTTCCATATCCACACCCTGTTCCCCCACGCGAAGCCAGACGATCAAACCGCATATGAAAGAAACCAGTCCCTGACGATGATCCTCATTATTTTGTCAATGCATACGAGAAATCAACGCTCAAGACTCACCGAGAAGACACCATTGAGAATGAAGAAGAGAAGGGTGCTGTCGTGGATGAGTATGAGAGTGAGAAGGAGCTTGCGGATGAAGAACATGCTTACCACACGGAGATGGCCGAAGATCCTAAGACATTCGAAGAATCAGTGAACCGGCCGGATGCAGACCTATGGCAAGCTGCCATGCTAGAAGAGCTGAGAGTCTTCGAGAAGATCGGCCTATATGAGGAAGTTGAGAGACTGAAGGGACGGAAAGTCGTTGATTCTAAGTGGGTATACAAGGTCAAACGGGGACCTACCAGCGAAATAGACAAGTATAAGGCCCGGTTGGTTGCTAAAGGCTTTACCCAAGTCGAAGGGATCGACTATACCGAAACTTTCGCACCAGTCATGAAGTTTTCGACCATCCGGATCCTCCTAGCACTAGCGGCGAAGCTCGATCTTGAAATCCATCAGATGGACGTAAAGTCAGCATTCCTCAATGGTGAGCTAGACGAGGAGATATACCTAGAGATGCCCCCAGGTTCTTGTGACTCACAGGACTGAGTCTGGAAGCTCAAACAAGCGTTATATGGTCTAAAACAGGTGCACATGGCCTGGTACAAATGACTCTGGACCATATTTGAGGGACTCGGCTATATGCGATGCGAATCCGAGCACAGCATATTCTACAAGGTCAAGGACGAAAAATTCGTCATAGTCGCAGTATATGTCGACGATAAGATGATTTTTTCAAATGATCTGAAACTCATAAATCAGCTGAAGAAGGAGTTAGAAGATGAGTACGATCTAACAGACCTTGGAGAAGCACGATGGATTCTGGGCA